CAGGATTGCGTAGTGGTCTGGGGGGAGTGCAACCATTCGTTTCACTATTGTTGCATGTCTCTGTGGGTAAAGCAGAACAATCGATGCCCTTTATGTCAACAAGAGTGGTCCATACAAAGAATGGGGAAGTAAAAGGTGAACAATTTGTTGTTGAAGGTGGTCAGCAGATTTATGCACAAAATAACCCGCACCTCTGTTCTTAGCAAAGTCAAATTAGTGATCTAGGACAAGCTCTAAGGCCCGTATCGTCAGTCGTCCCTACAATTATGGCCTCCTTGATTGTCATAGTTTTCTACTTGTCCGTATCAGAACTCTATTTTGAGATTATGTCACAAACATCTATTTGCATCAAATTGTGCTTGAGGCCATAAACACGCCCTACAATTGTAGGGACGACTGACGATACGGACCTAAGAGTTTTTCAGCAACCCACCTTGCCATTTGCAAAAATGATGTTATTCAGTCCTTATATTGTTACTAGAGTCCATTGACATTTTGCCTTTTGTCTGTATTTTGCTATAGCCGTGCATTACCCATGGGTGTTTAGGCCTTTTTGGAGGTTCAAAATATACAAAAAAATTTCTAAGTAGCTTATTTGTTTTTTTTAGGGTGAAAAGAAACATAGGTGCGAGACATGCTTTCAATCATTCCATGATAGATTCTATCTCAAAATTCATCAGAGAAAGCATACTGGAGAAAGGCCATACATCTGTGATATCAACTCTTGTGGGAAGTCATTTATGGACAATTCCAAGTTGAGTAGGCATAAAAAAACAATGCATTGAAAATTATTGAAACTATGTGAAAATAATAGCAATTTGAATTATTGGTTATATAAATATATTTTACACTTGCTCATCTGTATTAAATAGGGCCACATTGCCACAAAAGATTACAATTGTGGTACTGTTTGTGAGTGGTAACATTATGTAATTTTTTGTGATTATGTATTGAACTATTTAAAGAAACTATATTTTTATGAATAAATTAAAATTATTATCCATATATACATATTTGTATCCAATATTCTAGATATGTTTTGTGGAAAGTAGAATCTGGAAGCAAACTTTCTTTGTCTTTACTGTATACACCTTGGGAAAAAACATTATTATACATTATGATGAGGAAGAGAGATGGAAATATACAAAAGTATGTAGGTGCGTGAAAGACACTCGATTGTGGGATCCTATGTGGCAGCGTCGGAGTGTGACGGACAACGGGGTAAAGTAGAAGAGTGATAAAAGAGAGAGATGGCAGAACGGGCGCTGGCGCCAACCGCTTAGACGGATGCGCTCAACAAATGCGATTTTTTCTCCCATTCGCAGAGTTGCCGATACCAATATGTCATATTTATAAGAAATCTAAGTCTACCCAAATTTCGGGAAAAATAGCTGCGGATTCCACATAAGAGTATTCCAAAAATGAAAAAAGTTCAAACTATTAAAATTGTATTAATGTTTCATGGTTCAAATCATATTTTTCATGTTTGTATATTGTTGTATAAATGATTTTGTAATCCCTATTCTTTTTGCCAGTAGAGATACAACAGTATTGAGAGAAATCATGGACCGCTAGATAGGGCTACAACTACCATATGACTATCAAATAGTAGTGATAAACAGGGTTTGTTTATAGCACAGTTGCCTGGTGTGGCGAATTTGCGCCATAGGGGCGATTTGACAACTTTGAAGGACAACTATAACGGTTACTATGGTGCCCGGTATTCGGGAATCTGGCAATACCTGATGATTCCTAACGTTTATTACGCCAGATTGTTTGCTGACTTGTGCAGTACAACATGACAATCAACGTGACTGAGCACCTGGTAACCCTGGTTTAAGGTGTTATATTTAAAGAGCTTGGGGCAGTTAGGTATCTAGGTCACATTTTTTAATGTATTTCGAGAAATCCGTAATGTTGAGTAAATACTAGATCACGTTTCTTGCTTAGTTTGCTGAAAATTCTACAATAGACGTACATTTTGAGAAACAGAGATTTGGTGACGACAAAATCGTAAAAATTTTTTCGTAAAACAATTTCTTTGTTGAAAAGACTGTGGCTTGATGACCCATTGAACGAGGATAGTGTCCCGCTCCGCTTTGAATATTCGAAACACTATACTCCAGCAGCATTCAGCTTCAATGTTATCTTTATGAAGTTCTAACGTCTTGGCCATGCTGATTAAAAGCTTGAATGAATCAACACTTAACTCTAAATTCCCCACAATTCGGGAAGCTCTACTCAAATTGGCAACACAGCGTATCTGCCTATTATTCTCATTCGTGATACAGGTCTGCGGTTAACGGTAGGAAATTATGTACGAATAGCGATGAAAGTAGACGAGCCGATGCGCTGTTGCCAAGAAATGATTTCCCATGTATAACAATGGTTTTTGCTAAGGTGTATATTTTGAAAATTGTTTTATAGATGGCACTGTATATTTATACAAGTGGATACAATGCCATCTATGAGACACTAACCTCATTTTATCTCATAACTTTTTGACGCGAGAATATAGCATCAAGTTGGATATCTTCAGGTGAAATACCATAATCAATACTAATATGAAGATACGAAAAAAATTCAAGAGACTGAAAAGTTGTATTTCTATTTGCTTAATGATAATATATGTATTGCCCAACAGATACATCCATTTAAAGGTCAATGTAATTGAATACAATTTGACATTACAGTATTTTTAACTATACTAAGTGACATATAAATCCGAACACCCAGTTTAAATGGTTTTATTTTAATAAAATTTTGTATAAGTACTTAATGAAGCATAATAAGTAAATGATAAAAATTTCAAAATGATTGCACTGCTTTAAAGCCCTTTGACCTTTAATAATGTGTGGATGCACCCTGATATGCTACGCATTCTCCAACGCGCCTAGGCATGCTTCTGATCAGGTGGTCAATGTCCTGTGGTATCTCATTCCAGGCAACCACCAACTCCTCTCGAAGTGCTTCTAGAGTCTGAGGAGGACGTTGCAAATTGAGCAATTTCCTACCCATCATATCCCACACGTGCTCAATTGGGGATAAGTCGGGAGATCTTGGTTGCCATGGTAACAATGTGACATCATTATATTGAAAGAAGTCTATTGTGACTCTTGCAACATGTGGTCAGGCATTATCTTGTTGGAAAGTTGGATCTGCCAGGGTGTCAAGATAGGGTAAAAGATGGGGTTCTAGAATTTTGTGGATATAACGCTGCGCGTTCATGTTACCTCTGATGAAGATTAAAGGTGACCTGGAACCATAAGCTATAGCACCCCAAACCATAACTCCAACAGTGTGATGATCATGTCTTTCAACAAAAAACTGTGGATTCCTCCTTTCACCACGTCGCCTTCTAACCCTGGCACGACCATTGTGCATGCCTAAACAAAATCGAGACTCGTCACTAAAGACAATACTGTTCCATTCCTGATCCCAGAGTGACCGTTGTCTGCACTACTCAAGGCGATTACGTCGGTGTTCTCGAGTTAAAAGGAGGACCCAGTGTGGCCGGTATGAAAACAAGCCTAAACTTCTCATTCGTCGGTAAACACTTCGCATGCCAATAGGTGTTGCGTGTTCTGCAAACCATTCATTTGCAATGGACCTGGTAGTGGAGAAACGGTCTCTTAAGGCCAATAATCTTAGGCGGCGATCTTCACGGTCTGTTGTTCTACGGCGGCGTCCAGTGCCCCTTGCTCTTTGCGTACGGCCTTCTCGAAGCCATGCCTGACAACACCTAACCACAGTGTCTACACTTCTTTGCACTCTAACTGCAATTGCCCGAAAAGAAAGTCCAGCTTCCCGAAGTCCCACTATACGGCCCCTATCAAACTCACTAAGTTGACGAAATCGTACAGGTCTCCGTACTCTAGGCATCGTAACCGATCGTAAAGGATGTCAAGAACCAAAATCCGCCAACGTTGATTCTTTACTGCGGCTGAAATATTCATTTTTAGAGCGTTAGTGAATTAAAAAAAAGCAGTATAAAAACCGGAATGTCCAACTGATAAGGCTGAAAATTTTTTCACCTGTTATTTACAGTAGGATAAATACATTCACCAACTTTTATTAAAATAAAACCATTTAAACTGGGTGTTCGGATTTATATGTCACTTAGTATACAATGATAGCTCGCCCCACAAATATCGGCTATGGTGTTAAAGCTGGAGCACATAAAGTACATAACATTAGAATTTGGTGTTTTTAAGTAAAAAGCGAGAAATCTTCGGGAAATGCGGGACGGTACATGAAAATAAATTTTAGCTAATAAAGCTGAAAAATCAACATCACCGTGTACGAGTTTGTAAAGGAATTTTAAACTATTACGAACTCTTCTCAGCTCAAGAGGCATTTCAAATCTGAACAACATCGCTGATTGGGAGTCCCACGATTGGGATAAACACCATCTAATTTGAAAGTCAAGTATTTAAGAAATCTCCTCTGTACACTTTCAATTTCATTAGTATAGATTTGGTAATATGGATGCCATACACTAGATGCATATTAGCACACTGTATAACAAAAGATTTTGTGCAATGAATGAATGTATTTTGTCATTTCTCTAACGGTTTTTAAATGAAGTGTTTTGCACTCTCGTTTTGTTGGTTTCAACTACAAACCACTCTTTTGATAAAATATTTTTTCTTAGTAGCGTGGCATACCTTTCCTTACATACTTTATATTTGTCCCCTAAGTTGATGATGAGTCGACAGGTTGAAGGTTTGCATGTTGCACTTATATCCTTTTATTCTAAGAGGATGAGATCCCCATGCAGTCAACTCTGTGCTAAAGGTTTGAGCCTTTCATTCTTACTTCTACTGCCAACTTAGTCACTCTACTCGGAAGGTTTTTAAGTATCCCTATTTAGCATAACAAAGGGTTTCAAATTCTTTTTGACGTTTTAATTTCGTATACTCAGTGATTATTTTACTGTTCTCTTTCTGAAGATTCCAATTTAAGGTGTAATAAAATAGAAAGAACATACTTTGAAAGCATTTTATTCACAAGAAACCATATATAATTCATAATTTCAAATGAGTAAATCTTCGAACTAAAACTAAATGCCAGCATATAGCCTTATATGTTATACCAAATATCATACATACAAACATTACAAAACTACACTGTGATGGTGTACGATCTCATTCTCTAATTTGTATATACACATAGAGTAATGTCTAAGCTATATATCACGAAAAGTAACCTAAACATAAACAATATACAGTCTTTACATAAGTCAAAGGACAACTAAGTGATAATCATATTGGACTAGAAATGCTTTTTAACAACTTAAAAATTGTCTAGAATCAGTATATCAGACAACTAATATGCTCCGATTATCTTAAAAATACAATCAACCACAAAAAGGAACAATATTACAATTAACATATGTTCTAGACAGACAGAGAGACAGACAAGTGGAAGAAGAGAAAAGAAATAGTTGCCTTTCAATAACTCATAAACATGAGCCATCAAAGTGCGTTGTAGGTAGAAAAATGCATGATAGTAGCCAAAAAGAGATATCTTTTAATATTTTCCACTTAGACTGAACAAAACGAACGTAAACCAAACAGATAATCTTCCTGGCAACAGAAGAGATGACAACCTGGCACAGTAAAAACCTACTGTGTACCAAAGTTTTCACCACATAATAGGCCCGGATCCTATAGCACTTTCCTTACTCCGATAAGTTATATAAAAATTCCTAAACTTTTTATTGGAATTATGCTGCAAATACAGTGAAACTCCAGAGGCAGGTCAGATTTGTGAATAATTTCAAATGACTTCTCAATATCTGTTGTCAATGATGAAGTTTATTGCTCACTAAGTTAGCGACGTTACCTCGGAGACGTCTCGGAGTCAAGTTGACTTACAAAGATAGATTCTATGCTGTAAGTAAGCTTCAACCCGCCATGGTAACGTCGTTAACTTAATTCCACATCCTTTTTTCAACAGTCTAAAGGAGTATTTTGAATATTTCAACACTGACACTTAAAGACGGTGGTCAACACGAGTATTTTCTTCTTTCGGTTGATCAACATTTTAATTACGAGTTTATCAGAGTATTATGCGGTCCAAGCCTACTAAGTGACCTCACATTTAAACATTGGATATTTGCGGCGCCTCATTCTCAATTTCATCCATCACCACAAACGATCCTAATCGCGACACCCTTTTCTCGGGATCAATTTCGTCATTAGATTCGCGATTTCGCATGATAACACCGTCTTTGTTGTCGAAGGTGTTGCTTCTGATCAACCTGGGCGGCTCGGCAACCTGTTCAGGCTCGGTTTGAGGTTGGATCCAAATCCGACTATCCTTTTTCGGCGATTGCTTTTTAGCGTCATCAATTTTCTTCCACAGACTCGCTATTTTGCTCGTCACTTGTTTCTTTGCGCTCGTGCTTCCGTTCGAGTTCAGGCTAGTGTTACTGTTAGACCTAAGAAAAAAAAAAGAAGAAAAATGCGTGATCAGTTCATAAAGGATGATGTTTGAACCTGTATAACAAAAAGTTAAATAGATCAAGTCAGTCAAACAGGTTAATTCGAGTTTACAATACTTCTTCGCCAGGTAGGTTGGGAAGTAAAACAGAGTCAAGTGGTCAAGTAAATTGATTCCGACTTTTTCACGCAATACTTTCAGTTTATATTTGTGAACCATGTCTAACAGTTACGCAAAATTGATATGATCAAGGTTTTTGTGGACGAACATACTGTGTTTAAAAGGGTTTAATCCTTCATTACCCTCCATCACATCTCAAAACTTCTAATGCTCAAAAAAAGGAAAACCAAAAGCCTCGGAAACGTCGCCGAAGTAATGCGTCATTTGCGGATTTTGATCTCAGATTTATTTCAAAATTATTTTTGGAGATATTGCTACTGGTACTATTTCTTTAATCACGCTGCATATGACAATAGGAAGTTTCCTCATTTTTCGTATTTCTCTTATTTTAATTAAAATCGAGTGATTTTGTTATTAAAAAACGGTCAAAGAATGTTGAGTGCAAAATATTAATATTTACGTCGACGGAAAGCGTTTTAAAATCAAGGATCGACGCGAGTCTAGAAAACGTACCTGTACGCGAGACTAGACCGCGTGACGTCAGTATCCAGACACGTGCTGTCGCCCTCATGAGTACTTGTTAAAGTAGTTCGGTAAGTACCTATATGAAACTAATTTTTTTTGTTTAGCTCGAATGGGTAGTATTTTTTATATTTCTCCGCAAAACTTGATCCTGCTTTGCTTTAGTCTATTGAAAGCAGTCACATTATAGAATTTTATAGCTACTAAAATAACAAAGGTTAGGGTTGCATTTGGAGGATGGGCAATGAAGGCAGGTTCTAAACGTTGACTAATATTGCGCTTAGAATGACTACATATATACATAAATGATTTACCTGCCATAGTCAAAAAATGCAAAATTCAGATTTTCGCCGATGACACTATGATTTATATAAGTACTAAAATATTCAGTCTGGTATCTCTTATATAAATGAAGACTTGAAGCTTGTCTCAAAATGGTTAGCATCTAACAGACTAAAATTAAATGCAAGTAAAACGAAAGCCTTGTTAATCGGAAAAAAACAATGTACAAATGTTCAACTGAATATTGATGGTGAAGATATTGAATTCGTAGAAAATTTTAAATACCTGGGGGTTTTTGTTGACTCTCGATTAATTTTTGATATTCATTATGAAAAAGTTATAAATAAGATTAGTAGTAAAGTGGGATATTTATCGAGAGTTTCTGAATGTCTGAGTTCATATAGCAGAAAAATTATCTATAATACCATCATTCTTCCAAATTTCTTGTACTGTTCGACTATTCTATATTTAGCAAATACAGTGAAAGCTCTCCTTGCGGACAGCTCCTATAAGCGGACATCTCTTTTAACCGGACAAAGTTCCTGGAACCGAATTTCAGCCATCAATTTTCAATGTTAAATGCATTCCGATAAACGGACGCTCTTATAAACGGACGCGGACACTAGATTTTCCTGTATGTGATCAAAAAATCTCCCATAAGCGGACGCGAAACTCTAATACCCGGACGATTTTTTAGTTCCGCTTATTGCAATGCACATATCTACATACATAAAATTCGGTAATTCCCCGATTTATATTAGGTGATTCCCCATTTACGCATTTCGTTGGGTAGCCTGTATGTAATCTTGTGGCTTGTCTTCAGTTCAGGCAAATTCGTAGTTGATTGAGTTACGTATTTTATTATTGTAACTGTAAAATGGCACCAAAAAAAAAGGATGCTCTCGTTAAAGGAAAAGATGGAAGTTGTTAACGTATTAGATAGAGAAAGTGTTTCAGTTCGTCATTTGGCAAAGAGGTTTAATATTGGGAAAACGCAAGCACCTGAAATTGCCAAAAATAAGGAAGATATCAGGAGTAAATGGCAATCAGGAACTAATATAAATCAAAAGAAGGATTTTTAAAAAAGGAAGGTTTTGCTATAGACAAAACATGTTTTGAGTGGTTTGTGAAAGCTAGAAGTCAGAACATTCCAATCTCAGGGCCGTTAGTGAAAATGAAAGCTAAAGAAATCGCCACTACTTTGGGCTATAATAATTTCAGTGCGTCCGACGGGTGGCTGCAAAAGTGGCGCAAGAGACATAGTGTGAGTTTCAAATGCATATCTGGCGAAGCTGCTGCAGTAGATCAAGTTGATGTGTCACAATTTTTGGAGAAACTTCCGTCCATGTTGCTTGGCTACAAACCAGAAGATGTGTACAACGCAGATGAGAGTGGACTTTTTTCGCGCATTGCCCGACAAAACTCTGTCCTTTAAAGGAGAAACATGTGTGGGTGGAAAGTTGTCTAAAGATAGACTAACCATTTTATTCTGTGCAAATATGGCCGGTGAAAAATGCGATTTGATTGTGATCGGGAAAGCGGCTCGTCCCCGTGCTTTAAAAAACGTTGCTATTAAGGATCTACCAGCGACTTGGAAATCCAACAAAAAGGCATGGATGACCCGAGAAATCATGTCTGAGTGGTTAGTCGAATTCGACCGGAAAATGAGAATCCAAAAAAGGCAAGTTCTTTTATTTTTAGACAATGCATGCTCTCATCCTCGTGATATGAAAATGAAAAATGTGAAAATTATATTTTTACCGCCAAACACAACTTCTGTTTGTCAGCCCATGGATCAAGGTGTCATACAGAACTTTAAGTTTTATTATCGGCACTTGATTTTAAAACATATTTTAACAAAAATTGACGATGGTCAAAGCTTATCTGAGCTTACAAAGTCTATCAATGTGTTAGAAGCTTTGTATTTTATAAAAACAGCATGGAATAAAGTAAATTCCTCTACAATTAAAAACTGTTTTGGCAAAGCTGGATTCAGAAAAAGTGAATGTAGCTCAGAATTTGCTGAGCAAAATTATTGCGATGCTGAAGACGATCTGCCCTTAGCAACACTTGCTCAGTTACTGCGACATGCCAAACATTTAGGAGTAGCAGATCCCCAGAAAGTAGATGATTTCCTGGCCATAGACAATAACATAACAACAGAAGAAAATGCCATTGGCAACTTTTCGAATTTGGATGTAGAAAGCCCAGGCCAACTTGAATATGGTAGTCCAAACGACTCAGAAGAAGTGGAACTGGTGGACTCACTAAGCGGTTCAAAAACGATAAATTCATATGGGGAAGCTCTAAATCATATTTCTATATTGAAAAAATTTGCTAAAGATGATTTCACTGCATTTCAACATTTGAAAAATTTAGAAAGTTATTACGAAAATTGTCTCCTTCAGCAAAATATGGTGAAATTTCGTCAGACAAACATTTTAAACTTTTTTCAACAAGCTAAAGAATAATGTTTTTTTTAAATTCTCGTACCATGTATTGAAGCATTTATGTTTTTGTATGCGTATATGTACATATATTATATATTATATAGATATATAGCATAAATACATACTTTAAAAATGTGGCGAGTTTCCGTTTCATTTTTCTCATGATTATAATACCTCATTTCCTCATGATTATATACCCCGTTATTTATACTCTATACTTACATACTCTCTTTTAAACGGACACCTCCCATAAGCGGACAAAAGTTACGGAACCGTAAGTGTCCGCTTATGGGAGCTTTCACTGTAATTCCATTTTTGAAAGACTGCAAATTTTACAAAATAAGTGCATGAGAATAATACTAAATAAAGATAAATATACTCCAATTAGGCAAATGCTTAGCAAATTAAAATGGCTCAATGTAAAAAAGTTTATCAAATATCTTGTAATGATATTCATTTATAAAGTAAAAAATAATATATTTCCATCAAGTCTAACTAATTTAACATCATCAAATGTCGACCATCATTTACATAATACCAGAAATAAAGATGACTTCCATTTAATGACCAAAAAGTATAACATATGCTACAAATCTGTATTCCATCAAGGGTTGATTGAATATAATAAATTATACTCGGAGATAAAAGACCAGAAAACTTTGATAAAATTTAAAGTAAAATTGAGAAATCACTTGTTAAATCTACAATTATAGGTTGCCCAGCATTTATATCATTACACCATTTGGCTTGAATTTACTAGTTCTAAGTTGTTTACAATTATTCTGTTTATGTAGCCAAATGTGCTAAATAAATCTTTCTACTACTACTACTACTACTACTACTACTACTACTACTACATCTCGGCAGTAAGCTGGTCAGCTTCGCTCTCACTACTTTCAGTACTGCTTCCACTGGCTTCATACGAATCAGATTCGGATGTTTCTGTTATTGCGGGACTTTCAAGATTTGCCCGTTGACTTTCCACTTGCAAACATTTTTTTAGCTGCTCTGAAGTCTGTTTAGCAAGCGCAGGAATTCTTATTGGCGATACCGCAAAATCCATTACTTTCCGTTTTTGCGAGATTTGAACTGACTTGCTTCTAAAATGTACCTGTTTGGTTTGACATGCCTGTGACTGAACTTCTACTGTTAAACGTTCAGGCAGTTCATCATGCTCCTCCTCGATAACTTCCACGCCTTCAGGCTCGGACTTTTCGGTTGAGGGTGCCGCCCGGCGTGCCGCGGCTGGCTGCAAATATTTGGCGATGTCTTTCTGCCTTGCCCTTTTTTCGCTGACCACTCGGTTCGTAGAACTTAATTATCTACCCAGTTGACATGCAAATTTATGAGGTGCAATATTATTGTATTGTAGATAGTTTTCCATATCTTTAACCAGTTTTTACGTTGTGCGGCAGCTTTTGGAACATTCACAAACATTTTTTGTGGTGTTGTACTTGACGTACCTGTACATTTTGGCACAAAACACCACTTTCTGTTCGACATTCAACACCGTCAAAGTTCACAGAATTTAACAATAATCTATCGTACCAGCTCTAACTACTCCAAACCGATTACTGGGGCGTTGTTGTGAGAATGGTAAATGCAGCGGGACAGCTAGCGAGGTGTGTCTGGCTACTGACGTCACGCGGTCTAGTCTCGCGCAGAGGTACGTTTTCCAGCCACGCGCCGATCTTTGATTTTGAAATGCTTCTAGTCGACGTAAATACCAATATTTTTTGCTAATTTTTTTATCGTTTTTTAATAACAAAATCTCTCGATTTGAGTAAAAATCAAAAATAGCGAACCTTCCTATTATTAGGAACAAAAGAGAAAATAATTACCTGTTGGTTAAGCTGGGTATAGAAGACTTTTTCACAGCACCGTTTTGTGTCTTGCCGTCTCCTTTAAGACTTTGTGTAGATGGACTATTTTGTATTCTTCTCGCTGTTACTGCCTCGCGACTATCTGCACTGGTCGATCTGAAAAAAAAAAGATTCGAAATTTTCATATTGCAAAAAATATTGCTCCTAGAATCGCGCGATTTGATTTCATTCACGATGCGAACACCGACATTGTCAATTTGCCGCAATGTGTAGTGTTCTAACTATTATAACAAAGGATTGCTGTACGATTCCGCTTGAATGTAACGTCGCTGTGTTAGTTACAGATAAGAAATATATATACATTTAGGGTGGATTTCACAATTTAACAAACCATTATTCTGCAACAATAGGGTACGAGTACCAAACAGTCCGTTAAATATATCCAATCAGCCTCAAGATCTCTCCGTCAAATTTTTGGCAGCAAATAGCATCAAAGTATTCAAAACAAAACACTGTAAAATATGAAGTGACAGCTTGCCATTGAAATCTTTTCAATTTATTAAATATTATGAAATTATGTAAAACTGAGGCAAAATTTTAAAAAATGCTTGATGTCTGAGTAAAATCTATTTTTTCAGATTAGCTGAAGGTTTTTCCATGTTTACTGCAACTTTTGTAATCCATATGTGATTATATCACCTACTGTGTGTTTATAGTTTATCCTATATTTGCAAACTTGCACTTCCAAACCCTTACATGAAAAACCCTTTTCACTCAAATTTTTGTTAGGTGTTGCATTTCAACACATTCATACACTTCTTTCCAGTTCCTCAACGATATTTTAACCCCACTGGTCCGAAACTGTTCAACAGTTTCAACATTTATACATACAATTGCAGTTGCAGTTTTTTGTTTTAATTTCATTGTATAATCAGTCGCACCATCGGTGATGGTACATTCAACATAACCACGTATTTAGGGGTTCGTGCTGATTTAACGTGTACACGACGTCATCATTAGGCGCTCCTCTGGCGACGTCCGATTGCGTTCAGGTGCCTTCTGCAGGTACCTCTTCACCACGGCTAGGAGTTGATACTAGCGCGGCTCTCGTGTTTTTTGCTCTAGGCATGGCCATCCTCAATTAATCGCACAAAAAACAAGTCCAAGGCAACAACTCAAACAAAAACAACAGATGATTCACCGCCTGGCTTTGACCGTAAATCGTCGTGGAACACGAGACACAACAGAATTATTATAATTACGTCAATACGAGCATAGAACAGTATAGAAAGGGCTATCCAAGGGCAAGACGAGTTCCGAAATTATCCGAATCATGTCAAAAAATGGCTGTGACATCCCCAAAACGTTTGACCACCACTGGAAATCACTAGCTAGTTACCATCTGGCGGCGTAACATGTGGAGGACACTGGTGTAGAAACAGCTGATCCTTAAAATTCGGTTACGTTAAGTCGTGCATGAACCCGACATTATTTTTCAGTAATTACTAATAATTTTAGGTCTATGTCTACAGTAATTGCATTATGCACCTCGGAGATGTAGGTATTAACATGTTTTACACATATCGGTGTTTTAGGATGGGGACGACATACTGTTTTGATTGCTTTGAAGAAATTCATTAACCCATGAATTTATAACAAATGATTACTATTATGATGTAAAGAGAGACGAGGAATTGATTGGAATACATTTTATATTCTATTTTCTTGCAAATCCGCACAATTCAACAGGTATGTGTAGCTATAATGATCACATATACACACAGTATATTGAACTTAACAAAATTTCGAGATTGCCATGAATTAACAAACGACCAAACCTGCTGCCAAATTTAACAGCTAGAAAATCGACCTATTATTTCTCCCATTCCCATTCGCTGAGGGGATAACGGATGGTCAAATGTACACTTATAACATAAATCAAAATACATGAAAGTTGTCCTATTTTCTCTGTACAAAAGCATCATGTTGGAATCAAAAAGTGGTCTTGTTTATAATACATGCGAATTTTCACGATTTTATTTAACATTTTAATAGAAATCACTGATATTCTGAGACATTTGACAGCTTCCGTCAAACTGCATTTCGATTAGGTATTTTCCTATAGGTCCATATAATAATGTTGGTGCAATCGGCCTTTAGAGTATTTTTTTCCAAAGCTAAATTACAATTTTATCGCATATTTACTAACGAAGCAAATGAGAAACCTTAACATTCAGCTTTTGAACAAAGAAATGTCATGGATGCTCTATTGTTAGAGATAATCATCCGACAAGGTTAATTGTTTTTATATTTTATGCCTTGTAATAGAATCTTATTTATAGACCCAATACTGAGGTTTCACATACCTGTTATATATTCTAGAGGTCTTGCTCGTCCTATCGGTACTAGCAGACTTGGCGGGCATTCTAGGCGTAGGCGGTTTAGTACCCACAGACGGTACCCTGGGTATATTCACGCTGGCGGGTCGTGGTCTTTGCGGAATCTGCGGTATTTTTGTACTCGATGATGCGGGAGTCGGTATCCGACTGGTCGTTCTCGGTACGACTCCGGTACTTTGGGAGGGTACCGGGTCGTCTTTCGTGAATGTGCCTTGACGTTCCATCACAGGCATACCTGACAAAAATAAAGTGCGCGTTGTTTTTATACAAAAAGGGAGTAAAGTGAGGAACATTCAAATAAAAAAAGTGGAAAGAAGTTTATAGTTTTTGTCAAAGTTGTTCACCTTGTATAAGGGTTAGGTTATTTGGAATAGAATAGAATAAATTTTATTTCCATTTGACTACAAAGTAGTATCGGAATATCGTCATACACATAAACAAGTAGAGTATAAAACAAACAAAGCTATTTGAAATAACGCATATCTAACAAATGAAAACTTTTAAGAGACAGTTAAAATATGCCTCTACAGAGTAAAAGGAGTTTTCTGTAAATATTTTCTTACTCCACCCCTAGTATCCAGTGTTTAGTATGAAAGTGATGAAGTGTTAGTTACAAAATCCCGAAGTACCTTTAGCAGTGTTCCCGACTTGTTTTGTACCTGCAGTTGACCCACTTGGGGTGTGTTTTGGACTGTATCTCGATTGTGGTACCCTAGCAGGACTCGCTTTTGGTGAGCTGGAACTGCTCACGGGTCTGCTGTTGTTTCCAGTCGTCTTTCTGCTGTTCTGGACTGTAGCCTGCTTGGAAGGCACCTTTAAAAAAATATAATTATTGACATTCATGCGTGTGGTTTGTGATAGTGTCACTCGACAATGTACTGCCTCTTTTTCTAACGAGACATCCGCATATCAAAGATTGACGAGTGACACTCCTACACGACATAAAACAAATAAAAATTATTACTTCTATCATGTGTAGAGAAAATGTTTTAGTAAAGAAAAAGCAAAGTTCTGGTTCCTCTTCCTTTTGCAACTTAGGTGAGTTCTATTAGATATTTCTAGCCTACATAAATTGTAACTTACTGTTTTATTTTGTCTGCTGGTAAACGGCTTGAGTGGTGCACTGGACTTGATAGCTGATGTGACGTTTTTCACTAAATTCGAAGTCATCGTTTTTGCAGGTTTTATACTTTTCGGTGTGATTTTATTGATGTTACTTTTAGAGTACAGGGGTTTTCTTCTTCCTCGGATTCCTTTGATTTGCTCCTCCTCTTCGTTTACAGTTGGCTCTTCAGGCTTTTCAGAAGGTTTCACTATTTTTGGTTTACCTGAAAAGCCAATCACTGTCAGAAAATGTATAGCACAAGCTGGAGAATTGCTGTACAAATAAAAGAAGTAGGATGATGCAATGCAATGATATCGAAACTTGAATAAATATGCAAAAAACATACCACCTATCCTGTGTTCATTTTCATCATCTGAAATTCCATCACTACCAGCAAGATCTGGATTAGGTAAATCTAGTAGCTGTTCGATATCTGTTGTGGTTTTGCCGTTAGTTAAAGTTTCTGGATCTATCGCACTCTTGGAGTCAGCACCTTTGCTTCTGGTACTCCAGCTTCGGTTGTATGTTCTATAGTTGACCGACGAACTAACCACGCTAAAGTTACACTCTGAATCATCGTCGTTGCTAACCTAAAAAGAGAAAAAAAGCACTTACACTTACAGTACTTTTATCTCCAAAGGAATACTGTCTTTGAAATAGGGTGTACAAAATGGGGTACATCCCTTAAGAAGCAGTATCGACAGTTGTTTCTACAATTGTAGGACACCTGTATGGCCTCCTTAATTTTCATAGAATTTTCTCTCCTCCAGAAAGGCTGGGGTATTTCTAGATTTTTACGGTTCCGTGTCAGGAATTGTAGGAAATTTCAGGCTAATAAGACAGATGATAAAAATCAAAAGCATGTACAATTTGATGCAAATAGATATTGGTAACAACCTCAAAATAGAGCTCCTTTCTTACCGATAGGAAAATATACTAAGTGACATATAAATCCGAACACCCAGTTTAAATGGTTTTATTTTAATAAAATTTTGTATAAGTACTTAATGAAGCATAATAAGTAAATGATAAAAATTTCAAACTGATTGCACTGCTTTAAAGCCCTTTGACATTTAATAATGTGTGGATGCACCCTGATGTGCTACGCATTCTACGCGCCTAGGCATGCTTCTGATCAAGTGGTCAATGTCCTCCTGTGGTATCTCATTCCAGGCAACCACCAACTCCTCTCGAAGTGCTTCTAGAGTCTGAGGAGGACGTTGCAAATTGAGCAATCTCCTACCCATCATATCCCACACGTGCTCAATTGGGGATAAGTCGGAAGATCCTGATTTCCATGGTAACAATGTGACATCATTATGTTGAAAGAAGTCTATTGTGACTCTTGCAACATGTGGTCGGGCATTATCTTGTTGGAAAGTTGGATCTGCCAGGGTGTCCAGATAGGGTAAAAGATGGGGTTCTAGAACTTCCTGGATATAACGCTGCGCGTTCATGTTACCTCTGATGAAGATTAAAGGTGACCTGGAACCATAAGCTATAGCATCCCAAACCATAACTCCAACAGTGTGATGAACATGTCTTTCAACAAAAAACTGTGGATTCCTCCTTTCACCACGTCGCCTTCTAACTCTGGCACGTGCATGCCTAAACAAAATCGAAACTCGTCACTAAAGACAATACTGTTCCATTCCTGATCCCAGAGTGACCGTTGTCTGCACCACTCAAGGCGATTACGTCGGTGTTCTCGAGTTAAAGGGAGGACCCAGTGTGGCCGGTATGAAAACAAGCCAAAACTTCTCATTCGTCGGTAAACACTTCGCATGCCAATAGGTCTTCCGTGTTTTGCAAACCATTCATTTGCAATGGACCTGGTAGTGGAGAAACGGTCCCTTAGGGCCAATAATCTTAGGCGGCGATCTTCACGGTCTGTTGTTCTACGGCGGCGTCCAGTGCGCCTTGCTCTTTGCGTACGGCCTTCTCGAAGCCATGCCTGACAACACCTAACCACAGTGTCTACACTTCTTTGCACTCTAACTGCAATTGCCCGAAAAAAAAGTCCAGCTTCCCGAAGTCCCACTATACAGCCCCTATCAAACTCACTAAGTTGACGAAATCGTACAGGTATCCGTACTCTAGGCATCGTAACCGATCGTAAAGGATGTCAAGAACCAAAATTCGCCAACGTTGATTCTTTACTGCGGCTGAAATATTCATTTTTAGAGCGTTAGTGAATTAAAAAAAAGCAGTATAAAAACCGGAATGTCCAACTGATAAGACTGAAAATTTTTTCACTTGTTATTTACAGAAAGATAAATACATTCACCAACTTTTATTAAAATAAAACCATTTAAACTGGGTGTTCGGATTTATATGTCACTTAGTATATATGAAAATCAAGGAAGCCATAAAGGCGTCCTACAGTTGCAGGAACGACTGACGATACGGCCCTAAATGAGTAAATTGTTTTTTTGGATTTCATCGTATGGTGTTCGTAGAATTATTAAAAGCTGATTTTCAATTGCATCTATCAGATCCCTGTGTCTCTGGGGGAAACTCCTTAGGACAATTTTTGTAGTAGTATTTTTACTTCCCACGTTAATTGATGAGAAAATATTGTAATCGCAAAAGGTTCGAAATAGAGATTTATTATTCTTTACACGGCAAAAAATCATATTACTCATTTCGTTTGGTCTATCTATCGGTTGGTATGTGTGCCCGCTTCTTGGCCCTTGATAACTTGGAAAATGCCGCTTATATTTAGATTAAATTTTGAAAAAACTTTACAAACCTTGAAAATCCGTCCAGTGCCCACGAAATTATAAATGAAAATCTGGAAATTTTAAAACATGCCCTAATCAATCTTCTTTTTTTCGATGTTCTCGGATTCTTTGAATTCTTTTGGTGTCACAAAAAACTGTTGATTCAAACTTTCCAAAAGATCCTGAACTCCGTTTTTAACGTTGGTCAACTTTCTGGTTACTTTAGGGTGCAATCGAAAAAAATATTAAAGGATCGAAAAGCTGAAGTTTTAAAAAATCAGGTATTTCACATACAGTAATGGACAAAAGTATTTAGACAAATTAATATTGTGCTGTATTTCTTTTTCAACTTGTTTTATCAATACACCAACTTGTATACATAATTCGTTATAGCATAATACTCACTTATACATAAATAAACTCATTAGACTCCCTTCATTAAAAAATTAATTGAAAAAAACTGGAACTATGAAGGACGAAAATATATAGAAAAAGCAAAACAATTATAGAAAAAAGAAGCAAAGTTCAATGAATTATAGAAAACCAACCATGTTTGTGTTAATATTTTGTAGCTTAACCATTATTATCAATCACCGCCTGACATCGTCTCGGCATAGATTGTAGAAGTTTCTTGATATACAATTCATCAATTTGTCTTCACTTTTGCTCTAAGGCGGCAAAAAGTTCATCCTTGTTCAAATAATTTTTATCTATATTTGCTTATCTAAGTATTCCCATAGATTTTCAATGGGGTTTATATCGGGAGACTGTGAGGGCCATTTGAGAACTGGTATTTTTTCAACCAGAAAGAATTTCTTTGCGAGATTTGAAGTGTGCTTCGGGTCATGATCTTGCTGGATTGCTCTCAAGGGCATATTGTCTTTCATATAGGGTAACATGACATGCTTTAGTATGTCTGTGTATACAAACTTATCCATAATGCCATCTATTCTATGTAAAGGTCCCATCCCAAACCCTGAAAAGCACCCCCAAACCATAACAGACCTGCCTCCATGTTTGACAGTGGGAAAAGTGTACTTGGGGTTCAATCTTTGTCCACTAGGACGTCTAACGTAATGAACACCATCTGATCCAAACATATTGAACTTGGATTCGTCACTGAAACATACCCTCTTCCAGTCACAGATGCTCCAATCAAGATGCAACCGTGCAAATTGTAATCGGTCCTTACGAGATTAGCGGCTTCTTACTCTGGCGACGTGCAAATAACTTCAAATTATTTAATCTTCTACTTATAGTTTTCGTAGAAACACTGACAATTCCTTTTGTCTCGATTTCGGCTTTTATTTGTCTTGGGGTTTTAAACGGGTCCTTGGGCGAAATTACTTTTATTAATCTAACTGATCTAGCATTTAGTTTTCTAGGCCGACCACTTCTCTTAGAGGCTCCCAAGATAACTTTTTGTTTATATTTGATCAATATTGCCCAAACTGCTTTACGCTTCAGCTTCAAATTTTTGGCAATGTCGACTTGACGTTGACCATCCAGGTATTTAGGTAAATATTCATATTTGCCTATATACACAATTTTGTCCATTACTGTATGTATGACTCTTAAAACTTTTAAATAAAAAAGTACTAACCAAGCTGAGCGTTTCACATTCGATGAACTGATGTTCGTCGACGCTGGGGGTGGTTCTCGCATCCGATTGGAGAGATTGTAGCACGGCATCTGCTTCGCGTTGCAATCTTTGTTGGATATCTGAACCATTACAATCTGCCAGGACAGGAGGTGAGACACTGGAACTGCCCGGAGAAAAACTCGATTCGCTCAACGTCTGCGTCTTGAATCTGTAAATAAAAAAAAATGGTCTAGTTGATGCTGTTAAAACTATTAGGGCGGTGAGCATCAGCCTAGAGAATTTAAAACTAAGTTTGTTACTAAATATATGATACGTTCTTTGTTCGAATCATGAGATAATATTCATAATACTGAAGCTACACAGCTATGCTACATTCGTATGAGCCACGAATTTCGTATATTTCCAGCAACAAAATAACTTAGTTTAGAATCCTATCGGTTGGTGCTCAGTGTATCAGTGAAATAATAATAATAAAAATAATTAAAAAATGGGAATCATTTCGTACAAAAGAATTATAACAGGTGATTTTTAAGAGGTATAGGATTTGATTTTCAAAAAAAACAAATAATTTGAAAAAACGATTAAATCTTTATTTGAGTCGATAGAACGGTCGATATAATTTGATGTTTGAAGATTATTTCATGTAAATGTTGGCCGCGGCTCCGCTTTAGATGGGCCATGCGCAAGGTCCAATTTTGGCACACTCTCTCCAACATATCGGCCGGTATCTCACGAATAAATGCTTCAATATTGGCTTCCAGTGCGTCAATCGTTGCTGGTTTATCTCTGTAGACATTAGACTTAACATGGACCCACAAGAAATAGTCCAACGGCGTTAAATCACACGATCTAGGCGGCCAATTGACGGGCCCCAAACGTGAGATAAACTGTTCACCGAACTCGCCTCTTAATAGGGCCATTGTTTCGTGTGCGGTGTGGCATGTGGCACCGTCTTGCTGAAACCACATGTCAGCCAAGTCCATTTTGGGCAAAAAAAAGTTTGTTATCATCGCACGGTAGCGCTCGCCATTCACAGTTACGTTCCGGCCATTGTCGTCTTTGAAGAAGTACGGCCCGATGATGCCATCGGCCCATAATCCACACCAAACAGTGATTTTTTCGGGATGCATTGGTAGCTCTTGCAATCCTGTCGCAAAATTTTCCACGTAGTGGAGTAACAGAGGCCCAATTGCTGCGAACGGCGGCGAATCGACATTTCACGGTCATCACTAACACTGGCGGATACAGCCGCCATATTTTCTTCAGTCCTCACTCTACGTCTGCGTGTTGGTGGTTTAATGTCCAATAATGTAAACTGGGTTCGAAATTTAGTCACAAGCTTCCGAATAGCTTCCTCAGTAGGCCGACCAAATTGCCCATAAATTGGACGCAGTGCCCGATGCACTCTCTTAACCGAGCATGAATTTTGATAGTAAAATTCAATAATTTGCAAGCGTTGTTCGTTCGTAAGTCGATTCATGGTTAAATTATAAACCAAACTGAACAAGTTTGACAATGACACAAGACACGATTCACGCGTCATCTGTCAAAAACAGTGTTGCCGAAAAGATACTAGCAAAAAAATCACCCATTATTATTATAACCAACTAATGTATGCATATTATTGAATAATAACTAATTACTTAACAACAATAAACAATTCCAAGAATAGTCCATATTTACCAGCATTTTGTATTCATCATCAGACCTCGGCGTACACTTTCAGTTTAGGTCTCTTTTTAAAACTAAATTAGTGTGTTATTTTGGAACGTAGCAGGCAGATGATTATACATATAATTTGATAGCGTTGTAACTAAATGATTTTTTGTAGACATCTTTAGAATGTAAGGGTATCACTAACATATTTCTATTCCTTTTACAAATATTTAGTTGATTTGTGCCGCTATATCGTGCTAACTTTCTTATTCAAGCCTCGTGGTGCAATTGATGGACTGATGAATGTTTATATCGGAATTTCTAACTCCAGACACTTTTTTTATGAAGCGTAAATATCTCGAACTGTCGCAACGGACAGAATATTTTTCGACAATGTTCTCACCAAAAACGACCCGGCCTCTGTGCGATTTCTACATTCCGGTCAGTTGCTTTCATCAGATTACTAAATTGTCGACCCTAGATCCCTACCTGTCTCGATTCTCCATCCTCTTCTGTATAAAACTCCTCCTGATACCCAGCTTACTCCTCGTCGGACTGTGATGTTGCTGTGGCGATGAAGGCACTCCACTATCGTAGCTTTGATCGGCACTCTCGGTCTTCGGCGTCCCTACGGCGGCCTGTTGAAGAGCACTTGTTATGGCTCTGTCCAACACTTGAGTCTCGAAGCGAGATCGGTTAGCCTGTCGACGTTCTTTTGGCGTTAGCTGGCGCGGTTGCTCCACGGGATACGTCGTGCTGTCAATGCTCAGATCTGAAAATGTCGGCATTTTTAAGAAACTTCCATAAATGCGACAAGGGCACAGTGTTTTTCATATACGCGGGCGGTCCGATAAGTGCTTGGCCTCATCACCCGATAGCGTCACCATCACAAGAGACATATGCAATCAGACTCAAAATTTCACTGCGTATCATTGAATTATCTAAGAAAAAAAGTAAACAGTTTAAAATCAAATAATAACTGTGCCGAAATCACTACTAAAAACGTGCTGAAAAACTGTTTCGAAATTTGGGATATCCTGTATTAAATTGGATCAATTGTTCACTGAGAAGAAGTTCTTTTCCTGAAAATTTGAAATGCTCTACAATAACACCAGTTCCCAAAATGAATTCTAAAAGATGCAGCGATATGAGACCAGTAAATGTGTTACCAGACATTGAAAAATTATTAGAGTCCATAGTGCATGACCAATTAATGCAGTTTATAGAAGAAAACAAAATTTTAGTGTATGCGCAAGCAGGCTTTCGAAAAAAATATTCCACAGAAACAGCTTTCCAGTTGGTAACTGAGAATTGGAGAAGAGCCATAGGCAGCAGCTTTGGCCGCAGTAGTAGACTCTTCGGTCTCCTGATCAGTCGCCGTGCGATGTGCGGGTTCGAGTCCCGTCCCAGGAGAAATTTTTCTCTTGGCTATGGATGTTGTGATTGTCCGTAGGTGGTAGACGGTCTCTGACTGTCGAACGTGGAGGTACCACCCGGTGGATCTCGTAGGCGGAGCCAGAATGTGTGCATGTTGCATGCACACGTGTTCCCTCGCCAGAGTCCGTGTGGCGTTCCCCCTTTCCCCTGTATCCCCCTATAGCCCCACGGTACCCAATGGGTGCTTAGGCCTTAGGCCTTCGTGGTAGTTGGAATATATATAGAAAGAAAGACTGAGAAGAAGTTGTCATAGCAGTATTTTTGGATTTGAAGAGGGCATTTGAAACGATTGATAGAGATATTTTGTTAGGTAAATTGAAGGCATATGGTATAACAGGAAGTGTTTTAGATTGGTTTAGAAATTATTTGTCTAAAAGGATGCAAGTTACAAAAGTTAATGACACTATTTCATCGAAAATTGAAAATACGTTGGGTGTTCCACAGGGCAGTATCCTCTGACCACTTCTTTTTATTTTATACATAAATGATTTACCTGCCATAGTCAAAAAATGCAAAATTCAGATTTTCGCCGATGACACTATGATTTATATAAGTACTAAAAATATTCAGTCTGGTATCTCTTATATAAATGAAGACTTGAAGCTTGTCTCAAAATGGTTAGCATCTAACAAACTAAAATTAAATGCAAGTAAAACGAAAGCCTTGTTAATCGAAAAAAAAACAATGTACAAATGTTCAACTGAATATTGATGGTAAAGATATTGAATTCGTAGAAAATTTTAAATACCTGGGGGTTTTTGTTGACTCTCGATTAATTTTTGATATTCATTATGAAAAAGTTATAAATAAGATTAGTAGTAAAGTGGGATATTTATCGAGAGTTTCTGGATGTCTGAGTTCATATAGCAGAAAAATTATCTATAATACCATCATTCTTCCAAATTTCTTGTACTGTTCGACTATTCTATATTTAGCAAATAATTCCATTTTTGAAAGACTGCAAATTTTACAAAATAAGTGCATGATAATAATACTAAATAAAGATAAATATACTCCAATTAGGCAAATGCTTAGCAAATTAAAATGGCTCAATGTAAAAAATTTTATCAAATATCTTGTAATGATATTCATTTATAAAGTAAGAAATAATATATTTCCATCAAGTCTAACTAATTTAACATCATCAAATGTCGACCATCATTTACATAATACCAGAAATAAAGATGACTTCCATTTAATGACCATATGCTACAAATCTGTATTCCATCAAGGGTTGATTGAATATACATAGTCATGCCATAAGTTCTGTCCCTCGTTTTCAAACAAGTGTAGACCTGTTAATACTTGTCCGATTGTTTACATTGTGGTGTCAGTTGATTAAGCGCTTTTCGGGTAATTACATATACCTCAGTTTGTATTGATCTCTCGAAGCATAACGATGGAGTGGGGCAAGGCAGAGAACCGTATTGCAGTGATAGCTTTACATAAGTGTAATCACAGTGCTAGTCAGATTTTTGAACTCTTACGCGGCCTTCAAATATCGCGTAAATTTGTGTCTAGGACCATTCAGCGGTACAATGAGACGTCCTCTGTTGATGACAGGCCAAGAAGCGGAAGACCTCGTCAAGTAAGGACTCCAGCAGCCATCAAAGCCGTAAAAGCCAGGATTCAAAGGAATCCACTCCGGAAGCAGAAGATCCTATCCAGGGAAATGAAGATTCCTGTCCGGACGATGTCGCGCATCATTAAACAAGACCTAGGGCTAGGGGCTTACCGGAGACGTACGGGCCAGCAACTTACGGCCACCTTGCGACACATCAGGGCGACAAGATCCAAGAAGCTCTTGGAGAGGTACGCAGCTGGGGGATTCCGAAAGATTTTGTTCACGGATGAGAAAATCTTCACCATAGAAGAAAAATTCAACCGACAAAATGACAAAGTGTATGCAAGGAGTTCACAGGAAGCTTCGGAGATCATTCCGAGAGTTGAGAGAGGCCACCACCCTGCGTCAGTCATGGTTTGGTGGGGGGTGTCCTACGAAGGGGTCACTCAGCTCCATTTCTGTAAACAGGGCGTAAAAACAAAAGCGGAAAACTATCAGAGCGACATACTGGATCCTATCGTCAAGCCTTTAAGTGGTACATTGTTTGCCAACCAACACTGGGTCTACCAGCAGGATTCCGCCCCCGCTCACAAGGCTAAGAGTACGCAGCGCTGGCTGGAAAGCAATGTGCCAGAGTTCATTGCTGCGGAAGATTGGCCCTCAGGGAGTCCGGACCTCAATCCTTTAGACTACAAGTTGTGGGACCTGCTAGAGCAGTTGGCCTGCTCCAAAGCCCACCGTAATATCGAGTCCCTGAAAGCGGATTTGATCCGATCAGCGGCAGCTATTCCTTTGGAAGCTGTGCGTGCAGTGATAGATGAGTGGCCCGCGAGATTGAAGCAGTGTGTGAGGGCCAAGGGGGGACATTTTGAATAAAACTGTTTGATTATGAATTCTAAAAATGTTGTCGAATAAATAATATCTTTCATATAAATATATCTTATCTTGTTTCATTTTTATCATGAGATTATCATGGGACAGAACTTATGGCACGACTACGTATATAAATTATACTCGGAGATAAAAGACCCGAAAACTTTGACAAAATTTAAAGTAAAGTTGAGAAATCACTTGTTAAATCTACAATTATAGGTTGCCAAGCATTTACATCATACACCATATGGCTTGAATTTACTAGTTCTAATTTTTTTTAGAATTATTCTGTTTATGTAGCCAAATGTGCTAAATAAATCTTTCTACTACTACTAGTAGTTTTGTTTTGACCGCGTGTGGAAGCGCACGTATCCCCTCAGTATAGAAAAATGGAAAAAAGCACTATCGGTCGGAAATTCGATTCTTTTTGGAAAGGGAATCGCGCAGCGAAATCAAAGAGGAAGACTTTCATTTACAAAACTGCAGTAGCAATACAACGAGCAAGTCAGTATTTCAAAAAGGATTGTACGAATTTAATAAATTAAGTAATGATATCAAGTTGTGTGTCAGTTTATGTTCAAAGGGAAATTGAAAGAATATCTCATGGAAAACCAGAATTCATAGTAGTGAAATTTCGTATAAAAATGTGTAGTCTTGAAGACATCATATATTTTGTGATATACTGTGTAATATGGATATTATGGACATGGTAGCATTAATGCTAAATAAATCTGAAACAAACAAACAAAAACGACGTGTTCCATTCCGACGTGTGTGGTTCCAACCGGGTGGGGTGACCGCCCAAACAGCAGCCAAAGTAAAGACGAACGTTATTCGCCCTTTCTTCCGTGATCCATGATGTTCATCGGCCCCTCTGTCCCCAGATTTATCCATCTGTGATTTTTTCTTATGGGGACACCTCGAGGCTCGTGTATACGAGCATAAGCCCCGAACTCTGGACGAGTTACAGGAGATGTTGCCAAAGTTGAGAGAACGACGTTGGAGAGTGTCTACGAGAACGCCTCAAGTAATTTATCGTCAAAAACGGTAACCACATGACTGATGTGATTTTCCACAATTAATTGTGAGAAACGCTATTTCATGGCTAACCCAAATCCGTCGATTAATTATGTTTTTAGGTAAAAATTACCGATTTTGTCATATAGGTATAGGTATACGTAGTCATGCCATAAGTTCTGTCCCTCGTTTTCAAACAAGTGTAGACCTGTTAATACTTGTCCGATTGTTTACATTGTGGTGTCAGTTGATTAAGCGCTTTTCGGGTAATTACATATACCTCAGTTTGTATTGATCTCTCGAAGCATAACGATGGAGTGGGGCAAGGCAGAGAACCGTATTGCAGTGATAGCTTTACATAAGTGTAATCACAGTGCTAGTCAGATTTTTGAACTCTTACGCGGCCTTCAAATATCGCGTAAATTTGTGTCTAGGACCATTCAGCGGTACAATGAGACGTCCTCTGTTGATGACAGGCCAAGAAGCGGAAGACCTCGTCAAGTAAGGACTCCAGCAGCCATCAATGCCGTAAAAGCCAGGATTCAAAGGAATCCACTCCGGAAGCAGAAGATCCTATCCAGGGAAATGAAGATTCCTGTCCGGACGATGTCGCGCATCATTAAACAAGACCTAGGGCTAGGGGCTTACCGGAGACGTACGGGCCAGCGACTTACGGCCACCTTGCGACACATCAGGGCGACAAGATCCAAGAAGCTCTTGGAGAGGTACGCAGCTGGGGGATTCCGAAAGATTTTGTTCACGGATGAGAAAATCTTCACCATAGAAGAAAAATTCAACCGACAAAATGACAAAGTGTATGCAAGGAGTTCACAGGAAGCTTCGGAGATCATTCCGAGAGTTGAGAGAGGCCACCACCCTGCGTCAGTCATGGTTTGGTGGGGGGTGTCCTACGAAGGGGTCACTCAGCTCCATTTCTGTAAACAGGGCGTGAAAACAAAAGCGGCAAACTATCAGAGCGACATACTGGATCCTATCGTCAAGCCTTTAAGTGGTACATTGTTTGCCAACCAACACTGGGTCTACCAGCAGGATTCCGCCCCCGCTCACAAGGCTAAGAGTACGCAGCGCTGGCTGGAAAGCAATGTGCCAGAGTTCATTGCTGCGGAGGATTGGCCCTCAGGGAGTCCGGACCTCAATCCTTTAGACTACAAGTTGTGGGACCTGCTAGAGCAGTTGGCCTGCTCCAAAGCCCACCGTAATATCGAGTCCCTGAAAGCGGATTTGATCCGATCAGCGGCAGCTATTCCTTTGGAAGCTGTGCGTGCAGTGATAGATGAGTGGCCCGCGAGATTGAAGCAGTGTGTGAAGGCCAAGGGGGGACATTTTGAATAAAACTGTTTGATTATGAATTCTAAAAATGTTGTCGAATAAATAATATCTTTCATATAAATATATCTTATCTTGTTTCATTTTTATCATGAGATTATCATGGGACAGAACTTATGGCACGACTATGTATAGGTTAAAAAAATCGTAAAATTTTTCATCAGTCAAGCCATTGTCATAGTTGCCCGTAGAACCTTAGCTCTTGTGCAGAGTATCACTTCGTAAGTCTGTCAGTTCCGAAAATGAACAATGTTAAGGATAAGAGAGAAAAGGAAAGAAGGAAAGGAAGAAGAAACTCGATTTCCGAGATGCTTCAAATGATAAATGTATTAGCACAAGTAAGAACAAAATGCATTATACCTGTTACATGCCTTGAGTTCAGGTCTTCTCTAGTAGTAGCATAGTCTTCTGTTTTGTCAGCACTACTACTACAACTTTCTTTCTGTTTTTCCCCTTCTTCCTTCATTACCATTTCAGCAGCAACAGTGTAAGTCTTGTACCTAAAATAGAGTATTCAAAAATTTACCCCGCTACATACGACAATATACAGGGTGACAGGTAAATAGGTGTAAAACATTTTAGGAGGTGATAGTACAGCCCCTTTGCTATCGAAATTAGTATATAATACCATACCCTATATTCAAAGGTTGAAAAGTTATTGAAGATTTGAGATTTTTTTAAAAACAATCCATATTTCAGAGTAAAAAAGTCGAGAGAGAAAAAAGTTGGCGATTAAACATTTGTTTTTTGTGGTTTTGGGTTATTGTTTCAATAATTAACTATTATAAATTAAAAAAGATTCGAAAACAATACCAAACAACGTATTTATTTTCATTCAAAAATGTTTAACTAAGAAAAACAAATAACGTTTTACAGTAAGTAAGGTGTTTTACAAAAAAATCAGTATACAAAAAAACGTACAAACAATTTAAATAATATCCTTGTTTCATAAGGAATCTAAATTGGTATGATAAGTGCACAAAAACTCTGTGAAAATAAACATAATGTATTGTAATACAACAATAGGGAGTAAATTTACCAATGGCTTGTCTCCTATTTTCACAACTCTCTGATTGATAAGAAAGTGTTTTTGTGAAAATAATGTAACTGTAAGCTATGGGATAGAATAATAAAAACTGACTAAAAGTTACTACAATTGGTAAGTAAAATACAATAATGAAATGAAGGTAAAATTCATTGCAATTGTTGTTCGAACTGACGCCCGCCGTTTCTTATGCAAGCCCGTAGTCTTTTTCTCATGTTGGTACGCGTGATGCGGCCAGTTAGTTGTCGTCTGATAGTGTCAGCAGCAGCAATAATTCTTTATTTCAACTGTGGAAGAGTGTCTATGGGCTCCGCGTACACCAGTGACTTCATGTGCCCCCATAAATAAGTCACACGGTGTTAAATCTGGGCTCCTCGCTGGCCACGGTGTCGGTCCACCTCGGCCAATCCAGCGACAAGGATATTTCTCGTCCAGCCACTGTCTAACACCCAGACGGAAATGCGCGGGACAGCCATCGTGTTGGTAGATCATCTGCAACCTGATATTCAGAGGCAGGTCCTCGAGATACTCTCAGAGTTCGGATCTCAAAAAGTTTTCGTAGGATTCGCCATTCAGGTTGTCAGGCAAAAAAAACTGATCCAATTAGATACGTATGAATGATTCCCATCCACACGTTTGCCGAAAATCTTCTTTGATGGGCTCTTGGCTTTGCCATGTGGGGATTTGATTCTCGTGGGGCCCAATAATGTAAGTTGTGATAATTTGTTGTCCCCTCTCTATCAAACTTAGATCGTCGGTCCACAATATTTTAGTTAAATAGTCGTTTTCTTCTTGATCCCGATGAAGCATGTATCGACAAAAATCAATTCTTCTTGCGGGATCTCCTTCTTCTAATACTTGAACCGGTGTTTAATGGAAAGGGTAAAGTCTCGCCGAATGCAAAACGAACCAAAATTTCCACTGAGTTAAACCAAGCTGCTTTGCTATAACTCGTGTAGACGTCGTCGGGTCTCTGCCGTAGCATTCCAGTATTGCCTCTCGATCTTCGTCGTCAAACAACCGAGGTCTACCAGCATCATGACGTCTCTCATGAACCGGTCCACTTTCCTTGACGCGTTGGTACACAGAAGCAAATACTCGATGACTCGGTATTCGCCTATTCGGAAAACGGTTTTCGTATTCTCGCCTGGCTTCAACGGAATTTCCATCATTTAAACCATAACAAAACAGAATTGATATTCTGATGCGTATTCTTCGTTACGGTAACTCGCCATTATGAAAACTGATCAAAAAAGTAAAAGTACGTCCTACCGCGTTAAAGGTTGATATTCTACTAACTAACCTAAGCGTTAGGACCCTTTCCTTGATCCGTCAGCTGTGTCAATTCATAACACATGCAGAGCTTGCTTCCGAGGAGCGACGACAGATTCCGAATACTTAAACCCGAATAACGGCACAGGGCACAAAAAATAACAAAAAGGGTCGAACCATGAAAGGCTCGGTTTACCTGCTCAGTACAATGAAATGCGCTTATCCGTCCTTTCTAGCAAAGTAATATTGTTTTGTTAAATGGTTTACTTGCTGATATGTTATTATACCATTTTAGAAACCTAATGAAACGAGGAAGTTTTTGCAGTGATCTGTACATTTTCTTTATGATTTTTTTTTGAAAAAAAAGAATACTTAATGTGAAAGTTGAAAATAAAAATTTTCATTTAACATTTAAATGGATATAAATACGTTTTCAGTAGTGTTTTCATGTTTTTTAATTTATGAGAATTATTTATTTAAATAATAACCTGAAACCACCAAAAAAAGAATGTTTAATCACCGACTTTTTTTTATCTCAACTATTTTACTCTGTAATTTGGGTTGTTTTTTAAAAAAAATTAAATCTTCCATAACTTTTTAACCTTTGAATATAGGGTATGGTATTATATACTAATTTTGATAGCAAAGGAGCTGTACTATCACCTCCTAAAATGTTTTACACCTATTTACCTGTCACCCTATATACAAAATGTTAGATACGAAGAATTGATATTTTTTCTGAAGAGACTGATTACTCTACTAAATGGTGGAGTAGAATAGCTGATAGAAAGGGGCCGTGGTTTTGTTATTTTTTGCCTATTTTTCTGGCAGCTCTACACATTAATCAAATATATTTGTTAATGCAGCCATTTTCCACAAAATAATAATGTTGGGTTTTTTATATCATTAAAAACGTAATTATCTTGCGACTTTAAAGGTGAGACACTAAATGATTTTAAGATTCGTATTAGACATTTTTTGATCCAAAATACAAAATTGGTGATTTTCTAAATACTGATTTCAACGCGCTGTGTTTGTTCAAAACTTTTAAGTGAGAGGATTTCACGTAGTACGGTGTTATGACGATTGTAAACAATTTTTTGTATTGAAATATTACCTGTCTCTTGCAAGATTCCTTCTTTGTTTAGTCATCATACTCTTGCTCATTGCCTTGGCAGGCGTTTTCTTCGGCGTTGCTTCGGCGCTACTTATCGGATCGGGAGTAACGCTGTGCGCATCAGAAAATTCTGTGATTTCATCATCGGCTATTGTCGGGTCTTCTTTTAACGTTGAATCACCAAGATGTGTCATACAGTCTTCGAAAAATTCCGTTTCGGTGCCTGTCAAAAGAATGCGGCAATCAAGAAACAGTTCAACGTCTCAAAAGGGTCGTAAACCATATTCATAAGATCACTATCATAAAACCATATTCATAAGATCACTATCATACTGGTCTACGTTTTCTCTTAGCGAAAGGCGAATTTGCGCTCCCGCCAATTTTTATAAAAAAACAAAGCTCTCTAAATTCCCGATTCCATGATACATGGTGTTTAAACTTATCTGCCAGTACAGCGCTGGTTTTCACAAAATCAGTTCGCCTTCTCAAAGCCATTTCGATTTTTATTTTGAAAACATCTGCATGAAAAACTTCAAAAGATAGTTTTTTTTTAAACTTCAACTACCAAGAAGGCCTAAGGCCTAAGAACCCATTGGGCAACCTGGAGCTATAAGGGGATACATGGGAAAGGGGGAACGCCACACGGACTCTGGCGAGGGAACACGTGTGCATGCAACATGCACACATTCTGGCTCCGCCTACGAGATCCGCCGGGTGGTACCTCCGCGTTCGACAGTCAGAGACCGTCTACCACCTACGGACAATCACAACATCCATAGCAAAGAGAAAAATTATTAAGTACATATAATCAATCTGGTTTTACCGACACGAAGGCCACTTTTGAAACCAATTTTTTTCATGTTAATGGGGCCTTTAATAAGACACATCTCAAATCTTCTTCTGTTTTTGATAAACGTATGATGACTTGTCAAAGTTGAACAATAATAATCATAAGCATTTATTCGTGTTAATATACTAAGTGACATATAAATCCGAACACCCAGTTTAAATGATTTTATTTTAATAAAAGTTGGTGAATGTATTTACCTTACTGTAAATAACAAGTGAAAAAATTTTCAGCCTTATCAGTTGGACATTCCGGTTTTTATACTGCTTTTTTTTAATTCACTAACGCTCTAAAAATGAATATTTCAGCCGCAGTAAAGAATCAACGTTGGCGGATTTTGGTTCTTGACATCCTTTACGATCGGTTACGATGCCTAGAGTACGGAGACCTGTACGATTTCGTCAACTTAGTGAGTTTGATAGGGACCGTATAGTGGGACTTCGGGAAGTTGGACTTTCTTTTCGGGCAATTGCAGTTAGAGTGCAAAGAAGTGTAGACACTGTGGTTAGGTGTTGTCAGGCATGGCTTCGAGAAGGCCGTACGCAAAGAGCAAGGGGCACTGGACGCCGCCGTAGAACAACAGACCGTGAAGATCGCCGCCTAAGATTATTGGCCTTAAGGGACCGTTTCTCCACTACCAGGTCCATTGCAAATGAATGGTTTGCAGAACACGGAAGACCTATTGGCATGCGAAGTGTTTACCGACGAATGAGAAGTTTTGCCTTGTTTTCATACCGGCCACACTGGGTCCTCCCTTTAACTCGAGAACACCGACGTAATCGCCTTGAGTGGTGCAGACAACGGTCACTCTAGGACCAGGAATGGAACAGTATTGTCTTTAGTGACGAGTCTCGATTTTATTTCGGCATGCACGATGGTCGTGCCAGGGTTAGAAGGCGACGTGGTGAAAGGAGGAATCCACAGTTTTTTGTTGAAAGACATGTTCATCACACTGTTGGAGTTATGGTTTGGGATGCTATAGCTTATGGTTCCAGGTCACCTTTAATCTTCATCAGAGGTAACATGAACGCGCAGCGTTATATCCACGAAGTTCTAGAACCCCATCTTTTACCCTATCTTGACACCCTGGCAGATCCAACTTTCCAACAAGATAATGCCCGACCACATGTTGCAAGAGTCACAATAGACTTCTTTCAACATAATGATGTCACATTGTTACCATGGCCACCAAGATCTCCCGACTTATCCCCAATTGAGCACGTGTGGGATATGATGGGTAGGAGGTTGCTCAATTTGCAACGTCCTCCTGAGACTCTAGAAGCACCTCAAGAGGAGTTGGTGGTTGCCTGGAATGAGATACCATAGGAGGACATTGACCACCTGATCAGAAGCATACCTAGGCGCGTTGGAGAATGCGTAGCACATCAGGGTGCATCCACACATTATTAAAGGTCAAAGGGCTTTAAAGCAGTGCAATCATTTTGAAATTTTTATCATTTACTTGTTATGCTTCATTAAGTACTTATACAAAATTTTATTAAAATAAAACCATTTAAACTGGGTGTTCGGATTTATATGTCACTTAGTATATACTACAGTCTAATCATATTAGACGAAAATAATAATAATAAAATGGGTACATCAATTTTTGCGGGAAAACTTTTTATTTGACAACAGATAATGAGAAAACGTGTTTTTCGGATTCAATCGAAAGTTATGACAGGAAAGAAAAAACTTTCAATATAAGATTTTTACATATTTATGAGACCTACAAAATAAGACCACACGTAAAAAGATCCGACTAGTAGCAAAAAAGTTACTTCTGAATAACCACAACAAAATTGGAGCAGAAAACACCTGTTTTCTGGCCATCACTACTACTTTATTGAGCAATATACAGGGTTAGTTCAAAGGGCATTCTATAGCAAAATACACTTGCCGGTATGTAGTAGTAGTAGAAAGATTTATTTAGCACATTTGGCTACATCAACAGAATAATTGTAAACAACTTAGAACTAGTAAATTCAAGCCCTATGGTGTATGATGTAAATGCTGGGCAACCTATAATTGTAGATTTAACAACTGATTTCTCAATTTCACTTTAAATTTTGTCTGGTCTTTTATCTCCGAGTATAATTTATTATATTCAATCAACCCTTGATGGAATACAGATTTGTAGCATATGTTATAGTTTTTGGTCATTAAATGGAAGTCATCTTTATTTCTGGTATTATGTAAGTGATGGTCGACATTTGATGATGTTAAATTAGTTAGACTTGATGGAAATATATTATTTTTTTACTTTATAAATGAATATCATTACAAGATATTTTTTAAATTGAGCCATTTTAATTTGCTAAGCATTTGCCTAATTGGAGTATATTATCTTTATTTAGTATTATTCTCATGCACTTATTTGGTAAAATTTGCAGTCTTTCAAAAATGGAGTTATTTGCTAAATATAGAATAGTCGAACAGTACAAGAAATTTGGATAGAATGATGGTATTATAGATAATTTTTGTGCTATATATAAAGGGCTATAACTTTGTTACTTTAATTTTACCAGAAAAATGGTAAAGGAAAAAAACATTTCTTTTGATCAGATCTACTCACTGTTAAAATAAATGACTCAACTTCGAAGTCACCCTGTATAAGAGATACCAGTCTGAATATTTTTAGTATTCATATAAAAATCATAGTGTCATCGGCGAAAATCTGAATTTTGAATTTTTTGTCTATGGCAGGTAAATCATTTATGCATAAAATAAAAAGAAGTGGTCCCAAAAAAACCATTCCGGAAGATAAATGTTATTTCTATGCAAAAAAAGATGGGTTACGTTTTTTTTTTCTAAGCAAATTCAAAGACGATAGACACATCCGCATTGTTTTAAAATGTGCATAGTAACATATGTTTTTCGAATACTGTACATATCTCATTTGTTCAGTTACTCACAAATACGAAATTTTTGAATTTGTTCAGAAGAAAAAACGTAACCTTTGTTTTTCGCTTAAAAATAATATTTATCTTTCGGAATGGTTTGTGATTCATATCGGCAAGGTAAATACGTGAATTTTGCTATTAAATGCTCTTTGAACGAATCCTGTATATTGCTCAATAAACTATAGTAGTGATGGCCGGAAAATAGGTGTGTTGGGATAAACAATTAGAAATTCTCAAAAAACTACTTGACTCCAATTTTGTTGATGTTATTCAGAAGTATAAATCCTACGGATTTAAAGAATTCCAGGTAGCTGCGTGAAATTATCGTCGCATTACCAACAAGCGTCAAAACCTGCATTTTGCCTCGTTTTTCGGCCATAACATTTTTGCTATTAGTTAGATCATTCCACGTGCGGTCTCATTTTGTAGGTCTGATAAATATCTAAAATTCTTATATGGACAATTTTTTCGTTCCTGTCAACACTTTCGATTGAATCCCAAAAAACACGTTTTCTCATTCTTTGTTGTCAAATAAAAGGCTTTCCCACAAAAATTGGTGTACCCATTTTATGCGTCCATCTTTTAAATACCCACTTGAACAACTTGCACCAATAAAACCAGACTTTACAATTATTTCGGGGAAATTTGCTAATACGATTAAACTAACAGTGCTTACACAGGCAAGAAAAAAATGAAAATATTTAAAAAATAAAAAGGTTTGGCAAGTTTTACCATCCGCCTACTTGGAATCGAAGCATATTCGGCGCTATGTTTACAAGAACTTTGTTTTTCATATTTAAACATACCTTTCAATTCTTCTGATAAAGATTATATAACACGCTGTACAAAACTCACCTATAGCCTCGCTAGGAATATCAGCCAACGAGTTACAATAATCCGTGATCTCATTGAACAACGAAGGCGGATTGATATTCTCCAACTCAAATTGAGACCCGCTGAACGGCTGCTTGACACTAAAGATCGGATGTGGTAACTCTTTCTCGCTCGGAAGACTGGCGACGCTGGTCATGCTTCCTTCCATGTCGCAGTACAGAAGGTCAGACGGAGGATTCACGTGGTCCAAGTTTGATATGCTGTAGTTTTCGAGGCTTTCCAGGCTTGAGCCGTGATTCAGAGAGTTGTTAAGTGCCCTGAAAAAAATGTACGTTAGATTGTACGTCGAGTTTTGGAGACTTACCACGTGGTTCAATGGCTCTAGTGTTCTAATGATATACGTTAGATTTTTTAAAAATTACGACAACTTCATTAATCCCAAGAAACTTCTACAAGTTTATAGAGGGACAATTAAAAATAAAAAATCACACTCATGAACAAAGTAGTTCATTTACACCGACATTAGCACCGTATTACTGATTCAATAATTTCTTAATTTTGACGACTCTTCTGTGCTTATTTAGAAAAGATAGAAGAAATATCTTAAGATTTGGAAGCATTCTTCAGCGGTAAAATTATTACCTGCGAACCATAAGTCCAGATGGCAACGATTTCTTTCGGACGATCATCTTGGGACTCCTTGGCGTTATCTTGTGTTCTGGAGTCGATGTGCTATTTGTCAAGGAATTCAGTTGAGATGGCGGTTGAACATGATCAAGCTCCAAAGATGCGGCGCTTGTTATGCTCAGAGACATCTCTGCCTCATTCTGGAAAGAGATATGTAATTGAAAGTTCATGAAACGTGAAGTCTTTTTATGTTAGTTTATTACGTCAACTGACTTATTAGCTCTTTTTTGATGGTTAGATGTATGAAAGGAGGCAGTAATAGGCATTCTGGTAAGACTATTTTTAAGCGTCGTAAGATTTTAACTTTCTCATCTTTATCTTTATACGAAATGGCTGCGCATACTTATTAACAAAAATAGGTTTTTAAATAATTGTAACTCGTACTCGACCAGAAAAGTTGGAGACGTAACTGTGTGTTTTGCCAAGTCTCAGATCTCGGGAAATATGGTACTGGGTCCACGAATTTTCAATAGGCAAATCATGTTAAAGAGTGCGGATATATACGTATACATAATTTTAAGGCCAAACTGACAGAATTTCTTGTAAGTAAATGTTATTATGAAGTCCCTGAGTTTGTTATTTTATGATTTATTTGTCTGTTTGTTTTGCTGGCTTTATACATACAGTAATGGACAAAGGTATATAGACAAATATGAATATTTACCTAAATACCTTTAGAAAACGAATTCATACTTCATTGCTCCATAAACAAATGCGTTATTAGTAGAAAAACTAAATTCCTTGTTTTTACATTATCTGCAATGAACACAATGCAAGTCTGAATATAAGCACTTTTTTATGAGGGACAAAAATATTTAGACAAATTCTTTTCAACATTAGTTTAGTACAGTTTCGTGTCAGAAGAGGATTAGTTTGTATTCATCAAGTATTGTGAAATAAGTTGAGCGATTGTAAGACCATGCCACGTGGTCCAGAAATTTCTTTCGATGTGAAAACTAAAATCATTGAGTTATACAAAGATAGTCAACGTCAAGTCGACATTGCCAAACATTTGAAGCTAAAGCGTAAAGCAGTTTAGGCAATATTGAACAAATATAAACAAAAAGGTATCTTGGGAGCCTTTAAGAGAAGTGGTCGGCCTAGAAAACTAAATGCTAGATCAGTTAGATTAATAAAAGTAATTTCGTCCAAAGATCCGTTTAAAACCCCAAGGCAAATAAAAGCCGAAATCGAGACAAAAGGAATTTTCAGTGTTTCTACGAAAACTATCAGTAGAAGATTAAATGATTCGAAGTTATTCGCACGTCGCCCCAGTAAGAAGCCGCTAATCTCGAGGAAAAACCGTAAGGACCGATTTCAATTTGCACGGTTGCATCTTGATTGGAGCATCTGTGACTGGAAGAGTGTATGTTTCAGTGACGAATCCAAGTTTAATATGTTTGGATCAGATGGTGTTCATTACGTTAGACGTCCTAGTGGACAAAGATTGAACCTCAAGTACACTTTGCCCACTGTCAAACATGGAGGCGCGTATGCTATGGTTGGAATGGGACCTTTACATAGAATAGATGGCATTATGGATAAGTTTCTATACTCAGACATACTAAAGCATGTCATGTTACCCTATATGGAAGATCATGTGCCCTTAAGATCAATCTTCCAGCAAGATAATGACCCGAAGCACACTTCAAATCTCGCAAAGAAATTCTTTCTGCATGAAAAAATACCAGTTCTCAAATGGCCTTCACATATAAACCCCATTGAAAATCTATGGGAATACTTAGATAAGCAAATCCAGATAATAATTATTCAAACAAGGATGAACTTTTTGCCGCTTTAGAGCAAATGTGGAGACAGATTGATGAATCTTATATCAAGAAACTTCTACAATCTATGCCGAGACGATGCCAGGCGGTGATTGATAATAATGGTTATGCTACAAAATATTAACATAAGCATGGTTGGTTTTCTATAATTCAATGAACTTTGCTTCTTTTTTCTATAATTGTTTTGCTTTGTTTATATGATATATTTTTGTCCTTCATAGTTCCAGTTTTTTTCAATTAATTTTTCATTGAAGGGAGTCTAATAAATTTATTTATGAATATGTGAGTATTATGCTATAACCAATTATGTATACAAGTTGGTGTATTAATAATACAAGTTAAAAAAGAAATATAGCACAATATTAATTTGTCTATGTACTTTTTTCCATTGATGTATATTTATTTTTTGTTTCATTAGTTTTTACTCTCAAAAAAAATGAGATATACCTTCTTCCAGCCCCCTACAACGTCCCAACCCTTCAATTTTTTGTCCCTGAAAAATTGTTCAAAAATAACCAGGATTCTCTGAACCTCAAAAAACGAATATTAATCGATTTGTATTTTTTTTTTGATTTTTCTCTCCGCCGCCACTAGACTGATTTTTAAACACTAAGAAAGCTTCAGCAAAATCCAACAGGCGCTTTTCAAGTTATAGCCCAGATAAGGATTTGTGGATAGACAGACCGACGGACATGGTTTTTCGTAATACAAGGTCTGTCGCAAAGCAAACAGGACAAAGAAAAAATGAACAAAAATTCGAATTTATTTTATTCAAAATAGTCTCCTCCAGAGTTAATACAGCAATTTGCACGGACCAAAAGTAGTTCATGGCCAAATGTGGTTTACCGAATAGAAAATAGTTCTAAACGACTTTTTTCGGATTTGGGTCGCTTGGGAGCTTCCATTCGACACTTTGACGCTTGGTTTCGGGATCGTATTGGAAACACCAAGTTTCGTCACCAGTCACAATGTTGTACAGTCTTTTTTGGCCTCTTTAAGGATATCTCTCGAATGTTGAATTCGAAGCAATTTTTGGTCATCTGTGTGAGCTTGTCCAGAACCAATCGTGGGCACACCTTTCTCATGCCCAAATTCTTGGTCAAAAGCGATGGATTGAATCTTTAGAGATATTTAATTCCATTTCTACAGGGTGTTCCTTAATGATATGCGAATATTTAAGGGTGTGAATTCTACATGAAAAATTAATGTTAGTTTTCTTTATAAACTATGGTCCAAAAATGTTTACTTACAAAAATTCGGCGTGTTGAAGTTTTCGGAAAAAATGGAAACACTGGTCAACACTGGTTTTGCCACACGAACTTTGACAGCTAATTTTGTTTTATCAGTCTACCCTCATTATTACATGACAGCTGTCATATGTCTATTAACCTCATATTTGTTGTGATACGGTAATACTCATAACTAGTACTACGGCAGTAAATTAACAGAAACGCTTACAAGTAAATCCTTATAAAAATATTTGTTGTTGAATTTGAACACTTTTTTGTGATTTATTAACCCTGTGAATATGTCGAGGAAGTGTAATAATGATCCTAACTCTTTTTGTTATGTCTGCGGAGAACTAACATTCAAAAAACAACGACGAAATTTTACGAATCTTGTGTTGGAGTGTTATCACCAATGTTTTGGTTTTTCTGTCGCCCATCAAGACAAATCCTGGGCCCCTCATGTCTGTTGCATAACGTGTGTGAAAAATTTAACTGACTGGAAGAAAGGTGCACGACCTATGCCGTTTGCTGTACCCATGATGTGGACTGAACAGCGAGATCACGTTTCAGATTGCAATTTTTGTCTCACAGACATAAAAGGTATAAATTACAAGAAAAAAACCACAGTTATTTATCCTAACTTATCTTGGGCTATAAGACCAGTCTCTCATTGTAAAAAATTGCCAGAACTAATACCAGTTGCAACTACGTCTGTTGAGAACAATTCACAACCGTCCACTTTAGGTGAATGTGTTGAGGAGGACGATGACTTTGAGTTAAAAGGAATTGTAAACGAGCCACATTTGATAACTCAAGGAGACCTAAATGATTTGGTTCGGGATTTAAATTTGTCAAAAAAGCAGTCAGAACTATTAGGATCACGTCTAAAAGAATGGAATTTGCTACATCATAATACAAAAGTTAGCTATTTTCGAAACCGTGATCAACACCTCAGAACGTATTTTTCTCAGGATGGAGATTTGGTGTTTTGCAATAACATAAATGAGATTATGAAAATGTTGGACATAGATTTTGATCTCTCTCAGTGGCGTTTTTTCATTGATTCTTCGAAAGCAAGTCTAAAAGCAGTGTTATTGCATAATGGAAATAAGCTTCCGTCTGTACCTCTGGCCCATGCTGCAAATATGAAAGAAACCTATGAAAATATGAAACTTTTGTTGCACTATTACTTGGACTTCAGCTGGGTTATACAAAGTTTTGCTGTTTTTTATGTGAATGGGATAGCCGAGACAGAACTAATCACTATATAAAAAAAGGCCTACGCGTGCATCGTTAGTTCCTGGGCAAAAAAACGTAAAGTATATACCACTTGTACAGCCAAATAATGTGCTTCTACCACCATTGCATATCAAATTAGGATAAATAAAAAATTTTGTGAAGGCAATGGATCGCAATGGGAGTGGATTTTTGTATCTAAAAGAAAAACTCCCTAAAATAAGTGATGCAAAGATAAAAGAGGGTATTTTTGTTGGCCCTCAAATTAGGGAGTTAATAAAAGATTCAAGATTTGAAGAAAAATTAAGCGATTTAGAAATATCTGCATGGAAGGCTTTTAAAAATGTTGTTTCAACTTTTTTGGGTAACCACAAGAGTGACAGCTACAGAGTGTTGGTTAGCGAGCTATTATTGTCATATCAAGCATTGGGTTGCAACATGTCACTTAAGATCCATTTTTTAGACTCGCACCTGGATTTTTTTCCTGACAATTTAGGAGCTGTCAGCGACGAGCACGGTGAGAGGTTCCATCAGGACATTTCTAATATGGAAAAGCGGTACCAGGGCAAATGGAGCCCAAATATGTTAGCAGATTACTGCTGGACAATTAAAAGGGACCAACCAGAAGCTAAATATTCAAGAAAATCTTAGATTATTAAGTCATTTATAAAAAAAATAACTTTTGATTTACGAGATCTGTGTTTTTTCTTAATATTTTAAATTACTCAATAGAATAAAATCCTTGTCTAGCAAATTTACTGTTTATTTTTTCTTACAATCACCAATTAAAGTAAAAAATATCAAAAAAGTCCGTGTGGCACGACAAAGTTAAAATTTTGTTGACCAGTGAAATTAATTAATATTTTCAGTACCGCTTCAGATATTTCACTGATATTTAGTACGTAGTGAAAGTTAATAAAGTTGCATATTTTTCAATGCAAAAATAATTTTTAGCTTTAACAGTGGTGTGCGTAAGGGTATTGACTTCGATATTTTTTCAGAAACAAAATGGTACGCCACTGGTTTTTTGCCAAATAAGAATTATTTTTAAATTCCCCGTTCAATTTAAAACAAATGATCTCTCTCGAATTGTTTTTCTTCGATGCGCCATTTTTGAGTAAAACAATAAAAACCGTTCTATTGTCTAACTTACAAAATTATTATTAATTTAATTGGAAAAAATAAACACATTAAGGGGGTAATTTTTGGACCATAGTTTATAAAGCAAACTAACATTAATTTTTCATGTAGATTCACACCCTTAATTATTCGCATATCATTAAGGAACACCCTGTATATATATCAATGAAGATTTTGGATCATAAATGTTCTACCAAGTTTAACTCAGAATTTAATGTCGGCTCTTTGTTCGATGCTCATTTTTCGACCGATGCTAAAAAGGTACTATCACTTTGAGCGCGATGACTCCGCGCGAAGTGGTTCGATTGTCATGAAATATTGACAGGGCATCAATGAAAGATGTACCTATCAAACGCTAGTCTCCGATAATAGATGGTGCTACAGATCTTGCATATGTGGTTTTGATTTAGGCACACAATGTCCTATGGACATGAAAAGCACAGTATATGTTTCAGAAGTAGCACTCAAAGAAAAGTCTCGATATTGCTAGGACGTGCAGCGGAAGAGGGATATTTTGTCAATAATATAGCTGCTATTTTGACGTTTTTACATGAAATATCGTGGTAGATACAGTGCAGATACATCAGACGCATCAAGTATGAGATGCTTACCTTAAAAACAGTTGCTATTTTTGTAGCCTCCATAGCGATCAACGTGCTATCCGTCAACGTGGAAGTATTAATAGACGAAAAGTCATTAGAAGGTTCTCCACTTTGACCTTGGCCATCTGGTTGGTCAACATCCGTTGCGTCACTTTGCTTCTTTGGCACTTCATCTTCATTGCTGAACGTTATCACATTTGGGGCGCTACCGGAGATGCTGGGGAAAGTGATGTCATTCGTCGAGGTATCGTCGTTCCAGGTACTATCTCCGGTAGAAGTGCGCATTTTGTTGTACTTATCATCATCTTTATTCAAGTGGCTTGCCTACAAAAATAAAAATCTGGATGTTATGTTCATATACTACCAACTATTTTTTTGCTCACAATCCTCTTAACCAGTTGTAGACGATGTCGTCTTGTCCTTTTTAAGACTACTCAATATGACGTAAATCGAAGGAAGGAAAGATACAAAACTCTAAAATTTGTGCTTCAGCTTACCTGAGACACCAACTCGGCGGTAAATCGATCCAAAGATTCGATCATAGCATCAGGATCCAACATCCTATTGTCTACGATTTTTGATTCCTCACAACTTCTTGCTAAACAGTCCTCGAGTACGATGTTATCGAACGCGGTTTCCAGCAGTTTTGGTAGAGATTTGTTAGATCCATTCTTCACGAGATCTGCAATACAAATTCGTTGGTGTCTGGATACTCGTGTTATGGTTACATATTTTAAAAGATAAATATGTTCAATGGTAAACAAACGACACGTAAAAATTGATTTATGGGTACTTGAGGAAATGTCCCAGTTACTGCAGTGTCAAGGTTACGGAGTAAATGAGATATTGAAATTGTATATTTTTCCTTTAGCATGACCAACTCGTATAATTAATGAACAAATTCCGAAGTCGATGATTAAAGCTATTTGTTTTTATATATCCAATACTGTTTCTTATCTGGTAAAAAAATAATCGGCGAAGTGGTATAGTGATGAGATTTATTATACTAAGTGACATATAAATCCGAACACCCAGTTTAAATGGTTTTATTTTAATAAAAATTGGTGAATGTATTTATCTTACTGTAAATGACAAGTGAAAAAATGTTCAGCCTTATCAGTTGGACATTCCGGTTTTTATACTGCTTTTTTTTTAATTCACTAACGCTCTAAAAATGAATATTTCAGCCGCAGTAAAGAATCAACGTTGGCGGATTTTGGTTCTTGACATCCTTTACGATCGGTTACGATGCCTAGAGTACGGAGACCTGTACGATTTCGTCAACTTAGTGAGTTTGATAGGGGCCGTATAGTGGGACTTCGGGAAGCTGGACTTTCTTTTCGGGCAATTGCAGTTAGAGTGCAAAGAAGTGTAGACACTGTGGTTAGGTGTTGTCAGGCTTGACCGCCGTAGAACAACAGACCGTGAAGATCGCCGCCTGCCTTAGATTATTGGCCTTAAGGGACCGTTTCTCCACTACCAGGTCCATTGCAAATGAATGGTTTGCAGAACACGGAAGACCTATTGGCATGCGAAGTGTTTACCGACGAATGAGAAGTTTTGGCTTGTTTTCATACCGGCCACACTGGGTCCTCCCTTTAACTCGAGAACACCGACGTAATCGCCTTGAGTGGTGCAGACAACGGTCACTCTGGGATCAGGAATGGAACAGTATTGCCTTTAGTGACGAGTCTCGATTTTGTTTAGGCATGCACGATGGTCGTGCCAGGGTTAGAAGGCGACGTGGTGAAAGGAGGAATTCACAGTTTTTTTGTTGAAAGACATGTTCATCACACTGTTGGAGTTATGGTTTGGGGTGCTATAGCTTATGGTTCCAGGTCACCTTTAATCTTCATCAGAGGTAACATGAACGCCCAGCGTTATATCCACGAAGTTCTAGAACCCCATCTTTTAGCCTATCTTGACACCCTGGCAGATCCAACTTTACAACAAGATAATGCCCGACCACATGTTGCAAGAGTCACAATAGACTTCTTTCAACATAATGATGTCACATTGTTACCATGGCCACCAAGATCTCCCGACTTATCCCCAATTGAGCACGTGTGGGATATGATGGATAGGTGATTGCTCAATTTACAACGTCCTCCTCAGACTCTAGAAGCACTTCGAGAGGAGTTGGTGGTTGCCTGGAATGAGATACCACAGGAGGACATTGACCACCTGATCAGAAGCATGCCTAGGCGCGTTGGAGAATGCGTAGCACATCAGGGTGCATCCACACATTATTAAAGGTCAAAGGGCTTTAAAGCAGTGCAATCATTTAGAAATTTTTATCATTTACTTATTATGCTTCATTAAGTACTTATACAAAATTTTATTAAAATAAAACCATTTAAACTGGGTGTTCGGATTTATATGTCACTTAGTATATTTAGACGAGTTTTAAACTTGATTTTTGGCAATGGGATAGGTCTTACATCAAGAATAAAACGATAATATTCTCATTTAATTGATAAGAAAACAAATTGGTAATGTGTTGGGCGACCCGAACTTCTCGAGGAATTTAAAATGGTGAGATGTATCATTTTCCTAGTGGTTTCATATGTGTGGATGTGCGCAACGATTTAGTCAATTCTAATGTTGTTTCATTGAGGATACATACGCCTTAAGATAATGTAATTTTTAAACCTTTTCTTGTAATCGCGTTTCGGACTCAGTATTGATATTAGTCTGAACAACGGGTCACCGCGCCTGCTATCAGGAACTTAAACACTCCTTGTTTCGAGAAATCGGCTCAACACAGTTTCTTTGGGATCCTCATAGCAGCCACGGCTTCTACTTGTTCGGCGCTTCGCTCCTCCTAGCCCTAAACAAAAAGCAACGTAAACCTCACCTGCCGCATGCATGCCTTCTGCTTGCTCCTCGCGCTGAAGCATCGACGTACTGTTGCTCCTCGTCCTCTCCTGTCCCTGAACCATCACCCTTTCGGCGTCTGCTACGCCTGCCGCCGCGCGGGTCTCCCCGCCTCCGGCCTCCTCCCGTCGGTCTAGGTCGCTGACCGCCCCCTGCAGGATGGGCGGCCGCGATTGGACGGACGATGGCGGCGGCGTGCTCGCGGCAGCAGACGCAGCATTCACGTTTTTTGGAGGCGGCGATGACAAATGGGCGGTGGGTGGTGGTGCCGCTGGCGGAGCTGACGGGACTGATGATGTTCTGCAAGACCTGCAAGGAAACCATAACTACATGGTGACAATAATATAGTCGAAATTCCGATTATTATTAGTATTTATACAAAACAGAAACGACCAGAGCACAATACTAACGTGTGATTTTTTTGCTAGTATCTTTTTAGCAACACTGTTTTTGACAGATGACGCGTGAATCGTGGCTTGTGTCATTGTCAAACTTGTTCAGTTTGGTGTATAATTTAACCATGAATCGACTTACGAACGAACGACGCTTGCAAATTATTGAATTTTACTATCAAAATTCATGCTCGGTTAAGAGAGTGCATCGAGCAATGCATCCAATGTATGGGCAATTTGGTCGGCCTACTGAGGGAGCTATTCGGAAGATTGTGACTAAATTTCGAACCCAGTTTACATTATTGGACATTAAACCACCAACACGCAGACGTAGAGTGAGGACTGAAGATAATATTGCGGCTGTATCCGCCAGTGTTAGTGATGACCGTGAAATGTCGATTCGCCGCCGTTCGCAGCAATTGGGCCTCTGTTACTCCACTACGTGGAAAATTTTGCGACAGGATTTGGGTGTAAAACCTTAAAAGATACAGCTGGTGCAAGAATTGAAGCCACACGACCTCCCACAACGTTTCCCATTTGGTGAATGGGCGCTGGCAAAGTTGGAGGAAGATCCACATTTTTATCGAAAAATTGTGTTCAGCGACGAAGCTCATTTCTGGTTGAATGGGTACGTTAACAAGCAAAATTGCCGCATCTGGAGTGAAGACCAGCCAGAAGCATTGCAAGAGCTACCGATGCATCCCGAAAAAATCACTGTTTGGTATGGATTATGGGCCGGTGGCATCATCGGGCCGTACTTCTTCAAAGACGACAATGGCCGGAACGTAACTGTGAATGGCGAGCGCTACCGTGCGATGATAACAAACTTTTTTTTGCCCAAAATGGAAGAGATGGACTTGGCTGACATGTGGTTTCAACAAGAGGGTGCCACATGCCACACCGCAAGCGAAAAAATGGCCCTATTGAGAGGTGAGTTCGATGAACAGTTTATCTCACGTTTGGGGCCCGTCAATTGGCCGCCTAGATCGTGTGATTTAACGCCGTTGGACTATTTCTTGTGGGGCCATGTTAAGGCTAATGTCTACAGGGATAAACCAGCAACGATTGACGCACTGGAAGCCAATATTGAAGCATTTATTCGTGAGATACCGGCCGATATGTTGGAGAGAGTGTGCCAAAATTGGACCTTGCGCATGGGCCATCTAAAGCGGAGCCGCGGCCAACATTTACATGAAATAATCTTTAAACATTAAATTATATCGACCGTTCTATCGACTCAAATAAAGATTTAATCGTTTTTTGTTTAGACTACGGATAAAAAAGCCTAAAATACATAAAATAAAACGTCGTTGTTTTGAAGAAAACGCCTACGTGTTTAGAAGCAGTTTTTAGAGAATGACATAAGAACTCGTTTTGATTTAAAGAAATGGTTTCGCTTCCATTCACACCAATACAACCCACAACTTACGATATTTAACCCTTGAAAAAATTATTTCTGAAAATGATCAGGATCAGGTTTGAGCGGTTTTATTTATTTTTCGTTTTTGCATCTTGTTCAATTAAAAAAATATATCTCATTTTCGAAACGCCAGTGGTCTTGGAAGCAAAAAAACATCGTATAGAATAACGGGATCACTTACCTGGCTCCAAATGTTTCAATGGACTTTATTGGTGATTTGCTTTTCGGCTTTCCGGACGAAATACACTGCTCCAATAACGCTTGCTCGGCCTCCAAGGATCCCAAAGATTCAACACTGACGGAAGACAACGATTCCCTGCGCTCTCTCGCGATATTTGAATCAACTAAAATAAAATAGATATTTTATATCTAAAAGATTCGTACAGTGAAACGAATAATACCTGGTTGATTTGTCAGTAGTTCTCCATCGTTAGCAGGGTTTGCCCTGTTGGTTGTTGTGGCTGGTCTATAAAAGAATGTAGGAAGTTATATTTTGCAAAATTACATAGAACGGAATTTATGTATTGCAAATTGCAATATTCCGGATAAGAAAGTAGGTAATCAGTCATATGTAATTTCGCTTAGTGATGCGGGTGGTATTGATTTTCATAAAGTAGAGCAAAGTATAGTTGTAACGACTAATGTTTGCATTGTGAATTTTCCAATTGTAATGCTGTACCGTTCCATATAACTGAAGAAAGTATTACAATTTTATCTTGTCACAGGATATGAAAAGGCAGCAGGTAGCAGTAACAACAAACAGCAAAACAGAAAAGTTGAACACCTAACATATCCTCATTTTTCCTTTTCTTAATATTACGTTTTTTTACACCGAAGCAACCGCGCAGATAGAAGCCTAAATGCTGGGGCACCGCGACTGCTATAAGGATTTCAATGAAACTTCGTTAAAATCCGATTTTTGAACTGACTAGGATTATGTTTACCGTGGTTGGGTTTGCTTATGGTCAGTTTTGGTTCTTTGACAACAATTATGATGAATAATTTCGAATGTCCTTTTGAATACCTTGAGGTTTGAATGTAAACTAAAGTCGATTATATAGTCTAGGCTAGATAAAAAAAGTGTAGTAGATATCTGAAAGTTTTAAGTGGGATGACAAATACATAAAAATATATAGCCAGATATGCGTTGTTTTTTTATAAACAATGGGAAAAGCCCAAAATTCAGTATATTTGTTGTACAATTTCCAAATTAAATTTTATAAATAATGAATGTTTATAACTATTTCGATAACAATTGTAAATGGGTAAATATTTGCGAGATTGAGGGCATGACTGGTGTATCAACAGTGTGCTAAATTTCAGCTGGATCGGTTTAATAGTTTATGTAAAACGCTAATTGTTTATCCGAGAGACGAATCATTTAAACAACTGTTCTTGCCCAAGATATGGTACTAGAACATTAATTAATTAATTATTTATTTTCAAAATTGTTGTTAAGTCTTTTAAGTTTTGCATATGGAAATAAAACAACACGGTAGGTAGTTTTAAATGAATTTATTTTTTGTTCGAAGTATTCTCCGCGAAGATTAATACACATCTGCATGCGCTCGAACCAATTTTCGAAGCACTTATTCCACTCGTTTGCTGGCAGATCCAAAACGGCATTTTTGAATGCGTCAACTGCTTCTTCTGGTGACTGGAACCTTTGACCACGCGGTCTGTTTTTAATTTTCGGGAAAGTAAAGAAATCGTTAGGACTTAGATCGGGACTATATGGAGGATGGTCCAATAATTCCACGTTTTCTTCCGTTAAATACTGCCTTGTTTTTTGGGCTGTGTGCGAGCTTGCATTGTCTTGGTGGAGGATGATTCTTCTTTCGGGGTTGATTTTTCGAAGCTCGGTGATGACTTTTGGCAAACAAATGGTAGTATACCAATCCGCAGTAACAGTTCTTTGCTCATTAAGAGGAATTGTTGCAATAGGACCCGCTTTCGACACAAATGTCGCGACCATCTTTTTCGGAACACTTCGAGAACGGATGCATTTGTTGGCTTTTCTTCACCTTGGAACACCCAAACAGCCGAATGTCGTTTATTTTCTGGTTCATAACAGTAAATCCACGATTCATCACCACTAACAATGCTGTACACATTTTTTGAGTTTCCGGAATTGAAACGGTCAAGCGTTTTTTGACACCAATTAACCCTGGCTGCTTTCTGCTCTTCCGTCAACAGGTGGGGTATCCAACGAGAAACTAATTTTCTTACTCTTAATTCTTCATGTAAAAAATTTTTAATTGAGGTCTTTGAGATCTTCAAGGACGCCTCAATTTCGCGATATGACACATGTATATCTTCAATGATGAGTTTGCGTACAGCATCGGCGTTTTCCTGAGTGACTGCCGGTTTTGGTGCACCCAGCCTGGGATCGTCGCAAAGACTCATTCTCCATACCAAATGGGATATTATCGACTGATGTGGCGCTTCGTTGCCGAAAACAGACAGTAACTCAGCAAGGCATTCTTATTGCGATAATTGTCTCTGAAAGTTGTAATAAATTATGGCGCGAAAATGTTCTCGATTGAGTTCCATTTTTCTAATGACTTGGTGACACTCAAAAATTCACTGTAGTGAGAACACTGCACGTATTGTTGTGAAACTTTGAATTTACGTTCACTAAATAGTGAGGTTAATATTCAGTACTGACGTTCGATCCGCGCGGCCTACGATGTTTCTATATGCAAAACTTAAGACATCCATCGTAAACATGACGTTAAAAAATAAAAGAAGGTTCTACGAAGCTACGTTGCTTAGAAGCCGATATAATTTTACAGAGAACTACAATTTGAAGACTCAATTTCAAAAAATAAATCGAGCTACAGCTGAGCCCCCACCACCTCACGCGGAAATACTTACGCGAGTATCTGCATTTTAGGTGGCTATTTCTTAAAAGCGTTTAAACTGATAGTAAAATTATAAATTGGATCATAAAACTAAGATCCTTGATTAAAATCTGTGAAAATTTCGAGTCCTAATGTTTATAAACAAAGGAGATATGAATTTAAAAAAATGATCTTGGCTCCTCGTAGAAGGTTTTCTTAAATATGCCTTTTTAACCACCTATCGAGATCAACTTGTTAAAATAAATTATATTAAAAAATAACGGTGTTATTGTGAATGTTTATAACTATAAAAATGGCTATTTTTAACATCCGTTTTAACAACAGTTTTGAAATAAATAATAATTTTTTGCATAAATTCTTGAAGGTTTCAACTTCATTTAATTTTGGTAAAATGTTCTAGGACAATATCTTGGGCAAGAACAGTTGTTTAAATAATTCGTCTCTGGGATAAACAATTAGCTTTTCGCATAAACTACTAAACCGATCCGGCTTAATTTAGCACACTTATTGAGTCCAATGATGCCCTCATTCTCACAAATGTTTAGCCATTTACAATTGTTATTGAATAGTTGTAACAATGTTTCAATATTGCTAAAAAGCCCCGTATTTAGCTTAATTGTTTATTATTTAAAAAATAAAATTGAAGGTCTTTTTATGCTCTAAAATCCCCAGTTTGCCGATTATTCATAAAATTTAATTTGAAAATTATGCAAGTAGTATAGCTGGCTGAATCTTTTTATGTATTTGTTATTATTATTATTCATTTAAAAATTTCAAATATCTACTAAACTTTTTTACACGAAATACCTACTTTTTTCTCTGTAGCCTGGGCTAATAAGCACTTAGTTCCGACAAGGAGTATCTGCCTATAAATAGTCATCCAGACAAATTCAAAGCTGTTGCCTAGCTACGCACGAAACGGATCTCTTCTGTACGGACACAACAAGCAATCCAACTAAACCTCACCTTTTCAATCCTGCAACGCTCCCGTCCACAGTCAAATCGCTCAAACTGCTCCTAAGCGAGAAATGACACGGACTATTCTCGACCGCGTAACTGGCCAGTTCGTCTTTAGCGCACGCTAACGCTACAGCTGGGTGCTTCACCGGTATGGCTTCGCCAGTGACGGGGGGCCGATACAGGGCACTCGAAGGCCGTATCGGTATCGTCGAACAAGTGGAAGACACGTCTGTGTCGGTGGTGGCAGATTTCTTGACCTGTGGCATGCCGGATTGGATGCACTCGGCCAGGATGTTGTCGTTATCACCTGGAAAGGAAGAAGGAAGGTTTGAAAAATGCTTTTACTCTCTACATGAGTTTTACTAACACGTGAAAGTATCTGTTTTTTAAATTCTTTTAAGCTGTTAATCATTTCGTTATCAGTGAATTGTCTATTATCGTGGAGTAAATGTATTTTAATTTCACTTTTTATTCGAGTTTTTACGAAAGTATGTCTGTTTTCTTTTTAAGCTTTTAACCATTTGTCCTCACTGCTCGATGTTTATTGTGTTTATATATTATGTATTTCTAACGGATTCTCCTACCGCTTTTCTTTGTATCAGCTTCAATGATTTTTAACGGCTAGACGAACATTTTTTGTGATAAAAAAAGTCACTGTATATGTATATATTTTTACCGTTACAGATTGAACACATTACGATTCTTGCGCTGTACCTATAATGTGATTTAACCTTTTAAAATGTTTTGTAATTGTAATGTCCTTATTTATTTTATAATTATAAGTATTTTTCTGGCATATTTGCTCAAACACATATATGACCTTCAAATTGATATTGACAAGTCTTATATCATGTAACATGATCTAATAGGACAATAAACTATCGATATCTATCTATCTATCTATCTATCTTGTTCGTTAAGTGGTCGGTGACTGTGTCTGGGATCGGTACGGGTATCACGTATCTTGAAAACTGACATTATGTAGGTTTTTCTACAAGATATTAACTAAGCACTTAGTTGTACGTGTTGCTTAATCGTCATGAGGCTTGTTATCAATCTTTGCCGCTGATGCGATGTAAAATCTGCTTCTGAGATGGCATTACTGGAGGTCAAAGCTGTAAGTTGTATGTGTTGATGATAATTACATTGGGTTCTTGTCTCAAATACACTTAATTGAGATTCAAAGCTAGAAATTGATTGCGCATCTACTTTTTCTTATCCATCCCGCAAATTACATATACAAATTTGCTGAATTTCAAAAACGAGAGAGATAAGAAATAATTATATTCACTGTACACTGTCGAATTACAAGCCATATACATGCCAACAGTAATTACACAACCCGGGCGCGGTGATGATTTCCCGTAATTCTCCTCAGTTTTTCGTAATCTATAACATTGAACATAACCTCTCTTCAGAAAGCACAACATAAAAATAACCCGTCGGGCACAGCCAATAGATATACTTCATTGGCAGCATATTCAGTAATGATTTTCTCACACAGCAAATATCACTGATTTTATACACATGCAGACCAATACACATAATCATCCAGATGCGATCTTGCTGTTCAACCAACTTTATTCTCAGATATAAAAACTACAGACAAGGACCACTCGGCCTCATAAAACATATGCAACCAATAATGCGTGCAGTTTAGTTGAGTGATTCCTTCATAGATGGACGTTCACAACGATCCTAGTGAGCAAACGTGGAATGACTGTTTGCGCCCTAAAAGCTACCTAGTTTGCAAGATGACATCTTATAGGTTTTTTTTGACGTTACATGATAAACCGTCAACTGGAATAAACTACAATTTGGTACGTATGTGGATTAACCTAAGTATTGTCTACATTCAAAGGTCTTTGCTTAAAATTAACGTGCAGCAGTGGTGGAGATACAGATAATTAGTGGTATTATTTTTCCAAATAAAAACAGTACGCTACTGTTTTTTTCGAAACGCGCAATTTTTCGAATTTTACCCTCAATTTGCTACAAATAATTACTGTTGTTTTTTCCATAGAATGCATTGTTTACGTAAAAATAAAAAAAAACAAATTAGATAATCACATCTTTGGTTCATGATGACAGCTTGCAAGGGATAAACATACCACGATTTCATTAATTTAAAATCAAAAATGAATGAAACACCTATTTACTTCACTCGACTTACACTGGGATGTTTCAAAATAGTAAGATTCACACTTTGAAAGATGTTTGTTCAAGAGCTTACATGTTCAAACAAAAATGATAACATGATAACGCTGAGAGATATCTTGATAAGCATGTACATTTTTTGAATATTTGCACTTAAGTTATAAATATCACGATGCTGTGTCATAATACATAATAAGATCACAATAAATTAAGATATACAGTAATGGACAAAAGTATATAGATAAATATGAATATTTACCTAAATACCTTTAGAAAACGAATTCATACTTCATTGCTCCATAAACAAATGCGTTATTAGTAGAAAAACTAAATTCCTTGATTTTACATTATCTGCAATGAACACAATACAAGTCTGAATATAAGCACTTTTTTATGAGGTACAAAAATATGTAGACAAATTCTTTTCAACATTAGTTTAGTACAGTATTGTGGAATAAGTTGAGTGATTTTGAGACCATGTCGCGTGGTCCAGAAGTTTCTTTCAATGTACAAACTAAGATCATTGAGTTATACAAAGATGGTCAACGTCAAGTCGACATTGTCATAAATTTGAAGCTGAAGCGTCAAGCAGTTTGGGCAATATTGAACAAATATAAACAAAAAGGTATCTTGGAAGCCTCTAAGAGAAGTGGTCGGCCTAAGAATTTGCATATTCGGTATTTGAGAGTAATTTATACATGTGATGTATACATAACCCGCATGCGGCCCGCGGGCCGTATTTTGGACAGCCCTGAGTTAGATTAATAAAAGTAATTTCGTCCAAAGATCCGTTTAAAACCCCAAGACAAATAAAAGCCGAAATCGAGACAAAAGGAATTGTCAGTGTTTCTACGAAAACTATAAGTAGAAGATTAAATGATTTGAAGTTATTTGCACGTCGTCCAAGTAAGAAGCCGCTAATCTCGAGAAAAAACCGTAAGGACCGATTACAATTTGCACGGTTGCATCTTGATTGGAGCATCTGTGACTGGAAGAGGGTTTGTTTCAGTGACGAATCCAAGTTTAATATGTTTGGATCAGATGGTGTTCATTACGTTAGACGTCCTAGTGGACAAAGATTGAACCCCAAGTACACTTTGCCCACTGTCAAACATGGAGGTGGGTCTGGGGTCTGTTATGGTTTGGGGGTGCTTTTCGGGGTTTGGGATAGGGACCTTTACATAGAATAGATGGCATTATGGATAAGTTTGTATACACAGACATACTAAAGCATGTCATGTTACCCTATATGGAAGACAATATGCCCCTAAGATCAATCTTTCAGCAAGATAATGACCCGAAGCACACTTCAAATGTCGCAAAGAAATTCTTTATAGATGAAAAAATACCAGTTCTTAAATGGCCGTCACAGTCTCTCGATATAAACCCCATTGAACATCTATGGGAATACTTAGATAAGCAAATACGAGAAAAAATTATTCAAACAATAGCACAATATTAACTTGTCTATATACTTTTGTCCATTACTGTATATAGTATCCGACGCGAAGAATTGTGATTTCATAACACACATACCATAACAAAATATAGATGCAGGAATAATCCCATTGTGAGATAATACAATATTTATGAAATCCAACAGTGCTAGAACCAAAAGTAAAGTGCTCTAAAGTTTAAACTGATACATATGCCTCTATAGATCTCTTACGTTTCTAATCCTCAGCTAATCTGCGCAATGACCTTTCATCTACAGCCTTAGAAATATTCACGGTTAATCAATAGACAGAAGCCTTCGGAATCGTAAAAACGTGTCTCGTTCACTAATTGAAAATCAATACAAAAATATAAACAGTAAAGCTTTAGGACAGACAAAGTAAATCTCGTCACGCAAAATCTTTTAAAGTACCTATTCGGTCTTTAAACCCCAACATTGATTAGCCCTGTTCCTTTTGCCGATAATTGACATTAGGTGAGTTGAATAGCTATAGTTTGAGCGAAAACAGTCGACACCTTAGAAACATTTTTTCGATTAAAATTTGAGGCATCGATAGTAATTGGTAAGATTAAGGTCCGCTTACATCAATTGTATTGGGCTGAGATCAAGTTTCAGAACCGAGGGATCAACAATAAAACATATGTTGCTAATTATTTACGTTGATCATTGATTAATCATGGATGTCGGTTAGTTTGTATAATTTATCAAGAAAAAGCGAATAAATAAGAAATTTAGAAAGATCTAGTTCAGATAACAGACTGGTTCTATAATCAGTTATGAAGCGTTGATTATAAAAATCTCCAAAATGCGAAAACTAAAAAACTAAAATTTCGGTATTCTTTTAGTCTAATTTCTTCGTTGGGGTGAACATATTCAATATATTACAAAGTCACTTCTGTTATACAGGGTGTTCGAAAAACAGATGGAGCTATTTTAGAGGGTGATTCCTTGTTGAAAATTATGAAAAAAAGTTTCTATAAACATCGATCCGGAAATGCAGAGTTTTCAAATTTGTAGTAAATAAATTTAAAAAATCTTTTTTATTATCTTAAAAAATATTTACTCGATTCTGTTAAAATGCCTCTTGTATTTTTTCATCTCACTTCGTTGACGAGAAAAAAAAATTAAAAACCATTTTGGACAATATTGGTTTATTAATTTTTGCAAAAAAAAAAATCACAAGTGAATTGGAAAAAAAATCAATAAAATTTCTAGAAAGCAAGTTTTTGCAACTTTTCCAATAGGTACCATGGCATAAAGTTCACAACAAATTATTTTTTTTTAAATTGATCACCCTGTATCTAGTAACTAGTTGAATTCCACATAACTTATGGAATTATTATCTGGGGATCCACGAATAACCACCCCCTGAATTCTTTACAAATTATACAAAAATTATTCATAAAAGCAATGCATAATAAGTCTTTATCATATAACTGTTTATAGAATCAAAACGTTCCAATATTAAAAAAATATATTTGTATGACGTTATATTAGAATTTCATAAAAACAGTCGCCCATGTATAATAATTATGAATATGATACTGGAAATAAAAATAAATAATGATTTCAACACAAAAAAATGAAATAATGTTGAAATTACAGCAGACGCTCGATAATGTAAACTAATTTAATCCAAGTGTGGTTCACATTATCGAAAGGTTTACATTAGCGAACGTGATTTATATAATATTTGATTTATTAAAAGAAACGTTTAATACATACTATTTATAACAAAATAAACAAATATTCTAACAGCGATAAGTATTTTTTTAATTAGAAGAAAAATAATTAACAATTTTTGTCTGCGTAAATTTGCGCTTAGCATTGTCTTCCATTGCCTGCGCCCGTAATTTACGAAGAACTAAAATATCCGTGTATGAAACTTCTTTTCTTTCAGCCCAATATAAAGCTTGGTTAAAAACTTGTATAGCTTGAGCGTCAGTCACTACACTTCTGACTTCAATGGATCGTTCTCATCATCCTCACTGTCCATATCCTCCTCCTTATCAGCATCATTCGTTTGCTTATCTTCGTTCCATAAATTAATATCAGCAGGAGTACAAACAATGTTGGGATTCACTGTTTTCAATAAATCAACAACATCCAATGACACACTAATAACATTATCATTATTGGATCGCAAACGTTCTCTAATTACGCTTAAGGGGACATCGTCTTCTTCATCATCTTCATTATTGGTACCAAAGAGAGTGTACCAACATTTTTGAATAGTTTGCTGGTTAAGTTCATTCCAGGCCATATGTAAATCTAAAACAGATTCTCGTAATGTTACTTTTTTTAATGCCTCAGATAAGTTTTCAGGATTCTTTGATAAGACAGACGAAAGTAGAAACTTCCTATAGTATAGTTTGGTGAGTCTTATTATATTCTGGTCCATCGGTTGAATTAACGGTGTTACGTTGGGCGGCATGTACATGACGAAAATTGACCCATCCCTGCTCCTCAGTTGTTGCTCGGGAGGATGACTTGGTGCATTATCCAATAGAAGCAATGCTTTTATTGGAAGCTTCTGTTGTTTTAGGAAACCTTTTACCTACAAATTGAAAACACATCTTCAAATTATGAATAGAGCATTTGTGATAATTGATTGTCATACCTGAGGGACAAAGCACCTGTGGAACCATTTCAGGAATATACTGCTAGTCATCCAAGCGGTTTTTGAACAGTCATAATCAACAGGGATATTAACATTTTTAAATAAGCGCGGATTTTTTGCTTTCCCAATTACCAGTGGCTTTATTTTGTGTGAACCCATTAGTGCAGGCTAGAAACGTTATTCGTTGTTTCTTCGGCTTTATTCCCGGGGCAGATTTTTCAAATGATGCAGCATAGGTTTTCTCTGGTAACATTTTCCAATAAAGGCCACTTTCATCTGCGTTGTAAATTTGTTCCATTCTTGAATCTAGCTCGGTAATTGTTTTCATCAATTTTTCTTTGAATGGTTGCACTAATTTTGGTTATGCTGATAATTTTTCACCAGATATAGACAGCAGTCGAATTCCATATCTTGTTTTTCATTTAACAGTCTCGCTCTCTGTTTAAGTACTTCGCCACTAACTGGGACATGATTTTCCCGTTGTTTTAAAAACCACTTATACAGGGAATTTTCCATTTTAGGTCCCTTCGCATTTTTTAAAGTTTTTCTTTTTCCCGGACCTCCAAATGTATTGCACGTTATTTGTAAAATTTGAGTTTTCATACGCTTAACTTTACAGATTGTTGCTTTCGATACTCCATATTTTTTTGCTAACTGTGTCACTCCCGCACCTAGTGCAACTTCGTCTATGATTTTCACTTTCTCACTCAACTTTAAACACTTTCTTTTATAGGATGTGGATGCCATAGTCGTAAAATATATTAACGCATGCAATGTATTCACTTAAGTTCAAAAATGAAATACATACGTACGTATAAACGTATCCTAAACGATCATACGACTGACCGAGTTTGTCGTATTTTATCGCAGAGGTGAATCCTCTACACTCTATATCATAAATCGGGGACTCCCCGACGCCCGACATAAATCATCGAGGCTTCAGCATTTTACCGGCGCGCTGTTTCCGTGCGCCGAGAGTTGTTTACGTTTACGTATAGAACGAAGTTTGTATTTACATTAGCGCAAGTTTTCATTATCCCGTGTTTACGTTATCGAGCGTCTGCTGTATTTATATAATTTTAAAAAGAACCACATGCGTGGCTATTGAAAACTGACAGAAACATGGCGTAATTTATGAAAATTATGACACACATATCTATCTTTTTTACAATGATGATTTACAATAAAAAATTGCTGTATTATTGTTACTTATGATATTCTCATTCTTTAGTCCTTATTAAGGTTGATTCTCACTATACATTCCGTTTCCATTCCATATCAGTTTCGTAAACGTTCAGTACAATTTGATTGTATACACAGTATACCTTACGGATAATGTGCATACTCACGCAAGAGCCTGCTTTAAGCGAAGGCGAATATTTAATTTCAATAATTTACGGAACGGTTACGGAATGGAAGCGTAATGTATAGTGAGAATCAACCATTAATCCCATAGACCATTTATTGCTACTATTGTAACGACTACCACTCACTATATTGTCATCATTATCTATTATACATTATCTATAAATCTTGTGATAAATTTGAATCGAAACTCACCAGATAGATTACTGCTTTCATCCGAAGAATATTCTCCTTTTCTGCCCCCCTTCTCAATGGATAACAGACTGAGATCTGAATTTGATCCAGCCTGACTTAGATGAGCTGGCGTATCTTCTGTACAATAAGTTTTTAACGTATCATTTGCCGGTCTCAGCTGTAAAAAAAATTAAGCAATATGTCAAACTGGGAATGCCATTTCAGGGATGATTCATGCCAGAGGCTTCAATATTCGTCTTAATTATCTAAGCGGCCTATAGGAACTTTACTATCGGTCAAAGTTTTATAGGTCAGTAGGGCCATTAAGTCTTGTTGTATCAACGAATTAGATAGATAAGAAGGAACCAAGCCTATATGATAGATATACAGATAAATATGCGTTATTGTCTGAAGAATACAATAATTCTTAATGACCAAACTAACTTAAAACTAAACTATCATACTCGTATAAATACGTAAGTGAATCTTAAGTAGGTGAATTGTAAAGGGCGTCTCAATATTAAGAGCGCCGGATTTGATTTTCAAGAAAAACACAATTTCTTTTCGATTTAAGCGAGTATTTATATTACAATATGAAGAGGAATCGCTGCGATTAAACATGAATTAGGACATCCGGTAAATGACCACCACCAGACCTCCGGCACAGGGTCAGTATTTTCTTAAAATTCTGGACAACGTTTTCGCACAACTGTTGTTGATAATGCGCCGTATCTCCTCTTTAAGACGTTCAACTGTTTGAGGCTTGTTAGCATACACCTTTTCTTTCACATAGCTCCAGAGGAAGAAGTCCATTGGCGTTAGATCGCACGATCTTGGTGGCCAATTTTGATCGCCAAACCGACAGATGACACGGTCTGGAAACTTGGTCCGCAGTAACACCAATGTTTCGCAATGTGTGGCAGGTCGCACCGCCTTGTCGGAAGAACATATTCTCCACATCAATTCGATACACAATTAGCAGTTACGGCAGCTCCAGCTGCATTTTCGAAGAAATACGGTCCAATCACTCCACAATGCTCAACAAACGGTAACTGGCAGCGGTTCTGCTTATTGACGTACCCGTTCAGTTAGAAATGTGCCTTGTCAGAGAAAACGATTTTCTTCGATAATTTGGTGGTGCCCCAGTGCCTAATCAACGAATTCACGGCGCTGCGCATGGTCCGTTGGCTTGAGTTTTTGCTTCAGTTGAACCTTGTACGCATGCAAGGACAGATGTTTTGTGAAAATTCGTTGCATAGTGGGTAAGGCTCAATTCTTGGGCACGATGCCGAATAGAAGTGCCTGGATTCTCGGCCACACTTTCCCGCACTGCGACTATATTTTCGAGGGACCGACCGGGACGGCGACGAACAGTGGCCTTCACATTCAGCAACGTCAATTTTGTCTCAAATTTAATAATTAAACGGCGAACTGTCGACTCATTTGGCGCATTACTGCGACCAAAATTGTTAATCTCGACTGTTTATAATTTTCTCCATTTTTATAGTGAGTTTTCACAATAATTAAACGTTGCTCGTTTGAATACTGCTCCATGACATCTAATCGCGTGGTCTGGACATGACAGCTGTCATCACGTAAACACCATACCATTTTCTCATCCTGATGACATTCGCAGAGCGACGAATCTTGTTCATGAAGTAAGAAATGCTCTTCATGTATTCCGCAATGAGCAATAAAACGACTTTCTGGCGGGGATGCTTGACTCAAGTACTCCTCTCTGGAAAGTGGCGAAGTCGCTCAGAAACGGAAAGCGAGAACAACTCCCGCACATCCACGGTCCTGGGGGCATAGTCTTCAGGACCCAGGACAAGGTCGAAGTTTCTGCTGATGCTATGGAACGACAGTTCTCTCCCAACTATGATCTTGATAATGATCTCGACTAGGAATAACAAATTGTGAGATTCGTCAGGAGATATTTTAGGGCCGACGGCGTCAGTCATCCCCGCGCCGCCTTCCTCTTAAGATTCTTTTTCGGGAGATTCTTCAGCTGAAGAGTTACACAGCACATCAGCGCATTGCACACCAGCAGAACTTTAAGGTCATATTAAAGACCTCAAGGTGCGTAAAGCGCCTGGGGAGGATCAAATCACTAATAACGCGCTGAAGCTGCTTTCACGGAAGTCCTTGACTTATCTCGTGGCTATCATCAATGCCATGCTAAGGACCCAGTACTTTCCATCGTCGTGGAAGACTGCGGAAGTTATAATGATTTCATAGAAGGTGGGTTCGATATTTCCCCAGGACTATCGTCCCATCAGCCTACTGTCTGCTCCGTCTAAGCTCACTGAGAAGGTGATTTTACGTCACCTTGAGAATTTCTCGTCAGATCACCATGTGATTCCTGACGTGCAATTTGGATTTCGGTCAGAACATAGTACGGAGTTAGAGGCGGTTAGGCCTGTGGAGCGAGTAACCAGGGGAATCACCCTTAACGAAAGTACCGGCATCTCGCTTCTGGATGTCTCGAAGGCATTTGACAAGGTGTGGTACAAGGACCTTCTCTATAAACTAATTCAAAAGGGCTTTCCATTATGGCTCCTAAAACTTTTTAAACCCTTCCTTGAAGGTAGGAAATTTCGGATCAAAATTAATAATTTCTTGTCGACAGTACGGCCCATCAGAGCCGGCGTGCCTCAGGGTTCGGTTCTAGGGCCAATCTCTTACTCACTTTTCACGCATGATGTCCCTTGCCCTAGCGACTAGCTACAAAGTGCGGTGGATGAGGTATTGGAATGGGCAGATCGGTGGCTAATCAAAATTAATTACCCGAACACGCAGGCTATCTATTGTACTAAAAAACGTAGCTGCGCCCCGCCTGAGGTTTCAGTGAATGGAGCTCGCATACCATGGGGAAATTCTGCTAAGGATCTCGGTGTCACTCTTGACAGGGGGACGACCTGGCAGAATCACACTGAAGCGTTAAAAACTAAATTCCGAATTACGTTTCGGCAACTCTACCCTTTACTATGTAGAACCTCAAAATTAAGTTTGGTTAACAAAGTTCGGCTATACAAGATGGTTATCAGACCAGCAATCACTTACGCATGTGCAGCATGGTGTTTTCTTGCCAAAACGCATATGCGTAATCTGCAGGTTTTGCAGAACGGAACCTTGCGAACCATCACTAACGCACCATAGTATGTTTCCAACGGAACCCTTCACAGACACCTCGACATCCCTTACCTAAGGGACTACATCAAACATCAGGCGCAGTTACGTTATAGTCAAGCGGAATCGCTCAGCAACCCTCTGTTGCGTGAGTCAGTAGTCTACACAGTCGAGCAAGATCGCAAGCACACAAGACCGCGGCTCGCACTGTGATCAAAATCAAATCGTGCAATCCTAGATCTAACCAAAATTACGATTATTGCCACACACAAATTCCTAAATTAATTTTGGATTAGTTTAAACTAACCGAATACCAGTTAACAATAGCAAGGCATCCCTTTAACCGGCGCACTTCACCCTCTTTGCTCTTCCCCCTTCCTTCCTTTCTTTCTTCTTCTTCCTTTCTTTCTTCGTCTGGTATCTGGGAAATCCTGACTGACCTACGATACTTTAATAAAGAGCGAAGGTCCCACGGACCGCTCTGACGGACAATGACGAATAGAAGAAGACCATACCATTTGTACAAAAAAATGGCGGCAAATTCAAATCATGCGCTCTTGTTGAGACACCCTCACATAAGGTATAATATGGTTCACATATTAAAAAGTTTGTAAATGAAATTGTTAATTCCACCACTATGAATTATTGAGTCTTTCACAAGTTTCGATTTAGATACTACTAAAATTAACTATATCTCGATAAAGTAAATTATTAACTAATTGCTCTTATAATAAAGGAAATATTTGCTAGTTGAATGAGAAATTTGTCTACAAGAGTAAAATCTAATTTACTAAAAAAATTGATGAATCAAAATTGACTTACCTCACTGTTTATTCTTACAACTAACGGGCCATCATCAATAGGATGTCTCACTGGTGGTACCGCTCCTCTTGGACTGCTCCTTCTCATCGGTATATTGGTAACATGAGATGGTTTTGGAGCAAATTTGAAGTTGCACAGTTTACTGGTAGGCGTCGACGATGCAGTCGGAGCCGCTTGAGAAGCACTGAAAAGAAAATCGATGTTTCAATGCTGTTGGGAAACATCGAGGAAAAATCTGATGCTGGTAGAAACCAATACGAACGAAATTGCGCTAGCTCGGTATTTTCTTTAAAACGAAATGGAATAAGAATAAATTAATTAATGATAATAGTGATTGAATGGGATGATATACCTGTTATTCTGCATTCCGTCACTGATGCAAGCAGCCAAAATGTCTTCATCTCCATCATCTTCAGATTCCGGAACGAATTCGTCATTGCCGTCTGACCCGCTGGTTTCTTTCTCCGCATCTTTCTTCTCAATTCCTTCATCATTTTGACTAGTGTTGGGTACATCAAGTGTTGGCTCTGACACCTTATTGCTGGTATCGGTTTCCTTAAAAATATTTCCCAGTCAATCGAGGCGCGCTGAGACCATTCACCAAAAAATATTTTTTCAATTTTTTAAATTTGTCAGTAAGTCATTAGGTATTCTTTATCCCAGACAGCAAAAACAGCGTTTGTACTCTTTAAATAAAATATGTATTTCTAATTTAATTTAATGGTGTCTGTTTTGTGTATCAATTCGTTATTTAAATTCTTAAAATCAAGGGAGCATTTAAATGTCATAAATTTTGTCTTATTGACATTGAACGTTGAGTAATTTTTATCACAGCATTTTTTTTATCGATTCTACATTACCGTCAATTTTTGTTTTAAATTCATTTATACAGGGTCTGTCAGAAAGAACGCATGTTTTTTTAAATGAGTAGTACGGTCAAAATAAGTATGGGAAAAATATTTTATTGTATCAAAATACTCAGAAATACATGCCATTTTTTGAGTAAAACAAAATTTACGTTCTAAAAACTGTGTGGATGTAACTCTCTAAATTCACAGTAGTTGTTTCTCCATCATCCTCAAAAAAATAAAGGCCAATAATCATGGTTGGGCCTACTGCACACCAAACTGTAACTTTCGGTATATGCAGGGGTTGCTCATGCAACTGTTGGCGGATCACTGGAGACCAATATCGACAATTTTGTTTATTGGCGTATCCATGTAAATGAAAATATGCATCTCTTGTAAACAACGTCATGTCATTGTTATCCAACTGTTCAATCATGAGCTGAAAAATTAACACGTTGTGTATAATCCCCTGGCAACAGTTGTTGACAAACTTGGATTTTGTAAGGATGGAACACTAAATCCTTCTTCAAGATGCGACGACATCCCTAGGGAACTGGCACGCAAACGGACGGAACGATTCGGGCTTTCAGCGTGTTAACTCACTCTGTCTACGTTTTCGGGGGTTCTAACAGTACGGTTTCGCGCTGGCGGTTTTTTCTTGATCACATTACCTGTTGTGTTGAATGCTTCCACCCATCTCAAAATGGTGTTACGGTCTGGTACTGTCCAACGACGTGGAACACAGACTCGCCATTATGAAAGTACCGACGTACAGTGAACACACGATGCTCAACCTTCCAAACCATCTTGCCAACTGAAACGGCACTTCTCCCACTAACCAACACGGAACCAGCCTACTCGGTGTAGTACCCATTCGAAAAACATGCGTTCTTTCTGACGGACTCTGTATCTATGTCTTGACAAAGCATTGTGGTATCGTCAGTAAAAACTTCGAATTTACTATTTATGTTTGACTTTATTAGATCGTTGATATAGATTAAATATAGGATCGGACCTAGTGTTGATCCTCGAGGTACCCCTGGGTTTACATTTATTTGAAATATTGTGATACTTTCATAATCTGGGATTATTTAAATGTGTTTGAAACAAATTGAGTGCTGTTCCAGTACAACTATGTTTGTTTAATTTTATCAATATCATATGGTAATCTACACAAATGCTTTGGAAAAGTCACAAAAAATAGCAATTGAAATTTGTTTTATCATTATTGGTGTTGTCAAAAAACCAAAATTGGACCAACATTATCCAGATCAAAAAATATTTCTGTTGGTATACCACAAGGTAGTAAAGTATGACCACTATTTATTTTATACATTAATGACATTTGTAATATTTTAGATTATTGTAAACTTCATATATTTGCAGATGATACATTAATATACATATCAGATGAAAATATAGACACTGCTTTAAAAATGCTAAATTCTGACTTAGCAAAAATCGTAAATTGGTTAAATTGAATACTGCTTAAATAAAATGTAAGCTAATAGGGAAATACCCATATGAAAATACTATCACAGGATATATGGAGAAATAATTGAAAATGTTGAATCAATTAAATATTTAGGTATATATATTGATAGTAAACTAAACTTTGAGGATCATTATGAATACATTATTTCAAAAATTGACAAAAAAACAAATTACTTTTATAGGGCTTCTCATAGTCTTGGTACCTATTCCAAGAAAATAATTTATAATACAATTATTCTACCGCATTTACTATATTGTTCAACTATATTGTTCACTGCCAATGAAGCTGTATTCTCAAAATTACAAGTCTTGCAAAATAAAGCTATAAGCACGATATCGAATAAAAATAAGTACACCAAAATAAAATGTTACAAGAATTGCAGTGGTTGAATATAAAAAAATTCATATCATATTTGGTTCTTATTTATATTTAAAATAAAAAATCATCTTTTGCCAGAACATTTAGAACACTACATAGAATTGAATAATCATTACCACAAGTATTATACAAGAGGAAATATAGATTTTCATTTACAAAATTGCAATAGCAATATAACTAGCAAATCAATATTTCAGAAAGGACTACTACTAAACTAAATAATGATATCAAGTCTACTTGTAATTTAAAGATATGTAAAAGAAAATTAAAGGAATATTTCATGGACAATGAAAATTCTTAGAGATGCAAATTTTGTTTTTTTTTCTGAATATCTGTATGTTATGTAATTGTTTAGTTTTTTAGAAGAATGTAATTGTAGCAAATCATGCTAAATAAATCTCAAACAAACAAACAAACAAAATGTAGCTACCACATCTGCGATTTGACGTATTGTGTCTAACGAAAATAAAAACTCGAGAAAAACGACCGACCGAGAAAAACAGTTCTTGCCGACTGATGAATTGATACTTACATCTTTCGGTTCCTCATGATCGTCGATAGTCAAACTGCTCAAGCTAGTCGCCGTAGAAAACTGAATAGGAGTGCTTTCTTCCTTAAACTTGGTAACGTTGTCTTCGAAAATACTCGGTTTGGGAGGCGGTCTAGGTACTCTTTGCCTTATCCGCGACGTTGAGGGGAACTCCATGGAGGTTTTCCTTGGTTTAGGACTGGGAGGTACGGTCTGGGTTGGGGAGTCGGGTAACTCGCTGGGAGAGACTATACCGCTTGTTAACCGGCTGAAGTCTGATATCTAATAGTGGAGAAGAAAGTTATTCTCGTGGAATATATTAATCATTGGTTTTATTTTTTGAAAATATAGTAAGCAATATTGGAGCTCATATATAATACTAACCACTGAGCTAATGTCGTCGTGTATAGAATGCTGTTCGACGCTGTCCAAGGATGCTAAGGAACTTGACCTTGAAAACATTAAAGGTGTTTCTTCAGCACAATCTGCGACTTGCTCAAACTTCACAGCTTTTGTTTCTGTCGTAGTGGCTTTTAGCGCCGGCTTTTCTTCATTTTTATCATCAGCAGCTTCAACAATCTATATTTTTAAAAAAATTAGAAAACCTCAACAATTGATTACACACAATATCAACTATGAATCCAACAAAAAATTATAGATCTTGTAATTTATCCATCGATGCTGAAATTATCTGGGTTTTCCATTAAGGACCTGACAATTTTCTTTCTAAATAAAACGCAAACCATTTGAGATATCTCGAAAATTTTATTATTGGATTGAAGTATACTCAAAACATTTATGTATGGAATTCCACCTTGTTCATATGTCCACCACGGGCACGTTCGCAGCGATCGATTGTTGAACCACAAAAAAAAGTCTACAGGTGTTAAATCACATGATCTAGGTGGCCATTCGACAGGACCATTTCACCGAATTTTGATTTCAATATGTCGATTGTTTCACCTGCTATGTGGCTTGTGGGACCGTCTTGTTAAAACCATATATCATTAATGTACAGCATATCCAATTGACCAAAAAAATAACGTTGCAACATGTGTCTGTAGCGATCTCCGTTGACTGTAACGTGACGAACATTTTCATCAGTGAACAACACCAACGGCATAAAAAACCACACCATTCAGTTATTTTTTGTGGATGAAGTGGTGTTTCTTGAAGCATATGAGCGTTTTCACGTGGACTCAAACTGTTTTACTAGTCTATGAATCGCTTGTCTACTGGGACGAGAATTACGACCAAAAATTGGCGTTAACGTTCTCAAAGTTGCGGGCACCGACTGGGAATTTCGGTAATAAATTTTAATTATTTGTAAGTGTTGTTCGTTCGTGTACTTCACCATGATGAAAATGTTTTCTTTACTGAATGTTTTGACAATGACAGATCGGTAATTGATTTAAAGGTGCGTTCACAGTGAAAGCACAAAGTTGTCAGGTCCCTATTGGAAAAGCCGATATATCGATATACAGGGTGTTTCAGTTTATTGTTGCATAACTTTACGATTCGATAGAACTTTTAAAATTAAAGCATAAAGTCTATATAAACATGTGTCGAAAAATGCGTGGCTTCCGAAATACAGGGTGTTTAAATTTACTTTCTAAAATAGCTTTTTTTAAATATTTCGAACAATATTTGATGTATAACAGTGAAAGTTTGTATACAAGGGTTTTTTGGTACGACAAAACGAACCATGGGCATAGTTTTACTGTAGCCGCTAGAGGGCGCTCTCTACTGTACCTGTAGTGTATTAAAATGACCGAAAAAATTTTCTTAGTGCAATTTTTTGCTTTTTGAATAAAAAAAAAATGATTCTTCGCACTTTTCAACATAAAAAAGCTCTCTTGTGAATTTTCGCTATAGTTAGCCGTTTTTGAGATATTTCGATTTTTCAGGTTCGATGCATTTTTAATTATTTATGATAAAATAACGTTAAAAAGTCAGTATCTCGATACTTTTTAGAAGTAGGCTGTGCCTGCAAATATTTTTGAAATTGAAAGCAGAATAGGGTTAAACGTTAATGGAAACGCAGCAGAAGCAGCCAGAGAATACGCACGAAGATTTCCAAACAGACGACATCCAACTCGCTCAGTATTTGTAAGAGTGCATCGCCAAATAATTGAAAATGGTTTTGGAAATCTCAAAAGGGATCATAACATAAATGTTCGTCAGCGCAGATTTACCCGTATGATTCTGCGTGAGTTTGATAGAGATCCGACCACAAGTGTTAGGAGAGTTTCTGGTGCCTTGGGAATTTCACCAAGCCGTGTTCACCGTGTTCTTAGAAATGACCATAGACGTCCTTACCATTTGCAACCTGTGGAAGGACTACAGCCAGGGGACGGAGAACGAAGAATCACATTTTGTCAGTGGATTCTTGATAGAACTGATAATAATAGGGAGTTTTTAAGTAACGTTTTATGGACCGATGAGTCATGCTTCACTAGACGTGGAGTGGTAAATTTTCATAATCAACATATTTGGTCGGGGAAGAAATTTTCAACATGAATTTAGTGTGAACGTGTGGAGTGGTATCTACCGTAATCGACTATTTGGACCCTATCTTTTGCCTGCAAGGTTAAATGCTGCGACCTTCTTGGAATTTTTAAAGGCTGAACATACAAATATGTGGGTTCATGTTATGTTAGATTTAAGAAGATTGGCCTGGTTCCCGCTTGATGGTTGTCCAGCTCATTATTCGAGAATAGTTAGAAACTGGCTTGACGAAAATTATCCAGAAAGATGGATCGGCCGTGGAGGACCAGTCGCCTGGCCTCCACGATCCCCTGACCTAAATCCACTAGATTTCTTTGTGTGGGGATTTCTAAAAGAAAAAGTGTACAAGACTCCCATAACCACAAGAGATATGCTAATAGACAGAATCAGGAATGCATGTGATGAAATAAGGCCTTATTTGAATAATGCTATACCACGTTCGATCATTCGTAGATGTGAATTGTGTATTGAACAATTGGGTTTACATTTCGAGCAACTACTTTAGATTTTGTATGTTGTCTAACTATCCAATAGCATTTAGTTAAATAATTAATTTAATTTGTTAAAAATAATATTGGAAAATTAAACAAATTAATATTGTTTTTTGTGTTTATTTGGAGTTGTGAATTATTGCTGTGTTTAAAAACACAATCTAAACGATCATCTTAATTACTTGTAATGCCCAAATCGAAAATGTAAAAAAAATATTATTTTCCCATAAATAATTAAAAATGCATCGAACCTTAAAAATCGAAATATCTCAAAAACGGCTAACTATAACGAAAACTCACAGGAGAGCTTTTTTATGCAGGAAAGTGCGAGGAATCAGTTTTTTTTATTTAAAAAGCAAAAAATTGCACTAAGAAAAATTTTCGGTCATTTTAATACACTATAGGTACAGTAGAGAGCGCCCTCTAGCGGCTACAGTAAAACTATGCCCATGGTTCGTTTTGTCGTACCAAAAAACCCTTGTATACCAATTTTCACTGTTATACATCAAATATTGTTGGAAATATTTAAAAAAAACTATTTTAGAAAGTAAATTTGAACACCCTGTATTTCGGAAGTCACGCATTTTCGACCCATGTTTATATAGACTTTATGCATTAATTTTAAAAGTTCTATCGAATCTTAAAGTTATGCAACAATAAACTGAAACACCCTGTATATCACTCAATTTAATTTGAAGCAAAACCGTTACTAAATCTACTTGCCGTTTTATCAGCATCCTTTGATTCGTTCTTCATCTCATTCAATGATCCAAAACTACTGACTCTGCTGAAGTAACCGGGTGTTCCTTCCTCAGCATAGTTTACAGGTTTCTCAGGTGACATTAGCCCTGAACTTAGCTCTGATTTTGGTATTTTGTCATTTTTCTCTGAGATATCTTCGGTTGAACAGCGCTCTTTCTCTTCAACATCTTTAGTTACTTCCTTCTTGACTAGAATATTATTATTAAACATTATCAAAAGTGATAAAAACATAGATTGAAACTTGAGAGCCATGAGAAATTGAAGAACCCGTAAGGATTGACTATGAACACGGCTCTTGAATGATGATTTATTAATACAATACTTACTTTTGTGTTCTTCTTTCTTCATTTTATCATTATCGATAATCTGCTTTTCGTCCATACGCAAGTCTGACATAGAAGTTGCAGTTGAAAAGTTGAACGGTGTCTCGTAGGGTGTATCTTCTGTGCAATAAGTCTTCACGGTATCTTGCACAAATTCTTGAGGTTCCGTCTTGGTGATTTTATTGCAAATATCAGAGTCGGAGTCGTCCTCGGCATATCTGCGAAAAGAACATGTACATTAACAAAGAGGCAAACTATTCCAATAAACACAGGGCACCAGACAATGTAAGAAAAAAGAGCGATTTCAGCACGTGAAAGTATGGAAAATATGATTGAATTGTATGTCATTAGATTTTAAAGAAATACTAGTGTTAATGCTCTTTGTTATGTCTTTATCTTCATAATTTTTATTACCGAAACGACTGCGTCTGAACGGACTCCAAGAAGCAGTTTTTGCGTAGACTCAATGTGGCTTTAAGATATTGACACTATTTTTTGCAAAAATCGCTACACATAGAGAATACTGTGTCGAATCTGCACATCAATTTTTCTGACAACAACCTGTAACACTTGACTTTCAATGTTAATAAGATAAAATTTATGACATTTAAATGCTCTCTTGGTTTGATAAATTTAAATAATGAATTGATACACAAAACAGACACCATCAAATTTTTGGTACTGACCATGTTACTAACCATGAAGACAAAATGCTTACTCAACTAGCACATACAGTAACGGACAAAAGTTTGGAAACAAATATTAACATTATGAATTAGTTAGTTTGTTAAGATTAGTTAGCATGATGCTACTTACATTCTTTTAAACAACTACAACAATTACAAAACATACAGATATTCAGAAAAAAATACAAAATTTGCCTCTCTAAGAATTTTCATTGTCCATGAAATATTCTTTAATTTTCTTTTAAATATCTTTAAATGAGAAGTAGACTTTATATCATTATTTAGTTTATTAAATTCAAGTAATCCTTTCTGAAATATTGATTTGCTAGTTATATTACTATTGCAATTTTGTAAATGAAAATCTCTATTTCCTCTTGAATAATAATTGTGGTAATGATTATTCAATTCTATGTAGTGTTCTGTCAAAAGAAGATTTTTTATTTTAAATATAAAAATAAGAACCAAATATATGAAATTGTTTATATTCAACCACTGAAATTCTTGTAACAGCTTTTATTTTGGTGTACTTATTTTAATTCAATATTATTCTCATAGCTTTATTTTGCAAGACTTGTAATTTTGAGAATACAGCTTCATTGGCAGTGAACAATATAGTTGAACAACATAGTAAATGTGGTAGAATAATTGTATTATAAACTATTTTCTTGGAATAGGTACCAAGTCTATGAGAAGTCCTATAAAAGTAATTTGTTTTTTTGGCAATTTTTGAAATAATGTATCCATAGTGATCCTCAAACTTTAGTTTACTATCAATATATATATACCTAAATATTTAATTGATTCAATATTCCCAATTATTTCTCCATTTATCCTGTGATAGAATTTTCATTTAGGTATTTCCTATTAGCATACATTTTGTTTTAGAGGTATTCAATTTTAGTTTTATTTACATTAACCAATTTACGATTTTTGCCAAGTCAAAATTTAGCATTTTTAAAGCAGTGTCTATATTTTCATCTGTTATGTATATTAATGTATCATCTGCAAATATCTGAAGTTTACAATAATCTAAAATATTACATATGTCATTAATGTATAAAATAAATAGTAGTGGACCTAGTTTACTACCTTGTGGTATACCAACAGAAATATTTTTTGATCTTGATAATGTAGATCCAATTTTGGTTTTTTAACTTCTGTCAATTAAATAGTTTTGTAGAATTTTGAATACAGATCCTTTAAATCCATAGTGATGCAATTTTGTAAGCAATTTATCCCTTGTAATAGTCTCAAACGCCCTTTGGAAGTCCAAAAACACTGTTACTGTATGTTTCCGATAGTCCATACATCTCCTCCAGTCCTTTAAAACCATTTGTGTTGTCGTTTCCGTTGAGTGTTTCTCCTGACTCCGTTGAAATTGGTTTAAAATGTATTTTCCCTCATAACTTCGACTATCTGTTCGTAACTAGGTCGTTCAAAAACTTTTTCAACATCTGGCAGAACATTTATGGTGACATGATCTTACTTTGACACATAAACACTTCAGTGTGTTATTCGCCTAACAGTATTCATCGTTTTAAATTCTTGCTCCACAATATCAAAACATTCATAAGACACTTTGAAAAATCCACTCTATTGTGATTGTATTTTGATAAATGAGACAATTATGTTATTGTTCTAAACTCGCGATGAGCATTTAACTGAGCTATGGGACATGGTTGATCCCCCAATAAATGATTTACATCGTTGACACGTTCTGAATAGTATTCATTCGATTTTTTTTTTCATTTATTATTACCCCATCGTTGAATTCCATTGGAGATAATGTACTTTTTCTAATAGGCGAAACAATGATTTTCAACGTTTTCCACATATGTTTGGTATTATTTTTACTCTTATCAATTTTGGCATTGTAATATTTTTTATTTACATCTCGTAGAACTGCTACAGATTGGTTCCTTGATCTTGTGTATTCTAGCCAATCACTTTCACTTCCTTAGTCATAAACTTTTTATAATTGTAGTAACTTTGGTGTTGATTTTTCCTTTTATATATTTGTCTGGACTGTAGCTTCTTTTATGCAAACTTCAACATTATCAATAGGCTTGTATAGTAGCTATCAACATCAACAAACGCTTCAGTCATATCTTGCCGTAAAAGAGCTTCTCGTAATTTTACATAGTGAATATTAGTAATTTCTTCCACTTTGTTAGCATCAAATTTACTTTCAACTTCAAAACATATCCATGAATGATCACTGATATTAGGAGTATGCATAACTTTTGCAATTAAATTTTGTTCGTTCGTTATTATCAAATCTGTAATTGTTCTTGATTGAGTTGTAATTCTGGTGTGATACTAGACTTTTTGCCATTGTCATGTATTAACCATTCAACCATTTGAGATCCACATATGAAATTATGCTTTAGTTTTAAGTTAGCTTTGTCATTAAGAAGGATTGTATTCTATCATCTCATCTTGGCGACTACCGATGTATATTTGCAATTTTATTTTTTCCAAGATAAAACAGTATAGATTCGTAAGAGTTAATGCATAATATTTGCAGTCAAAGAAAAACCGTCTTACCTCAACGAATAATCCGTCGGTTGATCCAGATCGGTCTCCGCATATATACTGAAGCTTTCCTTTTCAGCTTGCTGTTTCCCAAACGAAAAATCACGCTCTGAACTTGGAGACACGTCAACATTCTCTACTGCCAACTTAGTCTCTGCATACTTCTGACTATAATCAATCGGTTGATCGGTAATATCGATCTCGTCCTCGTACGCGCAATCTGAAAATTTGTTCCGCACTGGGATATAAGTACACGGATTGGGCCTTTTGATAGGAGGAGTCATGTATGGCAAACTGGAACTGCCGAAGGCCTGCGGCAGTCTGGTTTGGGGTCGCAGGTCGCTCGTGTAGCTTGTGGAGGGTTCGTTCAGGTTCAGGCTGGAGAAGTTGCTGCTTAGCTGGGCTTCGTTGATGAACTCTGTGCTGCTTGAGTGGCCGCATTTGCTTTTTCTTCTAGAATCCTGGAGGTCCGAGAAGAAAAAAACGTTAGTTGGTTGTTGTCAAGGATGTATACTTTGTTTGTTTGTTTAAGGTTTATTTAGCATTAATGCTACAATATCCATAATACACAGTATATCACAAAATATATTATGTCTTCAAGACTACATATTTTTATACAAAATTTCACTACTATGAATTCTGGTTATATTCCCTTTGAACATTTTCAAGCTGACACACATCTTGATATCATTACTTAATTTATTAAATTCGTACAATGCCTTTTGAAATACTGACTTGCTCGTTATATTGCTACTGCAGTTTTGTAAATGAAAGTCTATACTTCCTCTAGTAGAATAATTGTGGCACTCATTGTTCAATACAATAAAATTGTCTAAGTGATAGAAGATGATTTTTTATCTTGAATATGAAAATGAAAACAAGTAGGCTATGAAATTTTTGTTATTTAACCATTGTAGTTCTTTCAGCATAAAATTTCTTCTAGTATATTTATTTTTATTTAAGATGATTCTCATAGCTTTATTTTGTAATTTTGAAAATACAGTTTTATTCGCAGTGAACAAAATAGTCGAACAATATAACAAATGAGGAAGAATGATAGTGCTGTACACACTTTTTTTAGAATAAACGCTTAGGCTATGCGAAATTCTATAAAAGCAATTTATTTTCTCGGATATTTTTGTAATAATATATTCATAGTGCCCTTCAAATTTTAATTTACTGTCTACGTATATGCCCAAATATTTAAATGATTCGACTGACACAATTTTTTCATGATTAATTGTAAGATGTAAGACCGTATTTTGATCTAAAGATTTTCCTATTGGCATGTATTTTGTTTTGTTTGTATTTAGTTTAAGATTATTTACATTTAACCAATTTATTACGTTTTTCATATCATTATATATAAATAATAATGGACCTAATTTGCTACCTGTGGTACACCTACCGAAATGTTTTTAATGTTTGATAATGTATTGCGAATTTTAGTTCTTTGAATTCTACTGATTAAATAATTTTGTAATAAGTTGAATACTGAACCCTGAAATCCACAGCAATGCAATTTCGTTAACAATTTCTCCCTATCAATAGTCTCAAATGCTCTCTTGAAATCTAAGAACAATGTTACTGTAAACTTTTTTCATCCATATTTCGCCTCCATTCTTCTACTACCATTTGAATTGCTGTTTCAGTAGAATACTTTTTTCTGAATCCTGCTTGAAATTTCGTCAATATCTTATTTTCTTCAATATATTCAGTGACTTGTTCATATATGATTCCTTCTAAGAGCTTCTCGACATCTGGCAGTACATTAATTGGCCGCATGTTTGTATATAACTCAGAATTTTGCACTTTTGGAACAGGAGTAATTGTAGAACATTTTAATTTTGAAGGAAATTCGCCATACACTAAACAGTGATTCACTAACAAAAATAACTTCTCTCCAATAATGTTGAAATATTCCTTCATAACCATTTCTGAAAGATGTTCACTGGGATTTCTATTCGATTTCAATCTTGTAACAGCTTTTGAAAGATGACTGTTTGGAATTATCACATAGAAGAATTATAAGTAACTTGCATGTGACATAGATTTGGATCCCCATCTTCGATTGATTCAACTATCTCATTTATACTTTCTATAAAATAAGCGTTCATTCGTTCTGCAATCAATATTTTTTTTTGTTACTATACCATCTTCGAAGCACATTCTTCATAATTCATTCTTCCTACTGGGAGATACAATATTTTTTAGTGTCTTCCACATCATTTTACTGTTATTTTTATTGCTATCGATTTTATTTTCATAATATTTTTTCTTTTCGTTCCTAAGATTTGTTATACACTTGTTTCTTGATTTCTTATGTTGTATCCAATCTTCCTCAGCTTAGTGATCATAAGCATTTTATAGTCATTATCACGCGTCAATTTATAGTATAGAAATATTTTTGAAAACCAGAGAGCTTTTTCCTTTGATATACCACTTTCCTAATTTGTGCGTCTCTCATGCAGTTCTCCTTTGAGAAGTAAGTAGTAGTAGTAGAAAGATTTATTTAGCACATTTGGCTACATAAACAGAACAATTGTAAACAACTTAGAACTAGTAAATTCAAGCCATATGGTGTATGATGTAAAAGCTGGGCAACCTATAATTGTAGATTTAACAAGTGATTTCTCAATTTTACTTTAAATTTTGTCAAAGTTTTCTGGTCTTTTATCTCCGAGTATAATTTATTATATTCAATCAACCCTTGATGGAATACAGATTTGTAGCATATGTTATACTTTTTGGTCATTAAATGGAAGTCATCTTTATTTCTGGTATTATGTAAATGATGGTCGACATTTGATGATGTTAAATTAGTTAGACTTGATGGAAATATATTATTTTTTACTTTAAATAAATATCATTACAAGATATTTGATAAAATTTTTTACATTGAGCCATTTTAGTTTGCTAAGCATTTGCCTAATTGTAGTATATTTATCTTTATTTAGTATTATTCTCATGCACTTATTTTGTAAAATTTGCAGTCTTTCAAAAATGGAATTATTTGCTAAATATAGAATAGTCGAACAGTACAAGAAATTTGGAAGAATGATGGTATTATAGATAATTTTTCTGCTATATGAACTCAGACATCCAGAAACTCTCGATAAATATCCCACTTTACTACTAATCTTATTTATAACTTTTTCATAATGAATATCAAAAATTAATCGAGAGTCAACAAAAACTCCCAGGTATTTAAAATTTTCTACGAATTCAATATCTTCACCATCAATATTCAGTTGAACATTTGTACATTGTTTTTTTCCGATTAACAAGGCTTTCGTTTTACTTGCATTTAATTTTAGTCTGTTAGATGCTAACCATTTTGAGACAAGCTTCAAGTCTTCATTTATATAAGAGATACCAGACTGAATATTTTTAGTACTTATATAAATCATAGTGTCATCGGCGAAAATTTGAATTTTGCATTTTTTGACTACGGCAGGTAAATCATTTATGTATAAAATAAAAAGAAGTGGTCCCAGGATATTGCCCTGTGGAACACCCAACGTATTTTCAATTTTTGATGAAATAGTGTCATTAACTTTTGTAACTTGCATCCTTTTAGACAAATAATTTCTAAACCAATCTAAAACACTTCCTGTTATACCATATGCCTTCAATTTACCTAACAAAATATCTCTATCAATCGTTTCAAATGCCCTCTTCAAATCCAAAAATGCTGCTATGACAACTTCTTCTGAGTCTATGGCTCTTCTCCAATTCTCAGTTACCAACTGGAAAGCTGTTTCTGTGGAATATTTTTTTCGAAAGCCTGCTTGCGCCTCCACTAAAATTTTGTTTTCTTCTATAAACTGCATTAATTGGTCATGCACTATGGACTCTAATAATTTTTCAATGTCTGGTAACACATTTACTGGTCTCATATCGCTGCATCTTTTAGAATTTTTTATTTTGGGAACTGGTGTTATTGTAGAGCATTTCAAATTTTCAGGGAAAGAACTGCTTCTCAGTGAACAATTGATCCAATTTAATACAGGATATCCCAAAATTTCGAAACAGTTTTTCAGCACGTTTTTAGTAGTCATTTCGGCACAGTGTCAGCATCATTAAAAATTTCAGTGATATTGGCTTGTAAGAGTGACTCTCGTAACGTTTCAAAGTCAATAATTGTGATTTCTCTTGATTCTCTCTTATTAAACATATTTTCCACCTCGAAACATATCCACGAATGGTCGCTTATTTTTGAAGTATGTAAAACCTTAATACTAAAATTTATTGGTTATTATTAAATCGATCTTAGTTCGTAAAAAGTTAGTAATCCTTGTGTAGTCATTAACTTTTTGCCATAGACTATGAAAGTTCAGTACTTGCTTAATTTTTTTTACATAAAAATCTTGATTATTAAAATTTACATTGAAGTCTCCCAAGTGCACAGTGGAGTACTTTCAATAATACTATTTTTCACGAACACTCTAAAAAAAAGTCAAAAAATCGGCTAATATTACAGCTTGGAGATCTGTAGTAAACATGTACATTGTAATTTTGTTTCATCTTGATTTCAAAGTTCATATACGACCATTGATAATCAACAACTACAGTATTATGTGTTTTTACTTCAATCATGTTCAGTTTGTATATTATTAGTATGCCACCTGTATGTTTCGAAACTGTGTTTACTCTTACAACATCATAATGATGAATATAAATCTCCATATATTCAATATCTTCTATAATATGTGTTTCAGTCAAGCAAAGAACTAATGGATTCACTAATATTAAAAAATTTATAACTTCATCCCTGTGCGATAAAAATCCTTGAATATTTATATGGTATACATTGTTAGAATATTTTTTATCCTGTAATAGCTATTTGTCGCTGAGTGACACAACAAAGAACAGTCAGTAATTCTGAATTTATTACAACGATTTATTGTATCGTATATAGCTCTAAGGTCGTCTGTCACGATACGAAATGTTGTGCTAAATTTAGAACGTTAAATTTCGTACAAAATTAAGGAGTGTATTTAGTACATAGTAAAAAAACAAATTGAGTGCTAATTTTTTTACAACTATTCTAAATAGCAGATGCCCACTGCGCCTATTTTTAACATTGTGCTTTGCCTTCTGGGGCCTCCCATCCATCTAGGTGAGAAACTGGTACCAAGCAACGAATTTTCATCATCATCACGTCACTTGATAAAAAAAGTACAGATTACTAACCTGCAAGAAATCCATGAACCCTTCCTTATCTTTCTTCTTAACCGGCGAATCCTTATCAATGTTCTCGTACGTTTCGCTAAGACTCTGATCGAGATCCTGCAACAGCGCTTTCTGCTTCCTCGCCCCGAGAGTCGGCAACGCCGGAAGGTCCAGCGCCAACGCTGTGGAGTCCAGCTGCGGCGTGAGACCCTGCTGCGGTTTGGCGCTTAGCAGGTTCTTCAAAGCAGCGCTGGAACCCATCGCGATCATCTTGTGCTTCGAGTGGTTCAGGCTGCGAAGCATCGCCGGGGCGCCCATCTGCCAGAGGGCTTCTTGGTCTGCCGAGGATTTCGCCGAGAGGTTCCACAAGGTGCCGCACGCGTTGCTTACGATGGTCAGGCTGGCGATTTCAGCTGGTCGAGGAGAATCTGCATTTGGAATATCAGAGAATCAGTTGTTTGTTCTTCCGAGGAATTATTGTAATCGCAATTTCGAAAATGAGATATAGTGATCTACGAGGTTTGTCTGAATACGTATAAAAAATTCGTAGCGTCGTGTCAAGGCGTTGTGGAGGGGTGGCCCGGTTGGTCCCTCTCTATGCCAACCCCTCTATGCTCAGTTCGAGCCGGAGCGCTCTGCGAGTAAGTAGGATTTACTTGTGCTTGTAAGTAACCCTTTTTTTACCTGCGGTCGGCATGGAGCTCTTTCTAATCGAGGAACAGTGCACTGGAGACGAGTCTTGGTTCTATGAATTCGATGAGTGAGCATGTAGGGGAACCGAGAACAAAAAAGTCGGAAAAATCAAGCACCGATGTGAAAATAATGTTGATAGTTTTATTTGATTCTCGGGGCATTGTTCACCAGGAATTTGTCGCTCCCGGCCAGATAGTGAACGGAAATTTCATGTGGCCCGAGTTCGACGGGATTTGGCATAAGGGGGCAGGTGGATACTTCACGGTAACGCGCCTGCTCACACGTCTCTTGTCGTGCGTGAGTTTTTGGTCCGAAGCTCAATCACAGTGACAGAACACCTGCCTTATTCACCCGATTCAGCCCTTTGCTACTTCTTCCTGTTTCCAAAATGCAAAATGGTGCTTCGGGGGCGGCACTTGGGGGATGTCAAAGCCGTCAAGGCAGAAACGACACGGCAAATAAAGAGCATCACAATTGAAGACTTTCAGCGATCGTGTCAACAGTGGAAACGGCGTTGGCAGAAGTGCATCTTGTCTCAGGGGAGAACTTTGGAGAAGACTATATTGAAATACACGAACAATTGTAAAATAAAGTTATTATTCCACTTTTGTACGTAACTGGTGCAACAAGTTAGACATGCGAGGTGAGTTTTTTATATATAACTGGACAATCTCCATTATTATAAGACTTACTCAAAAACGTTATTTACAAAAATTGTGGACTATATGTTTCCTACTTGGAATACACTGCTCCCTACAAGGTGAAAGTGTAGCTTGGATGTCAGTAATTGATGCATAATCTTACGTAGAAATAGTAAATACTGATTGTGTGACATTTGCTTTACCGTTTCCGAAATCCCAAAGCAAAAATAAGTTTATATCTCATATAGATTTCAACTAATCCTAGTAATTTCTCATCTAATAGATACTGATCCACCTTGTGGAGAAACCTGTACATGAATAATTTAATTTTTGTAAAAAAATATCTTTCATTTAATTTTTGCCGAGCTAGGGAAAGGGGGGGCAGGGTACGTATAGAAAGAACGCTTTTGAAAAACCTTTTCACTCACCTGGAGGCAGTTGTGCTTCCTCAAAATCTCCCTGTAATCCTCCCTGACCGCAATCTGACTAGAAATATTCCTCAATATCCCTCCCGAATTTTCAATGATAGCCAACGACTTGGACGGCGTTTTGTACGTCAGCATGTCCACCAGAAAACCTAGAGCGCCCTCTACCGCGCAAATCTCCGACTTGTTTTCCGTGCAATGGGCAGACAGGTTCCACAAGGCGGACAAAATGGATTTTAGAGTATTTTCTTTGTTGTCCATCATGGCGGCCTTCATCAGGCCAGTCACTGAGCCGACCTCGCGCAGCACCTCTTTTGAGGTGGAGTCTGCGCGCCAGGATAAGTTTCGGAGGACGCTGGCCGTCACCTGGAGAAAAAAAGTAGAGTTTCAATATGACAAGCAAACAGGATCGAAGATGATATTTTATTAGTGTAGATGAGAAAATTTTATTTCTGCGTCTGCAAATAGTGTTTGAAACATGCGGTTTCTATTGGGAAATACTTTTACGAAAAAATTTAAACAACGTTCTTAGGTATTTATGAAAGTATTTAATAAGCTTATTTAAATCTGACAAAATATGGCATATTGCTAACCTGTCTAAGCTCGTCACTAGAACTGCGTAGTTGTACCACCAGAGTGCGCATAAAGTCTCGTAAACTGCATAACAATGCTTTGTTTCCACCGTCTCCAAACGTGAGGTTGGTGAGGGCCATACAAGCGTATCTCCTTAGAAGAACGCATTGGTGTTGCTCACTGGTGCTACTGTGTTTCGAGTGTTCAGTCTGGAATACAATAAGGTTGTTTCTCATGGAAAAAGGTCAAAACATAACATATATCGAATGATAAAACGCGGGTAGATACGCTAGAAGTACACAGGCCGACAAGTTTTTTACCTGGAAACCGAGAAATCTGAAGTTATAGGTTTTACGTACATCCTGAAATCACACCATTGGAGTCAAAACCGGGAAATCTGAACTTATAAGTTGTATGTAAATCCTGAAAACACAGCGTTGGAGTCAAAACCGAGAAATATGAAGTTATAAATTTCACGTAAATCCTGAAATCACCGCGTTGGAGTCAAAACCGAGAAATCTGAATTTATTTTTTATGAAAATACTGAAATCGCTGCGTTGGAGTTAAAACCGAGAAATATGAAGTTGTATGGTAAGTTTTATGAAAATTCTGAAATCATAGCATTGCAGTCAAAACCGAGAAATCTGAACTTTTAAGTTGTATGTAAATCCTGAAATCACAGCGATCGAGTCAAAACCGAGAAATCTGAAGTAATAGGTTTAACGTAAATCCTGAAATCATAGCGTTGGTGTCAAAACCGAGAAATCTGGACTTATAAGTTCTATGTAAATCCCGAAATCACAGCGTTGGAGTCAACACCGAGAAATCTGAGGTTATAAGTTGTATGTAAATCCTGAAATCACAGCGTTGGAGTCAAAACCGAGAAATCTGAAGTTATGTTTTATGAAAATACTGAAGTCGCAGCGTTGGAGTCAAAACCGAGAAATCTGAAGTTACAGGTTTTACGTAAATCCTGAAATCACAGCGTTGGAGTCAAAACCGAGAAATCTGAAGTTATGTTTTATGAAAATACTGAAATCGCTGCGTTGGAGTCAAAACCGAGAAATCTGAAGGTACAGGTTTTACGTAAATCCTGAAATCACAGCATTGGAGTCAAATCCGAGAAATCTGAAGTTGTATGGTAAGTTTTATGTAAATTCTGAAATCATAGCATTGGAGTCAAAACCGAGAAATCTGAACTTCTAAGTTGTACGTAAATCCTGAAATCACAGCGATGGAGTCAAAACCGAGAAATCTGAAGTAATAGGTTTAACGTAAATCCTGAAATCATAGCGTTGGAATCAAAACCGAGAAATCTGAACTTATAAGTTCTATGTAAATCCTGAAATCACAGCGTTGGAGTCAAAACCGAGAAATCTGAAGTTGTATGGTAAGTTTTATGTAAATTCTGAGATCATAGCATTGGAGTCAAAACCGAGAAATCTGAACTTATAAGTTGTATGTAAATCCTAAAATCACAGCGATGGAGTCAAAACCGAGAAATCTGAAGTAATAGGTTTAACGTAAATCCTGAAATCATAGCGTTGAGTGTCAAAATCGAGAAATCTGAACTTATAAGTTCTATGTAAATCCCGAAATCACAGCGTTGGAGTCAACACCGAGAAATCTGAAGTTATAAGTAGTATGTAAATCCTGAAATCACAGCGTTGGAGTCAAAACCGAGAAATCTGAAGTTATGTTTTATGAAAATACTGAAATCGCAGCGTTGGAGTCAAAACCGAGAAATCTGAACTTATAAGTTCTATGTAAATCCTAAAATCACAGCGTTTGAGTGAAAACCGAGAAATCTGAAGTTAGAAATTTTACGTAAATACTGAAATAGCAGCGTAGGAGTCAAAACCGAGAAATCTGAGGTTATAAGTTTTATATAAATCCCGAAATCACAGCGTTGGAGTCAAAACAAGGAAATCTGAACTTATAAGTTGTACAGGGTGCGCCAGAGAAACTTACTTATTTGAAAAAATTCCCGCGCGGTGAGCTGGGCGGGTAGAGGGGCGAGAGGCGGCGCATCTGGAGGGGGAAGTTCCCAAGTTTATTTCTCGCTCCAGTCAGTTGCCATCATGCTCTGGTCTAGAGAACAGCGGGCCTTCGCAGTCGAGAGCTTCTTTTCTAACGGTCGCTCAGTTGTTGCTACGCAACGTGCCTTCCGCGCTCGCTTTGAAATTCCTCCTCACAGACTCGTTCCTGGCCGTAATTCGATTCTGTCGTGGGTTGACTCATTTCGGGAGTGTGGAAGTGTCGCTAAACCCAGAAATGGACTTCAACGGACCATCAGAACTCCGGAAAATGTCGAAAGAGTGAGGCAGTCAGTTGTGCGTTCTCCCCGGCGTTCGGCTCGCAAACACGCAGCTGCTATGGGAATTTCTGACACTACTGTTCGACGAATTCTCCATGAAGACCTCCATTTTCATCCCTATAAATTGGCTGTTGTTCAAGAATTAACTGAAAGCGATTTTGTTGCCCGTCAAAATGCATGTGAAATGCTGGTTGACAACCTGCCTGAAGACGCGGTCGTTTTTTTCAGTGACGAGGCTCACTTCCACATTTCCGGCTGCGTCAACAAGCAAAACATGCGTTATTGGTCTGGTGTGAATCCACGTGAGCTTCACCAGAAGCCACTTAACTGTGAGCGAGTTACAGTCTGGTGTGCGATGTCGGTAATGGGAATAATTGGTCCTTATTTTTTTGAAGAAAACGGACGCGCAGTTACCGTGAATGGAGCTCGTTACAGGAACATGATCGAGGAATTTTTTCTTCCGAGACTCGAAGAAATGAACGTTAGGAACGTGTGGTTTCAGCAAGATGGAGCCACAGCACACACCGCACGAGTCTCGATGAATTTGTTGCGACAACATTTCCCCGTCCGCCTCATCTCTCTCAGAGGCGATCTCCAATGGCCGGCACGATCTCCAGATTTGACTCCCTGCGATTTCTTTTTATGGGGTTATTTGAAATCTCTGGTTTATGTCGATCGACCACGGACCATAGCACACCTCAAGAACAACATTCGCAACGCCATTGCCAACATACCGATTGATATGCTGCAAAGAGTGGATACGAATTTCAAAAATCGACTTCATCAGTGTATGCGCAATGGAGGTCGCCATTTATCCGATGTCATTTTCAAGACTACATGAAAAAAAAAATTGGGATATTGTATTCTCGAATAAAAAAAAAATAAAACAATAATTGAAGTAATTTTGTTTTTATTGACCTTTCAAATAAGTAAGTTTCTCTGGCGCACCCTGTATGTAAATCCTGAAATCACTGCGTTGGAGTCAAAACCGAGAAATCTGAAGTTATGTTTTACGTAAATCCTGAAATCACACCGTTGGAGTCAAAACCGAGAAATCTGAACTTATAAGTTCTATGTAAATCCTGAAATCACAGCGTTGGAGTCAAAACCGAGAAATCTGAAGTTATGTTTTACGTAAATCCTGACATAACAGCGTTGAAGTCAAAACCGAGAAATCTAAACTTATAAGTTCTTTGTAAATCCTGAAATCACAGCGTTTGAATGAAAACCGAGAAATCTGAAGTTAGAAATTTTTCGTAAATCCTGAAATCACAACGTTGGAGTCAAAACAAGGAAATCCGAAGTTATAAGTTGTATGTAAATCCTGAAATCACAGCGTTGGAGTCAAAACCGAGAAATCTGAAGTTTTAGGTTTTACGTAAATCCTGAAATCACAGCGTTGGAGTCAAAACAAGGAAATCCGAAGTTATAAGTTGTATGTAAATCCTGAAATCACAGCGTTGGAGTCAAAACGGAGAAATCTGAAGTTTTAGGTTTTACGTAAATCCTGAAATCACAACGTTGGAGTCAAAACCGAGAAATCTGATAAGTTTTATGTAAATTCTGAAATCACAGCGTTGAAGTCAAAACCGAGAAATCTAAAGTGATGTTTTATGTAAATTCTGAAATCACAGCGTTGGATTTAAAACCGAGAAATGTGAAGTTATAAGTTTTATGTAAATCCTGAAATCGCAACGTTGGAGTCAAAACCGAGAAATCTGCAAGTGAAGTTCTTATGATGAGACCTTATTTCTGGAATAGAAATAAAAATCCTAATGTCCGATACATACAAAGAATTTCACTTCCAATGACGATTTTTAAATCAGTTTTGTAACACACGAGCGCAAAAGGAAATAAAATGCATCATCATTGTAAAACATTATAAACACAATCTATTACAGCTATTGAAAATGCAATTTAGTCCATGTGAAAAATACCTCATCGCGAAAATACCTAAAAAAATCAACTATGTGAGGGTACAGTAAAGACGCAGTCGTACCTCGTAGTAAGCGCTAAGATGTCAGGTTAGTAAGCAACTTATTGCAATTTAGTAAACATTATTGAAATACGCGGGAGCGAATCTTTAAATCGCCAATATATTTATTATGTTATACAACAATTTATTTTAATCTTGACAAACCTCAACAATGGAAGCTATGGTATGTATCCCTCCCAACTGGCATATGGCTTGCCTATGACCTTCGTCAAATGACAGTTTCATCAGATGCGCCACTGTTTGTACAGGATGTTTGTCATTATCTGAAACAATAAAAATATGCATTTTTAATGCAAACTGTATTTGATATTCTACAAGTGCATCTATGCTCATAATGTCGCAGACTTTAAAAGGTATTCTGAACACTATACTACAACTATTTAAAACTGTAATGACTCATACGCGTGATCAACACGTGATCAGAGCTCGATCCCGGCTTCCTTTCAGTACAGCCGTATAGCGTACGACATATGTCGTTTCTGTGGCTTTGCGGTGGTCAACAGCACAGACAGAGATGGAAATAATGGCTGATTGTTTTCCGCCGGTAGAACCAATGAAATCAAAGACGCGCCTCGACCGGCAGACTCATAGGCGTCGGCAACGCATTGGAACGTGTTTCGTTGAGCGATCGCATATTGTGTTTTTATAAGAATTGTTGTGTGATTGTTATTGTCGTTCTGTGGTTACTGTTTTGGTTATACTTAACCATGGAGAGTACAAATGGCACGAGTGGAAGTACTGAAAGCCAGGGAACAAGTAGACGGCTTCGTAAAGCACTGAAGAGGGACGCGAAAGAAATCGTGCTCAACGTGTTCAATTATCTGAACAGAACTATGTCGCAGGGAAATGCACTCGCGCGTTGTGAAAGTATGACAGGCGTTCCAGAGTGGACCATTCGCAGGGTGGTGCATGAAAAGAAGAAAACTGGAGCTACTACTGATCCAAAGTTTAATTTGACGGGACGAAAGGCCGTTAAATTGGATGACGATAGCAAAATGGCGTTAAGGCGAACCGTACATTCATTCTTCTTTAGGAATGAGATACGAACCCTCAAGGCTGTACATGCAGCGATCAAAGGAAAATGAAATTATACCCCAAATGAGCGTCGAGGTAATGAGGAAATCCCTGCACGAAATTAATTTTCGTTACGAAACGCGTAATCGGAAGTCAGTATTGCTAGAGAGACCTGAAATAGTCGCCTGGCGTCGAAAATACCTACGCGAAATGATTGAATATAGGCGACAAAGCAGAAAAATCTATTATTTGGACGAGACATGGGTAAATGCAGGTCACACAGTTAAAAAAACCTGGATAGACAAAAACGTAGTGAGTAACCGACAAGCAAGCATTGAAGGTTTGTCAACAGGTCTTCGTAGACCATCAGGGAAAGGTCAAAGATTGATCGTAACTCATATTGGTAGCGATAGTGGCTTTTTAGAAGAGTGTGACTTGATTTTCGTCTCTAAGAAAGGAGGTGATTACCATGACGAAATGGATGCCAGCTGCTTCGAGAGCTGGTTTCAAGGGGTGCTTCAGCGAGTTGAGCCCAACTCTGTGATCGTCATGGATAATGCCTCCTACCATAGTCGTCGAGCCGAACGTGTACCGACTATGGGATCTCGAAAAAGTGACATGCAGCAATGGTTGCGCGAAAAAGGAATCCCGTTTGACGATTCATGTGTGAAAGCGGAATTGTATGAAAAAATTAAACAGCACAAACCTGCGAACATTAGTTACGTGACTGATGAGATGGCCCGTCAATGTGGTGTCACTGTGCTGCGGTTACCGCCCTACCACTGTGAACTGAACCCAATAGAGCTCATCTGGGCTCAAGTGAAGGGTTATATTGCGCGCCATAACACAACCTTCAAATTACCAGACGTTAAGGTTTTACTTGAGACTTCCATACAGCTAGTAACGCCCGAAGCTTGGCAGAATGCTATCCGTCATGTTGTGAAGGAAGAAACAAAAATGTGGCAGCTTGACCACCACATCGACACCATCATAGAGCCAGTTATAGTCAATTTCAACGAGGAAAGCGATAGCGACAGTTTATTACTGTCAGATGTAAGTGGAAGCGACGATGAATAAAGGTAATTCCCAAATTTTTGACTTACAATATGTTTCAAACCACTCTTTATTAAGCATGTGACAAATCTAGTTCACCCATGTTAAACATTCATACCCCGCCTATGAACAGCCGACTACTGGTAGTTAAGTGATGTTCACGTGAACATCGATGAGTCATTACAGTTTTAGATAGTTATAGTATAGTCACTTTAATACAGAGCCTCTATACAGGGCGTTCCAGAATGAACACGGTTAAAAGGTAGGTACTATGCACTAAAGCCTTTTAATCTGAAAATAAAAAAGTCAAATCTGGAACACCCTGTATACACGCATATCTGAAAGGGTAATGGTATTGAATTTTTACTTTTTGTTTTGGTGCAACATTAAATCAATATTGAAATTATAAAATATGAACAGAGGGGCTGAAAAACAGTCTCTGTTCCTAATTCACGTTGTTTGTAGTTGACTGCTTCATTTTGTATTCTTCTAGGCAATGGTATTCTTTTACTATGCTGAGTTTCCGGCATGTTCTGAAGACGAGTTCTTTCCCATGCCTTCGCATAGATGTTTTTAGTAATCTCAATATTTGGAAACAAGACATGCATCAGATGAATAACAATATAACTTTACCTTCTGAATTAGTACTGTCAGGAGATTGGTACTCGGTCCCGTTTCGTAAGGCTTCAGTGTAAGCTCTACATTGGTCTAACAGTTTCAATACCCTGCTCTCCCGTTTTCGTAATTTTTCATCGGGTTGTGAATTGACTAAGTTGTGCAGTGCTTGAGAGGCTTTTCTCCTTGTCTCGGCGTCCCTGTCTGACTGCACTAGTTGGACTAGGAGAGGAATACAACCTGAAAAGGATAAATTGAACTTTGAATTATACTAGATAGAACAGGATAAGTCAGGAATCCTCAATGAAAGTAAATTGTTTGAAATGAAGCATGGCAAGTTTGAAGTAGGCGTGCTTATTCAGTGTGGAATCTCACCCTATCACAGATAGAAGGATGTTCGACAGGGTACAGGGTATTTTGATACCCAGGTCATCCCTGTTCAGAAACAACTACGTTTGAAATAAGGCCAGTTTGCGGTAGAACAGCATCGAAAAAACAAAATGTAAACAACAAGCTTGTCAACTTCTTTCTGATTTGCAAGGTTCGTGACTGTCTAGGTATTTCACTGTGTCCTCCTCGACGTTCCTACAAACGGCTGTACGAGCTAAACAAACTTATGCGGCGTGAGATGGAAATGTCTATGAAAGCAAAGTATCGACAACATCTCGAACATCGCAAACCAACATTAAATCGAAGTCAGTTATTGCTATAGAAACGTGCCATTTCGGTTACTTCAAATCCGATGTATAAACAAACATCATTTACCTACACCACATGCAGCATTTGGCTCGGAACCTAGCGCACGTAATCCTTTGCTGGATGACCGAATTTGATATGTATATGTATGCTACTAGAATTTTTTTACAAAAACCAAACGTGCTACAAACTTCAAGAATATCCTGTATTAACAATGTCAGGGTTATATTCATACTGACCTGATTGACGCATAGCCAAACAGCTCTCTGGGCACCCACTGAGGGCCAAGAGCGTTTCACCCATATCTACTCGCTCTTGGCCCGCCAAGACGGCCAGTAGGCCATGAACGACGTCCATTTTGGCCTCCAGTTGTTGTGAAGGCCACTTTCTTTCTGGACTGCCTAACGATCGATCCAGCGGGGCGCCGCCGGAACTTGAGGCGAAGCTCATCACGCTTGTTACCTCCTGGAGATAAAAAAAATGCAAAACTCAATAGCATCATACACAAAACGTAGAAAAACGTGGTTTATACTCATCTAAATGTTGGGGTTTCACAGACATAGTATAAGATTCCAAGCCTGCTAGAAGTTACTTATTCTCTCAAAGACAAAACCAGGGGAATTCAATCTTCTTTAGATGTACTTTTAACGACTGCACATTTAATAACTTGAAAATTGCTTTGAAATATTTTACGTGGTGTTCTAGAGCAAGGTTTTAACTTAATTTTTTAGATACTTGGTAACCTCAAAATAAATTACAATGTTTTTTGCCCGAACTGTTTTATCAGGTTTTCTGGATCATTTTGAACGAGAAATGTTTCCTGTAACTATACTCTAAATTGGACCATTTTCGAGTTATACGCGATTTATTGTATGAAAAACCTTGTAGTCTAGTTAAATAGCCGAAACTGCCGCAAAAGTAATAACATAGCCACAAAGTTATGTCCGTTGGTGTAATGGTGCCACAAAGGCTTGCGAATATTGCCGTAAGAGTTCGGTTTTCTGGAAACCACCCGTTTTTTGTAAAACAGCGAAAAAAAACAAAAAACCTCTTTTTCGCTGAAACGACTGAGGATATCTGGGATTTTTTTACACGTACATTTTTCTAATTTTTGGGCCATCAAAAAAGGTCTCTGCAATTTTTTTGCTGAATTGCTTAGTTTTCGCGCTAGAGCTTGCTGATAGCTTGTCGGAGGAGGGCTTGCGGGGGCCAGCCGCCGCACCGTTGACACCGACGATCCTCTTTTAATATTTCGACGTCCTCAGTGATAGGCCAGTCGATTTCGAATAATACGCTCGTTTGTAGTTGTGGCGTTCACCGCCGTATGCATATTAATGAATGTTTGAAAGTTATGCGTTTAAGTAGAGTACAAATTTCAGTAATTTCTCTTCACCCGCCTACCGATTGACTGGATAAGTGAGGTATAGTGATTTCATTTAGAATTGGAACAACGACAAAAAACCTAGAGCTGTAAAAAGGTGTGAACGTGTATACAGGGTGTCCCAGAAGTCGACGTCAAGCGGAAACCGGGTGATAGGCAGTCATAACAGCTATCAGAAAAATATTTAAAAAAATTGTATGTATGTGTTTTGAAAATTATAGGTCTTTGAAAAAAACTATAGAAATTTCACACCCTACGGCAGTCTGTCAACTCCTGTAACTACAAATATTAACTTTTTTTGGATTTTATTTTTACAATGTAATGATGAATAATGCATCTTCAAACTGGTGTCTCAACCTTACTGAAAACTTTTCTCGTTCAGGAAAAATTGCCACTTATTTCCCAACCAAGTATTCCAAAGTAAAACTTTGCTCAACTTTAACTGGCTGTACTGGAAAAAAATGTACTACGAGAGTTTGGCAAGTAACCTTAAAAGTTGGCGCATTTAATAAGGATTCCAAAATGGTATAACACTTAGAAGATTACTCGTTAACTTATGCACAATTTTTATTTGAAGAAAAACTGATGAAAATTTTTCAAAATTTCCTAATTAAACAGCGATTATGAAAACGCACAAGGACCCTTAAGGATAACTGTTTGCACAACAGTGGGCGTCAAAATGCTGCTGATGATGATTTACCTTTACAGCAAATGCACAAACTGTTTTCCTTCAGCCGCAATACACGCGCGACATCTTCTTAAAAACGTCTTTGCCGTAGCTCAGCTACATTTTGAATCGGCTTGAAATACACTTTTTCTTTTACGGCCCCCCAGTAAAAAAATCTAAAGGATTCAAATCAGGTGATCGGGCTGGCCTCGGTATTGTACCAGACCGCCTTATCCATCTGCCTGGAAAGTTATGGGGAAATGCAGATGCAACGCTAGTGCTACAGCGAGACTTTACTGTGAGAGGTACGTACCCGAATGCAGCTCGTCATGCAGATCATCGAGTGTTCACAAATGTGCACCGCTTACTGTTCTCAGAGAGCCAACTACCAAACCAATCACACGGTGAGGGAAGATCTTTCCTTCCTTACGAAGACGTGATGCTAGGAGCTGTCGAAGAAGACCCGAGTACTTCAGAGCGTGCAATAGAACTAAAAACAGGTGTGCCCAAAAGTATAGCCCATAGAATCTTGCAAAAAAACGTGCTCCATCCATACCATGTACAGCGTGTTCAAGCTCTTCTGCCCCGGGATTATGAGCCCCGAGTTGCTTTTTGTCGCACAATGTTAGAAACACACATTGAAGATCCACGGTTCTTTGAAAAAATTTTATGGTCAGATGAGACCACATTTAAGAAAGATGGGTACATGAACCTGCATAACTTATACGAGTGGCACGTAGCAAACCCACATTTGATGAGAGAAGATAAATCTCAATATCGCTTCAAGATAAACCATTGGACAGGAATTTTAAATGGTAAAATAATCGGTCCGTTTGAGTTCCCAGAGACTTTGACTGCTGAGGTTTATTTAGATTTTTTGCAAAATCATTTAGAAAATTTATTGGAGGACGTGCCACTGAGTATTTACAGGGACATGTGGTTTCAGCATGATGGCTGCCCAGCGCACTATGCACTCTCAGTGAGAGAGTATCTCGATCAAAACTTTCCAGGCAGATGGATAGGGCGGTCTGGTACAATACCGTGGCCAGCCCGATCACCTGATTTGAATCCTTTAGATTTTTTTACTGGGGAACTGTAAAAGAAAAAGTGTATTTCAAGCCGATTCAAAATGTAGCTGAGCTACGGCAAAGACTATTGGAAGCAGCTGAGTTTGTTAATAACCGTGGATTCGCTCGTTTAATAACCCGATCTTTTTTAAGAAGATGTCGAGCGTGTATTGCGGCTGAAGGAAAACAGTTTGAGCATTTGCTGTAAAGGTAAATCATCATCAGCAGCATTTTCACGCCCACTGTTGTGCAAACAGTTATCCTTAAGGGTCCTTGTGCGTTTTCATAATCGCCGTTTAATTAGGAAATTTTGAAAAATTTTCATCAGTTTTTCTTCAAATAAAAATTGTGCATAAGTTAACGAGTAATCTTCTAAGTGTTATACCATTTTGGGATCCTTATTAAATGCGGCAACTTTTAAGGTTACTTGCCAAATTCTCGTAGTACATTTTTTTCCAGTACAGCCAGTTAAAGCTGAGCAAAGTTTTACTTTGGAATACTTGGTTGGGAAATAAGTGGCAATTTTTCCTGAATGAGAAAAGTTGCCAGTAAGGTTGAAACACCAGTTTGAAGATGCATTATTCATCATTACATTGTAAAAATAAAATCCAAAAAAAGTTAATATTTGTAGTAACAGGAGTTGACAGACTGCCGTAGGGTGTGAAATTTCTATATTTTTTTCAAAGACCTATAATTTTCAAAACACATACATAAAATTTTTTTAAATATTTTTCTGATAGCTGTTATGACTTTGCCTATCACCCGGTTTCGGCTTGACGTCGACTTCTGGGACACCCTGTATAAATGAGTGGCAGAGATAAGAATACATTACAGTATGTAGAAGCCCAATGGGCCATCAAAAGACTCGTTTTCAAGGCTCCATGTTATTTTCATAATCATCCTCACCGGTAGTTCTTGATCTACGACCATGATAAGAGATTCAGCAGTTCTTGAGCCGCGTCTATACGTTGGGCTAACATACGTCAAAGCAAATATGTATAGAATAGACAATGGCCGATGGTGATGAGCATTTGTTGTCTTCTCTGCACACTCGCTGTGGGAACATCGGTGAACGCCAAACTGACAAGCGAGCTCAGGGTTCGAAATTCAACTGGAGTATTACTGAATAACCCCCACCACGTAGTAAAAGATCGTCTGCGTTGCCAACGCGTGGACGCTGGATGGACGGTGCGGCGGCAGTTTGGTGTTATGCAGGAATACAAATACGCTCGCCCTTGCACCCGCAAGCCTCTCGCCTACAAACTATGCAAGCTGCAGCGCGAAAACTACACATTTTATCAAAAAATTGCAAAGACCTTTTTTCATGGCCCAAAAATTAGAAAAATTTACGTGTAAAAAATAGATATCCTCAGCCGTTTCAGCGAAAAAGAGGTTTTTCCAACCAAATTCATACAACAATATTCGCTAGCCTTTATTACACCATCACGTCAGAGGAAATAAGTTTGTTGCTATGTTATCACTTTTGCGGCAGTTTCGGCTATTTAACTGGACTACTGAAAATGAGTATATTCAAGGCTTAAAAGCCTCAGTGAAAAATATAATTTCCAATGTCTAAATTAAAGTTTGAACCTTGCTGGATAAAATGCCGAGGGGCATTTTGAGATCAGTTTATTTTAAAGCCATGTACCACCATGTCTGATAGGCCAACTTTTGATTTTCGCAGATTATATATACAGGGTGTTTCAGTTTATTGTTGCATAACTTTAAGATTCGATAGAACCTTTAAAATTAAAGCATAAAGTCTATATAAACATGGGTCGAAAAATGCGTGGCTTCCGAAATACAGGGTGTTTAAGTTTACTTTCTAAAATAGTTTTTTTTAAAATATTTCGAACAATATTTAATGCATAACAGTGAAAATTGGTATACAAGGGTTTTTTGGTACGACAAAACGAACCATGGGCATAGTTTTACTGTAGCCGCTAGAGGGCGCTCTCTACTGTACCTGTAGTGTATTAAAATGACCGAAAAAATTTTCTTAGTGCAATTTTTTGCTTTTTGAATAAAAAAACTGATTCTTCGCACTTTTCAACATAAAAAAGCTCTCCTGTGAGTTTTCGTTATAGTTAGCCGTTTTTGAGATATTTCGATTTTTAAGGTTCGATGCATTTTTAATTATTTATGATAAAATAACGTTTTAAAGTCAGTATCTCAATAATTTTTAGAAGTAGGCTGTGCCTGCACATGTTTTCGAAATTGAAAGCAGAATAAGGTTAAACGTCAATTAGTTGACAGTTAGTTTTGTTGTCTGTTGAAACCTGAAACGTTTTTTTGCAATTGTGAATGCACGAAATTTAGTTTCCTTTACCTTTTTTTTGTAAGTTTTATAGCAAAAGGCAAAGGTAGGGTCCAAATAGTCGATTACGGTAGGTACCAAACCACACGTTCACACTAAATTCATGCTGAAAATTTCTTTCCCGAACTGCATGCGGATTTTCATGCGACCAAATATGTTGATTATGAAAATTTACCACTCCACGTCTAGTGAAGCATGACTCATCGGTCCATAAAACGTTACTTAAAAACTCCCTATTATTATCAGTTCTATCAAGAATCCACTGACAAAATGTGATTCTTCGTTCTCCGTCCCCTGGCTGTAGTCCTTGCACAGGTTGCAAATGGTAAGGACATCTATGGTCATTTCTAAGAACATGGTGAACATGGCTTGCTGAAATTCCCAAGGCACCAGACACTCTCCTAACACTTGTGGTAGGATCTCTATCAAACTCACGCAGAATCATACGGGTAAATCTGCGCTGACGAACATTTATGTTTTGATCCCTTTGGAGATTTCCAAAACCATTTTCAATTATTTGGCGATGCACTCTTACAAATACTGAGCGAGTTGGATGTCGTCTGTTTGTAAATCTTCGTACGTATTCTCTGGCTGTTTCTGCTGCGTTTCCATTTACAAAGCCATACACAAAATCTTGATTGGAGAATAAAAATGGCATTTTTATAAAACTTACAAAAAAAACGGGTAAAAGAAACTAAATTTCATGCATTCACAATTGCAAAAAAACGTTTCAGGTTTCAACAGACAACAAAACTAACTGTCAACTAATTGACGTTTAACCTTATTCTGCTTTCAATTTCAAAAATATTTGCAAGCACAGCCTACTTCTAAAAATTATCGAGATACTGACTTTTTAACATTATTTTATCATAAATAATTAAAAATGCATCGAACCTTAAAAATCGAAATACTTCAAAAACGGCTAACTATAACGAAAATTTACAAGAGAGCTTTTTTATGTTGAAAAGTGCGAAGAATCAGTTTTTTTATTCAAAAAGCAAAAAATTGCACTATGAAAAAATTTTCGCTCATTTTAATACACTACAGATACAGCAGAGAGCGCCCTCTAGTGGCTACAGTAAAACTGTGCCCATGGTTCGTTTTGTCGTACCAAAAAACCCTTTTATACCAACTTTCACTGTTATACATCAAATATTGTTCGAAATATTTAAAAAAAACTATTTTAGAAAGTAAATTTAAACACCCTGTATTTCGGAAGCCACGCATTTTTCGACCCATGTTTATATAGACTTTATGCATTAATTTTAAAAGTTCTATCGAATCTCAAAGATATGCAACAATAAACTGAAACACTCTGTAGAAGATACATAAGAAATAACTCAACGTTTACCAAACGGGAATAATACGTATTACATAATATAAACCTCAAACACTATTATAGAACGCGCAGAGGGCAACCAACCTCACTCACCATCTGATTTCCCAAATGATCCGCTCTGCCCCCATCTCTGTGGTGCCCCTTGGCTCCGATTCCGGTGGGTTCCGAACTCCACATCGGTCTCTCCACATGCGGCCAACTACCATGATAGAGAGCGGAAGGGGTGGCTTTCGATCTGCCTCCACTGCACCCGGTGGGAGTCGGTTCGCTGCTCACGGATAGGCCACCGCTGCTGCCCCCGCTGCGTCGGACCGCCCCCATCGGCGTGGACGTCGAGGGGAAGTCGTCGTCGCTGCTTGCGACGCCGTGGTCGTACTGGAAAGAGGTTATAAACTACGATTATTGTCAATGGAACATACGCGAAAATAGTAAATGAGGATCAAAGTATACAGGGTCAGAAGTCGACGTTAAGCCGCAAACGGGGAACAGGCAAGTCATAATAGTTAACAGAAAAATATAAAAAAACTAAGTCGTGTACAAATTGAGGAAACGTGTTGTGGACTTCGTGTGTCGTTTTGTTTTTTTCCCCTCCAACTTCGTTTCCTCAGGTTGCACCCGTATCCGGATGTGTGGGCATGTGTATCTACTTTTGTAGTTTCATATGTGCATTCATTTCGGGCCTGATGAAGCCAACCAGCAGAAATACGTATCGCTCGGGTTACCTATCCTATTTTCTGCTCAAATCCACTTTCCTCCTTTTTGCGGATTTTGCCCATTATTTTCCTACTTGTATATACAGGGTGACTTTGAAGTTGAGTCATTAATTTTCAGATAATGATTGTAGAAGGAAGACAAACCAAAATATGTGTGTAAAAATAAAAAAAAATTAAAAAAAAAATTTGACCTTGTTTTATAAAGTATCCTCCCGACAAGTATTTCAGTGCGGACCTGTATTTGATCGTGAGGTCTTGGAGCACCGGCATGCCGTCACCTGATTCACGAGCCCGTTGTATTACATTAACAAAGGCACGAGGGGTTGGTTGCACTCGATTGGGAAACCGATCCGCATAAACATGTGCCATTTTTTACTTCGTTTGAGCCACGTAACAGACACCACTATTCACTGACACTGACTGTATACAAATGAATAAAATAATTGTAAAAACATCGTTCCAAATTCTTTCGCTTTTTTGTTTCCGATGCGATGAACCGATACGGCGGATTATATCCGTTGTCGCCAAACACGAGCACATAATATTATTATTGAGACAGGGCGGTACTCAAACTTCCAAAGGGCTATAACTTTGTTACTTTAATTTTACCAGAAAAATGGTAAAGGAAAAAAACATTTCTTTTGATCAGATCTACTCACTGTTAAAATAAATGACTCAACTTTGAAGTCACTCTGTATATATATATATATACGCTGCATCAGATCAGCATAGTCTTGCTGGCAGTAAAAAATGTATGAATTTTCGCGAGTATATTAGACACAAATATTTACGACTTATTCGTCCTATTTTCCACTATTTTTATTTCGTGTATTATAATTCAGTTTCAATATAATGATAAACCACTTACGTTCGGAGATCCGCCGGCATTACTGCTCTGTTGACGGCCCAGTAAAAGCGTGTCCATGGTATAATCTAGAGGTTCAGCGTCATTCTGAAAAAAAAGAAAAATAATTTAATAGTGTGTGTGCGGAACCGTAGCAGCGGAAACCATATGAAATTACATAATTATTTATCATCTAGACCACTTGGACTGTGACCTAAATTAGTATATCAAATTCTTGAGAACGTATCGTGTGCGATGGATCGGTTCACGTCATTTCGTAATACGTACCATATCGATATCGATATAGACAATTTGAATTAGTCATTGTACAAATCGTGCGAAATAAAGAAAATACGAATTATATCTGGTGTTTAAGCAATAAAATTACATAGAACTTAAACAAATTCTAGCTGTTTTCCTGACAAATGGCAGAATTCGCATCTTCGACATTTATACATTTTTTTACAAAGTTCGAGTTCTGATCGAGTACTTGTCCTAAAATACGGTGTTATGGTTTTTCTATGCTTACTCTATTTCTCCTTATACTCACTAAGGATATCTCTCTTATTTTTATACTGAAGTGATAATAAAAAGCACAGAGCCTAAATACAGGGATCACGAGTAAGCAAAAATCGTTTGACCATATATCGACAGCTTTTCCACCCTTATGACATAATACTAAGTGACATATAAATCCGAACACCCAGTTTAAATGGTTTTATTTTAACAAAATTTTGTATAAGTACTTAATGAAGCATAATAAGTAAATGATAAAAATTTCAAAATGATTGCACTGCTTTAAAGCCCTTTGTCCTTTAATAATGTGTGGATGCACCCTGATGTGCTACGCATTCCCCAACGCGCCTAGGCATGCTTCTGATCAGGTGGTCAATGTCCTCCTGTAGTATCTCATTCCAGGCAACCATCAACTAGTCTCGAAGTACTTCTAGAGTCTGAGGAGAACGTTGCAAATTGAGCAATCTCCTACCCATCATATCCCACACGTGCTCAATTGGGGATAAGTCGGGAGATCTTGGTGGCCATGGTAACAATGTGACATCATTATGTTGAAAGAAGTCTATTGTGACTCTTGCAACATGTGGTCGGGCATTATCTTGTTGGAAAGTTGGATCTGCCAGGGTGTTAAGATAGGGTAAAAGATGGGGTTCTAGAACTTCGTGGATATAACGCTGCGCGTTCATGTTACCTCTGATGAAGATTAAAGGTGACCTGGAACCATAAGCTATAGCACCCCAAACCATAACTCCAACAGTGTGATGAACATGTCTTTCAACAAAAAACTGTGGATTCCTCCTTTCACCACGTCGCCTTCTAACCCTGGCACGACCATCGTGCATGCCTAAACAAAATCGAGACTCGTCACTAAAGACAATACTGTTCCATTCCTGATCCCAGAGTGACCGTTGTCTGCACCATACAAGGCGATTACGTCGGTGTTCTCGAGTTAAAGTGTGGCCGGTATGAAAACAAGCCAAAACTTCTCATTCGTCGGTAAACACTTCGCATGCCAATAGGTCTTCCGTGTTCTGCAAACCATTCATTTGCAATGGACCTGGTAATGGAGAAACGGTCCCTTAAGGCCAATAATCTTAGGCGGCGATCTTCACGGTCTGTTGTTCTAAGGCGGCGTCCAGTGCCCCTTGCTCTTTGCGTACGGCCTTCTCGAAGCCATGCCTGACAACACCTAACCACAGTGTCTACACTTCTTTGCACTCTAACTGCAATTGCCCGAAAAGAAAGTCCAGCTTCCCGAAGTCCCACTATACGGCCCCTGTCAAACTCACTAAGTTGACGAAATCGTACAGGTCTCCGTACTCTAGGCATCGTAACCGATCGTAAAGGATGTCAAGAACCAAAATCCGCCAACATTGATTATTTACTGCGGCTGAAATATTCATTTTTAGAGCGTTAGTGAATTAAAAAAAAAACAGTATAAAAACCGGAATGTCCAACTGATAAGGCTGAACATTTTTTCACTTGTTATTTACAGTAAGATAAATACATTCACCAACTTTAATTAAAATAAAACCATTTAAACTGGGTGTTCGGATTTATATGTCACTTAGTATAGTTTCCAGACGATTGGTTTCGTAACAGCTGTTTTCTGTTTTGTCGTCTGATACTAGGAAGTAATATTTATTGTGGCTTCGCACTAGCGTAGGGGTAGGTTGCATAATAATGCATGTATCAAGACCTTGATCACTCCATATATACATAGGTGATAATATATGCAATACTATTGTTATTATTTACTCGCTTTTTGTGCAACAAAATGGACAGATGAGTTACAGATCGTGTGGGAATAAAAACAATATTGTAATGTTTCTGAGAACGATGAAGGCTATACGATCATGGTAAGTGTAAAAATCAATAAACATGTAATCCGATCTTCTGTAACTTTTTCAGTAATTAGTCCGTACATAAAAAAATATATTTGCAATTTAGATAGATGGATTTGCCAGTAGTCAGTCTAGGTGACTAAAAGGGAATGTGATTTATGAATTGCGCAGCGAATATAAAAACTTATAAGGAAAATGAGCAGAAATTACCCTATTTTCTATAAATTTTGATATAAATATTTTAAAATTAATTTTATTCTTGAGTTGATATTGACAATAACTTGACCGATTTCCAAATATGAAAGCATCAGTTAAACGGGAACACATGAATACCTAAACAAATGTGATTCATGACTCAGGTGTATGTTTTTCTAACAGCCTTCTGTTCTTTGAAAGTCGATCTTTATACCGCGAGTAACCTTTCATCAAGCAAACAGTTATTCCCTCCAAGCAATCAACGCTAATCATGATTCATCTATGATATACTGCTCTACAAAATTCTCGTTCTACTATCCTGAAAATTTTATCCGACTTGAGATACAGATGCCCTGCTTCATCTCAAAATGATCCTAGGTATTTAGTTCAAGCTTTAAAGACACAAAATTAGTAAGTCAGTGTACGAAGTCTGTAAATTAAGTTGAGACTGGCAACGTAGCGTTCGATTTGGCAACATTGCAGACGCCGGGCTTGGAGGGACGACAGGGTAACATGTGATCTGTCTTCAGTACAAGTTCGAACTCGCTCGAGTCATTTAGTTGTCCGTAGCGATTTTTCTTATGCGTTGACGGTCAGAATGATCGGGGAAGGTTTGTCAAGACAAGAACAACTTGGTGCTGCATTTGGATAATGCTCCTTGTCTCACAACGATGTCAATAAACAAGTTTCTGGTCAGTAAAAACATTCCTGTGGCTCCTCAACCGCCTTATTCGCCTGCTGATTTGAGTCCGTGCGACTTTTTTCTCCCGGAAGTTGGAAGATTACTCATTTTGGAACAGTCGAAAACATTCAAACGGCTGTAACCGACCAGCTGAAGGCTATTCCAGTATCGGAGTTCCAGCACAGCTATAGTACAACTATTTAAAACTGTAATGACTCATACGCGTGATCAACACGTGATCAGAGCTCGATCCCGGCTTCCTTCCAGTACAGCCGTATAGCGTACGACATATGTCGTTTCTGTGGCTTTGCGGTGGTCAACAGCACAGACAGAGATGGAAATAATGGCTGATTGTTCTCCGCCGGTAGAACCAATGAAATCAAAGACGCGCCTCGACCGGCAGACTCATAGGCGTCGGCAACGCATTGGAACGTGTTTCGTTGAGCGATCGCATATTGTGTGTTTTTATAAGAATTGTTGTGTGATTGTTATTGTTGTGGTTGCTGTGGTTACTGTTTTGGTTATACTTAACCATGGAGAGTACAAATGGCACGAGTGGAAGTACTGAAAGCCAGGGAACAAGTAGACGGCTTCGTAAAGCACTGAAGAGGGACGCGAAAGAAATCGTGCTCAACGTGTTCAATTATCTGAACAGAACTATGTCGCAGGGAGATGCACTCGCGCGTTGTGAAAGTATGACAGGCGTTCCAGAGTGGACCATTCGCAGGGTGGTGCATGAAAAGAAGAAAACTGGAGCTACTACTGATCCAAAGTTTAATTTGAAGGGACGAAAGGCCGTTAAATTGGATGACGATAGCAAAATCGCGTTAAGGCGAATCGTACATTCATTCTTCTTTAGGAATGAGATACCAATCCTCAAGGCTGTACATGCAGCGATCAAGGAAAATGAGATTATACCCCAAATGAGCGTCGAGGTAATGAGGAAATCCCTGCACGAAATTAATTTTCATTACGAAACGCCTAATCGGAAGTCAGTATTGATAGAGAGACCTGAAATAGTCGCCTGGCGTCGAAAATACCTACGCGAAATTATTGAATATAGGCGACAAAGCAGAAAAATCTATTATTTGGACGAGACATGGTTAAATGCAGGTCACACAGTTAAAAAAACCTGGATAGATAAAAACGTAGTGAGTAACCGACAAGCAAGCATTGAAGGTTTGTCAACAGGTCTTCGTAGACCGTCAGGGAAAGGTCAAAGATTGATCGTAACTCATATTGGTAGCGATAGTGGCTTTTTAGAAGAGTGTGACTTGATTTTCGTCGCTAAGAAAGGAGGTGATTACCATGACGAAATGAATGCCAGCTGCTTCGAGAGCTGGTTTCAAGGGGTGCTTCAGCGAGTTGAGACCAACTCTGTGATCGTCATGGATAATGCTTCCTACCATAGTCGTCGAGCCGAACGTGTACCGACTATGGGATCTCGAAAAAGTGACATGCAGCAATGGTTGCGCGAAAAAGGAATCCCGTTTGACGATTCATGTGTGAAAGCGGAATTGTATGAAAAAATTAAACAGCACAAACCTGCGAACATTAGTTACGTGACTGATGAGATGGCCCGTCAATGTGGTGGCACTGTGCTGCGGTTACCGCCCCACCACTTGTGAACTGAACCCAATAGAGCTGGAAGCTGGAAGCGACGATGAATAAAGGTAATTCCCAAATTTTTGACTTACAATGTTTCAAACCACTCTTTATTAAGCAAGTGACAAATCTAGTTCACCCATGTTAAACATTCATACCCCGCCTATGAACAGCCGACTACTGGTAGTTAAGTGATGTTCACGTGAACATCGATGAGTCATTACAGTTTTAGATAGTTATAGTATATGAGGAGGGGAAAAACCGTCTCCAGCGTCATGTGGATTCAAAAGCAAGCTTTAAAGGCGACAATATAAAATTGTAATTACATTTAAATAATAAAAAAAAATAAAAAATAGTCCCATCATT